AAGTAAACAAATGACTCACCCCAACACCTAGAAAATGATTTCAAAATATAAATGGGCTTCCCTTTATCCTGCTTAACTAAAACACTAAATTAGTTTCAGATACAAACTAGCAAGCCACTTGTTTGAATTTCTATTAGTAAAAAAGCATCAACATTATGACACTTAACAATCAGTTTGTAATAAGAGCCATAAAACCATAGCACATTAATTTTTTTGCTGTTTCAAAAGATGTTGTTACCAGTTTCCACTACAGAACACAGGACTCATGATGTTAGCACTCTGATTTCTCTGCACAGGGAGAAGGGAAAGGAGCACAGATGAAATAAACCCAAGTCTTGTCAGTGGTGACTTACTTGTGACAAAGCCTGAGAATGTCATGTTGATCCATCCGCCAATGAGAATCATAGGGAGAACGTTTGTTACATTGCCTTTCATCATGTCCGTTAGCATAGTGGGATCTAAGACAAAAACACAGGAGACCACTGCATCTTACCACTGCTGGCAGGGGCTTCCTCCTGATTTTCTGTAACTTTTATTTGATAATTTAAGTAATACAAGTTCATTGTAAAAAACTCAAAAGACATACAAAAAGGATGTAGATGGTTCCCCTGAGTCCACTCTCTAACATTTTAACTGTTGCATATCCTTCCATCGTTTTATTTACACATACACACAGAGCAGTTTCACACACACACACACACACACACACACACACACGAGGGATGTTATGCTTATTCTTTTCCTGTTTTGTTTTTTAGTTTCACCGAGGATATGTTTATTGATTTTAGAGAGAGGGAGGGTGAGAGAGAAACACTGATGTGAGAAACATTGATCGGTTCCCTTCCATATGCACTGCAACCAGGTTCTCTGACCAGGAATCAAACCTACAACACAAGTGACGCTCCAGCCAACTGAGCCACCAGGCCAGGGCACTACTGTGCTTCTTAATTTAAAAAATTAATATGCTGTGAATGCTATTTCCACATTGTATAATAACTCTCATTATTTTTAATGTCTGCATAGAAATCCACAACGTGGTCAGTCATCACTACTGAGTGACCTATAGATTGCTTCCAATTTTTTTTTTTTTGCCAATAAACAATGCTGTCAACAACTACCTTGTACGTAAGTCTGCATATTTTTGTTGATACTGTCAGACTGTCCTTCAACAATTATGAGAGCGCCTTACTTCCCATGACCTTGACAGTAGCAACTTTGGTCAAGCTATCAATCTTTGCCAATTTAATGGGCTATAAAGGATATCTTGTTTTAATTTGCATTCCATATATTTTAGTAGGTCAAGCATCTTTCTGTAAATTTATTGGTCTTTTGTTTATTGTAGGTTTTCTGAAAGATTTATAGTTACTTCTATCTGGGTTTAAAATAGCTAGCTGATAATCGCACCTAAAGAAATGGATACTAACACGAGAGCACAGTGAGTATGGGATAATAACTTTTGTTTCACTTTGAAGATGCTGTGTTTTTCACATGACAGGGGTCAGTGAAAATAAGAAATCTGTTAGCGTAAAAATTGTAGGATGGCCAATAGCTGGTCTGGGCAAGTAGGGAGAGCTCTTCCTCAGCCCAGCAGAAGCGGCATGGCCCTCTGTCAGCAGGAGCCGGGCCCTGGGTGGGAGCCCCAGCTTTTCCAACTGTGCTCAACGGAGCCCTGGGCTCTGAGTAACTGCAAAGGGAAGAGACCCAGAGACAATGGCTCTGGTCTCTTCAATCCCTTAGCTGAGAGTTCTTTACTTATTTATTTTCTTTAAAAAAAAAAAATTTATTAGAGAGGAAGGGATAAAAGAGAAAAATATCAAAAAAAAATTTTTTAGTTCTGCTTATGCATTCATTGGTTGACTTTTTTTTTTTTTTTAATAATATATTTTATTGATGTCTTACAGAGAGGAAGGGAGAGGGACAGAGAGCCAGAAACATCGATGAGAGAGAAACATCGATCAGTCGCCTCCCACACACCCCTATGGGTATGTGCCCGCAACCAAGGTACATGCCCTTGACCAGAATCGAACCCGGGACCTCTCAGTCCGCAGACCGACGCTCCACCATTGAGCCAAACTGGTTTTGGCCATTGGTTGACTCTTATATGTGCCCTGACTGGTGAGCAAACCTACAAACTTAGTGTTATCAGGACGATATTTTAACCAACTGAGCTATCCAACTAGAGCCTGAGAGTTTGTGCGCACGCTCGCTCTTTTTTTTTTTCTTTTGGTTAATTTTTTTCCATTGCTTTTCAGAGAAAGTGAAGGGAGGGAAGGAGAGGGGGAGAGAGAAAGAGAAAAACATCGATGTGAGAGAGACATATTGACTGGTTCCTCTCCCACACACCTCAACCAGGAACGGGGAGCTAACCGCACCCCAGGAATGTACCCCTGACTTGGAATCGAATCTGAGACCCTTGGTGCCCGGGCTGACGCTCTAACCACTGAGAAACACCAGCCAGGGCCCACTTCACATTTTGGAGTTCCCAGAACACGTATTTGGAAAAGAGAACACTACTTCTGTAGATTGCTGTCCTAGATGATACCTAAGGTCCCTCAGATTACTATCTTCAACAGCTGAACATCGAAATCAACTGACACATTCTAACCCCTCTGTCCCCCACTCCTGTTAAAAATCTTCCTTGAAGATGAGAGAAAAGAATAAACATACCAGTCATAGGAGAAGGAGGCACCACCTTCCTTTTAGTTTTTTTGAAAAATCCATCCTCCGGGTTGTTGAAGTAATATTTTCGTGTCAGGAAAGACTAGTAGAAAAAAAGAGCTTTTTAAATCTTAAAACTGTGACATAGCAAATTGTCAAGTTATTCCCCAGAGGTGTGGTCAGAAGGCCCTTGGAATACGCTGTTATACGAAGAGCTGACAGCCCACTTGGCAGCTGAGCTGACATTTTAGCTGAGTCACATTTAAAAACAATTTCCTAAGAAAGATGAGGTCACAATGACAGCAAACACCGTCAGGCCACAGCTTAATTCCTGACTTGCCAGCCATCAGTTTTCCCCAAAGAGTCCCCTTATAAAACATTCCGGTATCTACTGCCTTCAACAGTGAATCGTGGGACTTTAAATAAAAGATAAATGAGTACCTGTTTGGGAATGTATTTTCCATTTTCCCTGAGGACTCTGCTTCGAATTAGGACTTGACTGAAAAATACAACCAAGACAATGAGATTTTTACAAAAGAGAAACACTAGAAGAAAACAAGAGAATAAAGTAGAAGACCTATTTAAACACAAGAGAGGGCCTATTTGGCAACAGTCCGGAATGGAAACTTTTCAAACTCCAAGTATCTTTAAAACCAATCTAACAACCCCCAAATCAGGTTTTCAAAAGAACATTTTTCAGAAGTGACTGTGTTTCTGAACAAAGGTTTCTGAAGAAGGCACATTTGGAACACTCACTTTTCTCTTAATTTATGAACTAAGAAGGCGCTTTCTCTGAGTGAAAAGTGTAGCAGTTGGATGCTTCTCAGATGATTTGGGGGCAGGAGCGGGGAGGAAGGGTGAGGACTGAAGGAACTTTTTAAGTTCCAAAGAGAAATGAGTACAGGACTTGACAGAGTTGCTATCTGACAGACAACAAATAGAAATTTCACCCAGGACTCAGACTGTTAGTAAGCTCTCAAGAAACATAAAAGTAACAAGTGAAATTATTTGGTGATATTTTAACATAAGTGATCATTAAAGATAACAGTGCAATACAAGTGGGTGGTGCTAAGCTACAAATAGTAAACAGAATAGTGATCAAAATACTAATTTTTTTTCTTGTTTTTCAAAAGCTTTTTTCAAAAATTCATTGATTTTAGAGAGAAGGGAGAAATAGAGAAACATTGATTTGTTGTTTACTGACCAAGGATCAAACTAGCAACCTTGGTGTATTGGGACAACACTCTGACCATCGGAGCTACCAGATAAGGGGATTCAAAAGTTGTTTTAATTGGGGGGCTGGAGGGGGGGAGCCTATTTATCTTAATGGAAATCTTTCTTGAAAAGTGGGGGGAAAAGATTGTAACAGAAACGAACACAGGAAAACTGTGATTGGTTTCCTCTCTGCTCCTCAGCATAAACCACCTGCTCTAAGCAATACCCTTAGGATCTCCTTGTCACATTCTAGCTTTTCCATATGCTGGGAATTCTCTAGTGCCCCGCCCCTTCACCTTCTTCAAGCTCCACCTTTTCCATGGAACTCTTCCCAATGCCTGGTGCCCTCATGGGATTCTCTCTGGGTTTCCTCTGTACTGTATGGTTGACTGCTCCAAGCACAGGCTTACCGAGGTGATATGTAATATGTTCTGTTCCCTGGGAGCTAGTCTAACGCTACTCAAAGTGTGGCCTATGTACCAATGCTGATCTGTGATAAGGGTTTAGAGAAGTTTATAGTAATTTGACATTGTTACAAGATCCAAATATATGATCAAAATATTTTATAAGCCGAAACCGGTTTGGCTCAGTGGATAGAGCGTCGGTCTGTGGACTCAAGGGTCCCAGGTTGGATTCCGGTCAAGGGCATGTATCTTAGTTGTAGGCCCATCCCCAGTGGGGGGTGTGCAGGAGGCAGCTGATCGATGTTTCTCTCTCATCGATGTTTCTAACTCTCTATCCCTCTCCCTTCCTCTCTGTAAAAAATCAATAAAAATATATTAAAAAATATTTTATAAAAGCATCAGTCTGTGATAGATTGGAAATTGAAAAATTAAATCAAGGTAAGCTTTAATTATCCTATATATTATAAGCACCCACTTTCTTAAACTGAGATCCACAGATGTAGTCTCTGAGATTTGCAAATTCTACAAGAAGTTTTTAATTTTCATTTTCATCAATACCTAAAAATAAGTCCTAGTACTCGTTATCGAGAAAAGCTTTTCTTCACAGTGGTAATTTGCAACTGAAATACATTTTCTTAAAATAAAAGTTTAGTTTTTAAAGTTGTTATTTCTCAAAGTGGAGTTCCATATTTTTAAAGATCAGGGTGTTTTTGTTTTGTTTTTCCTTTCAAAGGGTCATTATATTCTTCAAGCTTGAGAACTACTTTTTACATACGTTCTATCCTTAAATATGGTCTAATAGATTTTATTTATGTACTTTTCAGGTTTGGTTTAATACATTTTAGAAAAAAATTTTAGTAAGTTTTGAGGCAGTAACAGTTAATTTGTAAAACCCAACATCTCATTTTGGGATCATTCAGGTTACTGGAAACTTACACTGTACTGAGAGGAATGTTTTGCAACTAAAAGACATCTTTTGCCTTGGACTTCGGCCAGTCCAGAATCATGTGGTCAGCATTCTACTCAAGTTCAAATGATGACCTGGTGGGGTATAGTCACACCACTGTCAGAGATGGCATGACTTCCCTTAAGGGATGGAGCAATTATGACCAGAAATGTTGAGTTTTCTTTAAAGCAGTGGTTCTTCATGTAGGTGGCACTGCCCTCTAGAGGGCCTATGGAAACCTGTGGAATTTTTTAGTGTCAAAGTTAAGGGATGGAGAGAAAGCACTAAGCTTCCTCAGTGCTGGGGACAGATGTGCAATACAAAGAACTGCCCCATGTCTCACACTCCCTGTGCTATCTCATCAAACTGGTTTTAATCATCTGAGCCTCAAACCTAATTCCATTTTTTTTGCAATTGTTGGGAGGGACGATTTTTATGTATACTGAATTTCCAGATATGCAACCAGCATGTAAATACAGGAAAAACTGCACTCTGCTGCGTTCAGAACTTTATCAAGAGTAGTTCACCACTTAGGAAAATCACATCCAAGCACTGCCTTCTGTTACATCTACTGGTAAGTAGCTAACACAGTGTATCAGCCTATAATTGAATCTGCTCCAATTTATAGGGATTTTGTAGCTAGGTGATTGCACCTGACTTCCAGTACACTTTCTCCAGGACTGTTTATGCACAAGTACTTATGAAACAGAATTTAAATTATCTTCCTTTTATTTCTCACAATTTTTGCCTTTATGTAAAGCAAGTATGTCAAACTCGTGGCCAGCGGGCCACATGTCTCCTTTATTTAAACTAGGCATATGGTTCACTGGCCGTGAGTTTGACATGCTTGATGTAAAGCATTATGTTGCCCCTTTTTTTTTTTTTTTTAAATTCTTATATAGAGTGCATCAACTATGAATTTCACTTTGGGTTATAAAAGGGAGTTTTGGGTCTGATGTCATTCAGCACCATAACTCTGAAATCACAAGTTGAATTCGGAGCAAAAATTGTGGCAGAGAATCTATGACAGCAGGAACTGTAATCAAGAGAATTTAACTTGACTACAGGCACAATATTTTACTATTTGGTTATCTAGGGAAGGCTACTTAACTTTCCCAGGTTCCCTTTTCTTCAAATGTAAAAATGGTTCAGGATTATCTATCTCAGTGTTAATTTGAGGGTAAAATGAGAACTATTTATTGGTATCAATACATAAATGCTGACTGATCTCTCTCCACTTTACATCTTTTTGTTTGCGTGTGTATGTGTTTTTTTAATCCTCCCGAGGATATTTTTTCTATTGATTTTTAGAGAGTGCGGAAGGAAGAGGGAAGAGGGATGGAAGAAGAATGGGAGGGAGGGATGGATGGGAAAAGAGAAAAGGAGGGAGGAAAGGAAGGGAGAGGGAGAGGAAAAGAGAGAAGGGGAGAGAGAGAAACATTGATGTGAGAGAGGTGCCCTGGCCAGGGCTACTTTACATCTTTGTATAGCCTCCGTTCCCGAGGGGAACTGACTTCTTAAGGTTCTCTACAGGAGGTGGTTTCTGTCAGTTCTGAAACTGATGCCAAAGAAAAGTTGAGTGGCTTCTGTGCAGAGTGGAAAGAGCTCCAGACTCGGGAACCAGAAGGCTTGGTGTTAAGTCCTGAATGTCACTGTGTGTGACCATGTAACCTCTTAACCCTTAGTTTCTATAAAATGGCTCAGTGGTTCAGCATCAACCTATGAACCAGGAGGTTATGGTTCGATTCCCGTTCAGGGCACATGCCCGGGTTGTGGGTTTGATTCCCAGTATGGGATATGCAGGAGGCAGCTGATCGATGATTCTCTCTCATCACTGATGTTCCTATCTCTCCCTCTCTCTCTGAAATCAATAAAATAATATATATATATATATATATATATATATATATATATATATATATATTTTTTATTTTTTTTTTAAACAAAATTTTTTAAAAACAGGATAGCATCTACCACAGAGTTGTTTTAAATTTTAAATAAGTTAATGAATATAAGTGCTTAGCATAGACTAGGTGCTTAATAAATGTTGGTTTATTATTATTCTCAGAATAATTGGAAAGCATAACTGAAAATGATAGCAGTCCTTTCCAAACTTCATTCCATGGTTATTATTCTTATCTTATTTACCTAGCACTAATACTATTAAAAACTTAGTATTTCTTATGTATCAACTTTTCTACTTATATAAGTTTTAAAAGAAATCCTCAAATTACCAGCAAATGTAAAATCAGTATTACCTGCCACAAATAGGAAGTAACTGTTAAAAATAGATACAATAAAAACAAAACAAAATTATTAAATTTTAGCTACAAACTGTTGCCTGTGTAAAGTCCTGAACCTGAAGCTTGCTCTTTGTTAAAAAGAGAGATTAATAAGTGCTAGGAAGTGTTAAAGACATAATAACATTTACCTAAGATAAACTCTGAAAATAGTTGGAACGATTGACTGAAAATGTTTATTTTAATATGGAGGGGCACACGTCTAGATACCACCTACAACCAATCTTAAATTACCTCTTTTTACAAATATTGTAATGAAGCACAGGAGGAAGAATTGCCTTCACTCCAGTAGGGGAAATGATCATCACAATCCCTCACATCTCTATAGTTTGTGTTTGCCAAGCTCTTGGATAGTTGGTATCTCAGCTAACCACCACAGTAGTTTGGTAAAACGAGTATAAACACACCTACCTCATCTATAGCTCATAGATAAGGCTGGCGACTAGCCTCACACTATTCATAAGCAACATCATTTTGAACCCTTAATTCACCCCAGCTAAAGTCTTCTATAGACATCATCTAACATTTAATCCCCACCCCTGCTCTATGAGGCATATCCTGTTATCATCCACATCTGACAGATGACGAAAGTGAAGCATAGAGCTGCTAACTCAGCCCAGGTCCCCCCGCCCGTGGGAGCGCGATGTAGAAATCGGGGGAAACTGGCAGGACCCCCGCACTCTGTTGCTCAAGGTCACGGGGGGAGTGAGATCGCCGGGTCCGGAGGGCGCTGACCTGTCGGAGACTTGTTCCTGGGTGAGCTTTTTGTCGCTCTGCAGTAGGATGGACACGTAGTGGCGGATCATGCCCACGAAGAAGGTGATGATAACGATGGGCAGGACCACCCAGAGGCGGATGTTGGAGTCGAGCAGCAGCTCCGGCCCCGCCATCTTCACAAAGCGCCGGCTCCTGACCTGGGGCAGCTGGGTTCCTCTCCCCACGGGGGCCCGGGCTCCCACTCGAGTTCGCCTCCGAGCCTTCTCACGCCCTCAGCCTGGCTGGCGCGGGAGCCCACTGCAGGTTCAGGCCCGGCGTACTGACCCTCGCCGGGCCGCGCGGCCGCCTACTTCCGGCGCGGAAATTTGAAGTCACGACGACGCGCCGCGCCTTGGTGACGTCAAGGCGGCGCGGCGCCGGGCGGGAAAGGCTTAAATAAGGGGTGGGGACGACCTGTTGGTGTTTGGAGCTGCGATCGTCGTTTCTCGAGGCTTCGCTTCCCTGCGGCCCGGCCCAGGGCAAGCTCGGCCTTTCCCTCCTGGGTTCCGCGCCCTGCCTCGGCTTCCTCACCCGCTCTGTCGTGGGATAGACCTTCAGGTACCTCCCTGCGTCGCTAAAACGGCAAAACGAGAAGGGCTTTTATCCCCAACCCCTACTCCGCTGGCCTAGGCCCGGTAGCCGGCCCCATCTTCCCATCTTCTAGGCTTCTCTGTAAACCAGATGGTGGAATACAGTGAAGGGCGGGCCCTGAAGTCAAGCCGGTCCTGATTTGGCTTTGTTTTGTTTTTTCTCCTGCAAAATGGCTGACGACCCCAGTGGAACCTGGGCCCCTTCAGTCCGCAGGCCGAGGCTCTATCCACTGAGCCAAATTGGCTAGGGCAGGAAAGCATTTTAAAAAAATAGTTTTTATTGATTTCAAAGAAAAGGAGAGACGCAGAAGCATCAATGATGAGAGAGAGCCCTAACCGGTTTGGCTCAGTGGATGGAGCGTAGGCCTGTGGACTGAGGGGGGTCTGGGGTTCTAAGGAAATGCACCTTGTTTGCGGCACATCCCCAGTAGGAGGTGTATAGGAGGCAGCTGATCGATGTTTCTCTTTGATTGATGTTTCTAATTATCTCTCCCTCTCCCTTCCTCTCTGTAAAAAAAAAAAAAAAAAAAAAAATCAATAAAAAATATTTTAAAAAGTGATGAGATTCATTAATCTGCTGCCTACTGGAGTTCGAGTCTGCAACCTCAGCTTGTGCCCTGCCCAGGAATTCAACAGTGACCTCCTGGTTCATAGGTGGACGCTCTACTACTGAGCCACGCTGGTGGGGTCAGAGAAAGAAAAAAATGTTTTTCAGAAAAAAACCTTTATACCACTTATTGTGCTAGGTACTAGGGATACTGAAATAATGACACTTTCAAGATCTACAGTTTAGTATGATGTGGAAAGGACTCCTAGATACCTCAGTGGAGCAGAAAAGCTGGAAGAGCAAACTTCCTTGGGGATAGGAACATTTTTCTTTCTTTTTTTTTTTTTTTTAATCCTCACCTGAGAACATGTTTTCATTGACATTTAGAGAGAGAGAAACATAAGTTAGTTGCCTCCTGTATATACCCTGACTGGAAATCGAACCACAACCTAGGTATGTGCCCTGACGGAATCCTACTGGCGATCTTCCGGGGTATGGGAGGACACTCCAACCAGGGCATGAGGCACATTTTTTCTTAATTTATTATTTTTATTGATTTCAGAGAGCCAGAGAGAAGGAAAGAGAGAGAAACATCAACGATGAGAGAATCACTGATCTGCCTCCTGCACGCCCCACACTGGGGATCGAACCTGCAACCAGGGCATGTGCCCTGACCTGTTCATATGTTGATACTCACCACTGAGCCATGCCAGCCGGGCTAGAGGAACATTTTTCAAGGAAGATGCCATTTAATTGAGTCTTTCAGGACGAATAGTAATTTCCAGGCAAATAGATAGGTAAGAGCATTTGGGGTGAAAACACTTTTCTGGTTTATAGGATAGGCTAGAAGGCCCTGTGTTTCAGCCCTCTCCTGCTTCTGCTGCCTCATTTCTAATTCTACAAGCTCCTTCCTGTGTCACTGGAGTTTTTCTCTTAACTCTTCTACTGCTATTTCAGTCCTCAGGTCCCTGCTTAAAGTCACTTTCTCAGAATCTGAGAAATTGTCACTACTTTTCACCACCACCACCACCCTAACTAGACTAAATTTCCTTGTAAGCCCTCATAGCAGCCTGTGTTTTTCTTGCATAGCACACAACAGTACAGTCATGTGTTGGTTAATCATGGGGATATATTCTAAGAATTGCATCCATAGGCAATTTCATCATTGTGCGAACATCATAGAGTACTCAACACAAACTAGATGGTATAGCCTACTGCACACCTAGGCTGTATGCTATAGCCTCCTGCTTCTAGGCTACAAGCCTATATTGCATGTTGCTGTGCAACACAACACAAGATTAAATCAAGCAGAAGTGAAAATGATGTCATCAAGCAGTACACACTAGATATATGAGGCTGCTGCTTTGCACACAGCAAGTTTTATAGCAAATCTTTTTTTATTTATTTTTAATTGTTTTTTAAAATTTTTTAAATTAAATTATTATCTTTGTATATATACCATTGCCCCCCTCCCATATATGCCCTTCCGCAAATCTTTTTTTAAATAAGTAGAAATAGTATAAGTAATGATAAAATTATAGTGTAATAAATACATAAATGTATAACATAGTTGCATATTATCATTATCAAACAGTTATATATTATATATAATTGTATGCACTATACTTTTTTATAACTGGCAGCATAGTAGGTTTGTTTATACTAACATCACTACAAATGTGTGAATAATGTATTGCACTATGACACAATAACAGCTTTTATGTTACCAGATAATAGGAATTTTTCAGTTCCAGTATAATCTTTTGGGACCACTGTGGTATATGTGGTCTATCATCTGAAACATCCTTGTGTAGGGCATGACTGTAGTTAAATAATTATATGAAGACTACTCATTACTGTGAACTCTGAGGTCAGGCATCATGTCTGGTTCATAATTATAACCCCAGAACCTAGCACAGTCCCTAATGTATAGTGTTGTATTATATATATATTTTTTTATTTAAAAAAATATATTTTATTGATTTGCTACAGAGAGGAAGAGAGGGATAGAGAGCTAGAAACATCGATGAGAGAGAATCATCAATCAGCTGCCTCCTGCACAACCCCCCCCCCCCCCGCCCGGGGATGTGCCTGCAACCAAGCAAGGCACATGCTCTTGACCGGAATTGAACCTGGGACCCTTCAGTCCGTAAGCCGATGCTCTATCCACTGAGCCAAACTGGTTTCGGCTATAGTGTGTGTGTGTGTGTGTGTGTATATATATATATATATTTTTTTTTTTTTTAATTGATTTTTTTTTTTTTACAGAGAGGAAAAGAGAGGGATAGAGTTAGAAACATCAATGAGGGAAAATCATCCATCAGCTGCCTCTTGCACACCCCCTACTGGGGATGTGCCCGCAACCAAGGTACATGCCCCTGACCGGAATCCAACCCAGGACCTTTCAGTCTGCATGCCGACGCTCTATCCACTGAGCCAAACCGGTTTTGGCATGTGTTGTATTATTAAATTATAGGAGAGAGATAGTTTGGGAATAGAAGATGAAGCTTCTTGACTGTCAGAGAACTGTGGGTTTTATCCTTCAGCAAGAGGGAAGTGGTCTGGTCCTGACCTGGTGCCTCAGTTAGCTGGAGCGTTATTTTGTATACTAAAAGGTTTCAGATTTGATTTCAAGTCACGGCACATACTTGGGTTTCGGGTTCGATTCCTGGCTGGGGTGCATATGGGAGGCAACCAATTGATGTTTCTCACATTGATATTTCTCTCTAAAAATCAATAAAAACGTGTCCTCTGGTAAGGATTTAAAAAAAGGAAATAGTCTGACTAAAAAGACAACTGAGTAAACAAGTCTTGAAAGCAAGAGAGTATTGACCATATATAGGGGTTGAAATTTTCTCAACACCTTAATTTAGATAGCATTAGTGTAAATACTAGAACCACTTCAGTTTTGAATAGTTTTCTTAGAGCTATACCTTTAACCTCTCAGAATTTATCTAGCTTTGAGAAGGTCACTTCTGTTCTCTGATTTTGCTGTAGAAAATAATTTAACTGCAGAAAATTGGTCAAAATGGTTTCCAAAAGAAGACTATCAAAATCTGAGGATAAAGAAACCCTGAAAGAAGATGCCTCTAGTAAGTATCTACTCATTTGCTGCTGTATTTTTTTTATAGCAAATGTGTGTGGCCGTATTTCATCTTTTCTTATGGCTGAATACTTTTCCTTTATACCACATCTTTATCCAATCATAATGGGATACTTCGCAGAAATAAGAGAAGATAAAGTACGGCATTTGTGACAACTTGAGTGAATTTTGAGAGTATCATGCTAAGTGAAATAAGTCATATTGAAAGCATAAGAACAATATGATTTCACTTGTGTGAGATATAAAACAGAAAGCAACAAATAAACAAACAAAAACTTATAGACAATAGTCTGGTGGCTATCAAAGGGAAGTGAGGACGGGGATAGGTTGAAGAGGGTAAAAGGAGTCAAATATATGGTGACAGAAGGAAACTTCACTATATGGTGAGCACACAATGCAATATACAGATGATGTTTTATAGAATTGTACATTAGATACTTATATAGTCTTATTAACCAGTCACCCCAATAAAATTAATAAAATAAAAGAAACATGCGAGGCATTTAAAGAGAGATGATGTTCCTATTTTCAAATGCTGGGAGTCATCAAGGCTTAATGGATAGAGCACACAGAATTTATATCAGGAGATTTGGGATTGACTTTGATTCCATGTATGACTTTGGGCATGCCTACAGTCTCTTGAGTATCAGTTTCCACATCTATAAGAGGAGTTAGTATTATAGAACTTACCTATTATACATTATCTAAGTGATAGGATACAAAGATAGAATATAGTCCCAACCCTTTAAAAAGACTTATGGTCCACTGCCTTAAAAAAGTTATGATCTAAATAAAATGCTCTGATAGTGATAATATAAAGAAAGGCATCATACAAAGAAAGCTTATCAGAAGCAAAGAAATAGACTCTGTGCATGTAAGAATGTGTTTGACAGGGCCAAGAGTTCTGACAAGTTGATAAGTTTTTCATTTATTACACTCATCTACCCTATTACGGTGATTCTAACATGTCAAGGGAGAAGAGAGGGAATGTAATCATGTTTAACATCACAGATCTATTTGTTTTGTTTGTTAATTATGTTTTATTCTCATGGGTTGAAAGCCTTGGGATGGTACCAGTCTGGTCTTTTTTTTTAAATTCAATTTAGCGATATAGGGGGCCAGGCGGTAGTCCAACTCCAGTGGGAAAACTACTCACTGCTCTGGCCCTGCCATCTCCTTTTATTGAGGTTTTGAGGAAAACATCTTAGGCAACATAAACAGAAACTTATAAGTAGCCCTTAGGCAGGAAATAACAAAAACTTACATGGGACAAACAAGGTGGAGGCTGCTTCAGCTAACAACATCTCAACTAAAGGTTGTTGACTAGCCTTCCTGGCTTCCTGTCAACATCTCTTTTTTTAGTGAAACTGTTTTCCAGCAGACTTCTTCTTGGGGAATAACTCCAGGCTAACTGCAAACTCTGGCTACCTACACAAACAGTAACAGAGGGTTCATGACCTTTCGTATTTTCCAATGAACCAAGAGTCCAGGCAGCTAATCTGGACACACATTCTCTTTTTAATTTGATTTCCAAAAGAAAATATTACCCAAGATTAAAGAGCAGCTGCCAGTCTCCTCCACATTCCAGCCCACTCGCATGATTGCTTTGACCTCTCCCCTTGAAGAAGCTGCGGTGCCATGCGGTCCCCATGCCAGGCCCGCGTTACAGCTTCCCCCCACCCTGTTGGCGCCTGGAGCGCTCCCAGACCCACAGCTGAGGGGCAGAACCTGGAGGCCAAGGAGAAACAAAGTTGCCCACTTACATTTCTTTACAATGTGAGGCTTTGTTTTAGTGACACAGTTTGGATTCCTGGGTTGGGATTGAGAAGTGATTCGCCAATAATTTACTGTGAAATAAAACTAGAGAGCAGCAAACAGTGTCTATTCATCGGTCTTCCTGCTGGAGAATAAAAACTAACTCAGGATTGCTAAACTTTGGGAAAGGACTTGAAGTGATTGGAGATCAAGTCGTGCATTTCTAAATGTTGCTCTGTGTGTAAGGGATGTAAATTACTAACCCGAAGTTTTCAAGTAAAATTTTTTACAAACATTGTTAGAGTCAGCACCAGTATCTTTTCTCTCCAGAGATTTCTTCCTTCAGAGAACAAGAAACCTAACAGCGGGGGGTGGAGTGGGGGTGGGGGGGTGGGGGGGGTGTCTCTCCCTTTCTCTCTCTCTCTCTCTCTCTCTCTCTCTCTCTCTCTCTCTCTCTCTCTCTCCAGTTTAAAAGATATGATGCAGGAGAATCTGCCCCTGTCTTCTACCGTTATAGCTAGATAAAGATAATTGGCTCTCAAACTTTCGTGTGCATCAGGATTATTACCTAGAGAGCTTATTAAAAATTTAGACTCCCATGCTCCATTCCCAAAATTTTTATTTCATAAGCTGGGGGATGTGACCGGATATGCTTTTAATAAGGTTTCCAGTGGTTCTAGACCAATGATTTGCAAACACCAGCTTGAGAAATGATGACTGCTTTATAATTTGGGTGGAAACATTTCCATGGTTATTGTTAGAAATGGCACATTTTGAATTTTTCTAATGAAAGCTTAATAGATGAAAACAATTATGTTTATTGATTATTCTGTTTGTTTGGAAGCCACTATTGGACCATTGTTAGAAATAAAATTTTACTACACTGTCAATTCTAATATAATTCTTCAGGAACTATCAACTTTACTTGTAGGGTTATTATGGTAGGGTTTACAGTTTTATCTTTGCTTTACTGTTTGTCACTTTCTTAATTTTTTTTTTCACAATCTTGAAAATTTTGTCTATTTTCAGATGCCAGGAAGCAACCACCATCCAAAAAGGCAAAGAAATCACATGTTTATTATGAAGTTGAAGAAAATGACAGTGTATTTATAAAGCTTCTTAAGACATCAGGAATTATTCTTAAAACAGGAGAGAGTCAGAATCAGCTAGGTAATATTTTAATATAATTCTTTTCTCTGGGTATAGTGAATCATGACTTCTTTAAATAGAAAGGAATGAAGATTAGAAATGGGAGCATATTTGTCTTGAAACAAAAATAAAATTGAAATTGCTTTTTAGAGAATATTATTATAGTCTTTGGTCCTGATAAATACATGTTAAGTAAAGTACTTCTAACCCCCTGTCTCCTTTCATAGAAAACTGTTATGTAATAGTATTGCTTTGTGTTTTCTTATGAAAAAAAATAATATCCTTAGAATAGTTAGATCTGTGTCAGAATAATTTTAAAAGAAAATTATACAATTATTAAAAATTATTATAATATGCAATTAGACAGTCAGTTGGATATCCCCCAAGGGCTCCTGGACTGCAGGAGGGCGCAGGCTGGGCTTAGGGACCCCCTCAAGTGTACAATGTTGCCTCTAGTATCCATATAAGCATGTAAGCGCCTGCTTTTGGGGCAGATTATTTCATCCTGCTAAGGTAACAGCATGTCATTTTTAGAACACTTAATAGCTATTCTCTGTCAAAGCTGCCTTTGTTTTTATTGTGGGTTTAGAAGATTTGGCCTTGAATTAGGTTATAAATATCTTTTTCTCTTTTTTTTTTTTTTTTTATAAGGGAGAATGAGGGAGAGAGATAGAAACATCAATGATGAGAGAGAATCCTTGATTGGTTGCCTCCTATTTGCCCTGTACTGGGGGTCAAGCCTGCAACCCAGGCATGTGTCCTGAGTGGAAATTGAACTGTGACCACCTAGTTCATAGGTGGATGCTCAGCCAATGAGCCATGCCAGCTAGGCTATCTTTTTTTTTTTTTTTTTTTTTTTTTTTAATCCTCTCCTGAGCATATGTTTTTACTAGGGGCCAGTGCATGATTTCATGCACCTTGAAAGGAACTATGGGCCATGAGGCTGCAGTGGGCATAGGGTTGGGTGTTGGGCCATCTTCCTCACCCCAGCCCAGCCCCTCCCACCACAGCCCCCAGTCCCCTGTGTGCCGACAGTCCCACTCCCACTGTCACCACTCAAGTGCTGATGGGGCCGAGCAATTGGGGCTGGCACCAGCAGTGGGTGCAAACATGGCTGGCGTTGTCAGCAGGTGTGAGAGGCGGTTGCAGCCCTGATCACCCTGCAGGAGCAGGAGCAGGAGCAGGGGAGGTGGAGAAGCCCTGAGGGGCAATTAGGGCCGGTAGCCACCTCTCATATCTGCTTATAGCACCGAACAATTGGGTTGGTGCTGGGCACCAGCAGCAGGTGTGAGCATCCAGCGAGACTGCAGCATGCAAGAGCAAAGAATTTTCAGTAACCACCAGAGGCTTGCCCTGATGACAGTGACCCTGCTCTGGTGCCCCTGCTCACTTGTTCCACCATCCTGCCTTGACCAATGCCCATCATGTTCTGCGCTCTGCTGCCGATGCCTGACATGTTCTGCACACACTCCCTGGTGGTCATAGCACACATCATAGGGACCTGGTTGTTCGGTTGTTCCACTGTTAGGTCTATTTGCATATTAGGATTTTATATATAGAGATTGATTTTAGATACAGAAGCAGCGATCAGTTGCCTCCCCTATGCACCTTGACTGGGGATCTAACCTACAACATGAATATGTGTCCTGACCAGAAATCGAGCCTGCAGACTTCTGGTGTATGGAAGAATGCTCCAACCAGTGGAGCCATTGGCCAGGGCTAGGTTGTAAATAACTTTATTCATTCAGATAAGAAACAGGTCTTAAGGAAAGTAAACTATGATAGGAGAGGTTAAAGACTGTGGTGACCAGCTGTTCTTTTTTCATAGCTGTGGATCAAATCGTTTTCCAAAGGAAGCTGTGTCAGGCTCTGAGGAAACATCCTTCTTATCCCAAAGTATGTATTTTCTCCCTGGTACTTTTACTTTTCTAGCAGTACTCTGGAATTGAAATTTTAAAGGCATTGGCATAAAGTTGAATGTGCTAAAATGATTTTTAGCTAACCCACAACAAATGTTAAACTAAAAATCTTACCCTGTCCTTTTTTTTTTTTTTTTCCATTAAGATAATAGAAGAATTTGTTAATGGCCTGGAGTCTTACATTGAGGATCAAGACATTTTCAGAAACTGTCTTTTGTCTTGTGAACGTCTGCAGAATGAGGAAGCCAGGTGTGGAGAGAGGTGTGGAACAGTGCTGAAATTTAATCTATTACACTAACTGGTGGGGGTGGGGGTGCAAAATGCAATTTTTTGGAATTTCACTTTTGATTTATAGTTCTCTTTTCCTCGGAGTTTTATCCTGACTTGTAAATTGTTAAGTTTATAGTTATGAGACTAAGAACTAGAGTGTTTTCTAGAATGTTTCTTACTTGTGTTGATAAAATTTCAACTCTACTTTTTCGTGGCTTAAGAGCCATCTTCTGATGTTCTGTATTTCTTATCTACTAGGTTAGTTTCTCTGTAAAGTTTATATATTTAACCGATTTTTTGGAGAAGGAATAAGAAGCATATTAAAACATGAAAACAGAATAGAAAACAAATTTCTTTATTTTTACAGCATGGGCACATCTTACTCTAAGAGCCTCATTAAATTGCTTCTGGGGATTGACATATTACAGGTGAGACTGTGCCACTTTCTTGGTGGACATTTGTTGGCTGTGATCTGTGGTGTATGCCCAAGCATAAGTGGTTGGAGCACACAGGGTAGAGTAGGCTTAATTGGGGTGTTTGGGTTTGCAACAATTTACCACAGCCCTGTTGCTGAAATGCATCTGATAGGACAGTGTCTTTGTCTTTGGACTGAGCTGATTAGCCCAATATATTTCAAAGTCTCATTTATTCCTTTGGCCTGTTTTCTATTTGGAAAAGTTTCATCCGGTGTGCCCTGCATACCCTTCTATATCTCAACCATGTTCACATCTGAGTCATCTCCCATCTAGCTCTTAATTTGCTTATTAAATTAATCTTGCCCTTTCCTCTCCTTTATTTTTTAAAAATTTATTTATTTTTCACTTTTTTCATCATGTGGTCTCTTTTATTTTTGCAAGAAAAATGATCTTACTAGAAGAGTATTATATGCAGTAAGCATTAATATTTCAAGAATAAAAGGATTTTAAGTATATTAACATTACCAAAACTATACTAACATAGTATGATATCACAAAAGTTGTAGGAAATATTAAAAATCTGCGAATAGCAAGATTATTTCTATTTATTCTAGAATACTCCCCCCGCTCTATTTTTGTTCATCAGTTTATGTTCATTATATTCCACAAATGCGTGAGATCATATAATATTTATATTTCTCCGACTTGCTTATATTGCTTAGCAGGATGCTCTTAAAGTATTTTGTCAGATATGAGTATTGCTACTCCAGCTTTTTTTTCTTTTCCATTCCTTCATTTTCATCCTGTGTGTGTCTTTTGTTTTGAGGTGGGTCTCTTGTATAGTTGGGTCATGTTTTTATATCCATTCAGCTACCCTGTAACTTTTGATTGGAACATTTAATCCATTTACATTTAGGATTATTGAGAGGTACTTATTTATAGCCATTTTAATTCTATATGGCTAGGTTTCTCTGTTTCTTCTAAACAATCCCTTACAGCAATCCCTTTAGCATTTCTTGTAATGCTGGCTTTTAGGTGATGAACTCCCTGCTGGCTTGGTCACCCCTGACTTCCCTCCTTTGCCAGCCTGGTTACCCCCAACTGCCCTCCCCTGCTGGCCCAGCCACCCCTAACTGCCCTCCATTGCCAGCCTGGTCGCCCCTAATTGCCCTTCCTTGCCAGCCTGGTTGCCCTGCCAGCCTGGTCGCCCCCAACTGTCCTCCCCTACAGGCCTGGATTACTCTTTATTATATAGGATTATATGTTTCTGTTGTGTATTTTGAGGCCATTCCCTAACTCCCTGTCTTTTTATTCAGCCTGCCGTTATTAAAACCTTATTTGAAAAGTTACCAGAATTTCTTTTTGAACGGTAAGTGGAATTATTCTGGAATGTTTAAATTACCCTAGTATACTTAAGTTTCTGAAAAGATTAATCTGAAATATCATTGATTTCTTAAAGGTCATATTTATCACTATGCCATATTCTTAAATAACTACTAAGATCTATTGGGTTGTTTTTCTTTGAAATTTTACCTACTTAGTATTGGAAGGTATCACAAAGTGATTGGAGCATTGTCCTGTGCACCAAAGGTACTCGGGTTCGATTCCCAGTCAGGGTACCAAACTCTGTCTGGTTCAATTCACAAGAGGCAACCAACCAATCTATGTTTCTCTCTCACATGGATGTTTCTCTACTTCTTCCTTATTGATTCTCTAGAGTCAATAAAAACATGTCCTCGCATGAGGATTTTTTAAAAATCAGTGAAAAAAATTTCCACCTATTTATTTGATTAATAGGCCCAGAAAAATACACTATAAGCTAGTAATAGTAGTTATCTCCAAAAAGGGAGCCAATTGGCTTTAGTCAGATATTTCCTGAATACTGTTCTTTTTTTCTCTTTTTTAAAATATATTTTATTGATTTTTCACAGAGAGGAAGGAAGAGGGATAGAGAGCTAGAAACTTTGATGAGAGAGAAACATCGCCGAGCTGTCTCCTGCACACCCCCAGCCAGGGATGTGCCCGCAACCAATGTACATGCCCTTGTCTGGAAACGAACCTGGGACCTTTCAGTCCGCAGACCGACACTCTATCCACTGAGCTAAACTGGTTTTGGCCTGAATACTGTTCTTTATCTTTTCAATTTTACAATGTTCATTTCAAGGTTTGTGGGTTTGTTTTTGTTTTTTTGTTTTTTTTAACATAGAAAAATGAGCATCCTAATAGAAAAGTAGATAAGGGCATGAATAGACAGTTCACAAAGAAGAAACACAAGAGCATCAGACCTTTCACAAAATGTTCAATTTCTTTAATAATGAAAGACACAAAACAGTAAATACACTTTTTCCATTTGCAAAGGATCTTCCCTATTGAGTGTAATATAGAGGCATGCTCATACATTGCTGATGAACATAAATTGGTTTAATTGTTCTGAAGGATAGTAGACTATACGTATGTATCAAAAACTTATATTTTGGCCGAAAACTGGTTTGGCTCAGTGGATAAAGCAACGGTCTGCAGACTCAAGGGTCTCAGGTTCTATTCCAGTCAAGGGCATGTGCCTTGGTTGCGGGCGCATCCCCGGTAGAGGGAGTGCAAGAGGCAGCTGGTCGATGTTTCTAGCTCTATCCCTCTTCCTCTGTAAAAAAATCAATAAAATATGTATTTTTAAAAAACCTTGCTGAAACCGATTTGGCTCAGTGGATAGAGCGTCAGCCTGCGGACTGAAAGGTTCCAGGTTTGATTCAGGTCAAGGGCATATACCTTGGTTGTGGGCACATCCCCAGTGGGGGTTGTGCAGGAGGCAGCTAATCGATGATGCTTTCTCATTGATGTTTCTAACTCTGTCCCTCTCTTCCACTCTGTAAAAAATCAATAAAATATATTAAAATAAAACAACAAAAAAAACTCTTATATTTTGTCCACCCTTTCATGCTCTAAAATGTCTTCTAATTTACCTTACGGTAATACTTGTGTATGAAAGTAGTAAACTGAGATGTTCAACTATAAGAGATTGGTTTTTTTTGTTTGTTTTTTTAATAAATATGTATTTTATTGATTTTGTACAGAGAGGAAGGGAGAGAGATAGAGAGAAACATCGATGAGAGAGAGTCATCGATCAGCTGCTTCTTGCACACCCCCTACTGGGGATATGCCCGCAACCAAGGTACATGCCCTTGACCGGAATTGAACCCGGGTCCCTTCAGTCCCCAAGCCGACGCTCTATCCATTGAGCCAAACCGGTTTCGGCAACTATAAAAGATTGTTAAGTAAATTAGGTACATCCACACAGCAGAATATCATGTGGACATTTAAAAATCATAAAGAGGTCCTGATCGGTTTTGCTCAGTGGATAGAGCATCAGCCTGTAGACTGAAGGTTCCCACATTCTATTCTAGTCAAGGGCGTGTACCTTGGTTCTGACCACATTCCTAGTAAGGGGTGTGCTGATGTTTCTCTTCTTATTGATGTTTCTAACTCTCTATCCTTCTCCCTTCCTCTCTGTAAAAAACCAATAAAATATATTTTTAAAAAATTACAAAGAGGACTATTTAATACTGTGCATTGCAAATCAGTATTTGTAGGTCAGCTTAGTTTTTTTTTTTTTTTTTTTTTTTTTAATATGTCTACTGATTTTAGAGAGAGAATCATCAATAGGTTGCCTTCCACCCCCACCCTCACTGGGGATTGAACCAGAAATCTGGGCATGTATCCTGACAGGTAATTGATCCAGCAACATTTCAATACATGGGACAATGTTCAACCAACTGAGCCACACCAGCCAGAGATTTTTTTATTTTATTTTATTTATTTTTTTCTTGGATACATCCATACGTACACAATCATAGATACATAATACATAAGCATATCAATAGTGGGCATCTCTGGGATGACAGGATTATATGTCATTTTTATTTTCTCCTTCATATGTGTTTTTTCAGGGATTTATATCTTATATAATAAAAGGCTAATATGCACATCGGCTGAACGGCATAACAACCAGTAAACCATGGGGAGCAGGCCTATGCCGTCAGTTGGATAAGCCGTCAGTTGGACATCCCCTGAGGGCTCCAAGACAGTAAGAGGGCACAGGCCAGGCTGAGGACGCCACCCCTGAGTGCACGAATTTCGTGCACCAGGCCTCTAGTATAATAATAAGCCTGAAGGCTTACATTAAAAAATTTATGCTTTGCCTAGATGGTTCACACTAGATGCTTTATGTTTTGACTAAGTCTTTTTCAGCAGTTGAATTTGACAGTAGTAAACAAAGACTGAGAATGCTGTTCAGAAAATGACCCGAAGGTGGTCCAAAATTTTAGATATAGTAAGTAGCTTTGGAGGAAGCCAGGGACTATTGTTTTGGGGAAATAATAACAGCTAACATTTTTCATCCATAAACTAGAGGCCTGGTGCACGAATTCATGCATGGGTGGGGTCCCTCTGGGTGGCGTGCAGGGCTCGGGCTGAAACCTGCAGTACAATGATGCCTGCAGCTCCTACCTGCTACTCTGCTCATCCTGGCCCCACTGTGCCTGCTGTGGGCTCCTGCCCAGTCAGTCCCGATAGGGATAGGTTTGCGTTGCCACAGCAGTGCTCACCAGCCAAGAGCCCTGCGTCTGGCACCCTCCCAAGGGGTGTAGCCTGCAGGATCAGGCTGAAACTAGATATCCAACATCTCCCAAGGGGTCCTGGATTGCGAGAGGGTGCAAGCCAGGCTGAGGAACCCCACTAGTGCCCAGTCGGGCCAGGGAGGGACCACAGGAGGGCTCCAGAGCATGTCCAGCCCATCTCGCTCAGTCCCAAGGGTCTGGACCCCAGCAGTAAACTAACCTACCAGCCAGAGCATCTATCCCCTGGTGGTCAGTGTACGTCATAGCAAGCAGTTCAGCAGCCTTAGCATATCATTAGCATATTACACTTCGATTTGTTGTTTGGTTGTTCTGCCGTTTTGTCTATTTGCATTATATAGGATGGTTTTCAATACTTAAACAATCTAATTTGTCCCACCATTTTTTATTATTTATTTATTTATTTATTTATTTATTTATTTATTTTACAGCGAGGAAGAGAGAGGGATAGAGAGTTAGAAACATCGATGAGAGAGAATCATCCATCAGCTGCCTCTTGCACCTCCCCTACCGGGGATGTACTCGCAACCAAGGTACATGCCCTTGACTGGAATCGAACTCGGGACCTTTAGTCCACAGGCTGACACTCTATCCACTGAACTAAACCAGCCTCAGCGACCCACCATCTTTTTATAGCAGTATATTCTTACCTTTTTCGTTACTCACCACATTGATGTATTTTCCACCTTTTGAAAATACTCATCTTACTCAATTTGTTAAAATTTATTACTTTATTTTTTTTTATTGTTTACATTATTTTAAGGCCTCAGTGGTTGAGCATTGACCTATGAACCAGGAGGTCATGGTTCGATTCTGCACATATCTGGGTTTCAGTTCAGTCCCCAGTAGGGGGCATGCAGGAAGCAGCCAATCATTGAGTCTCCCTCATCATTGATGTTTCTGTGTCTCTCCCTTCCTCTCTAAAATCAATGATACATAAATATATATTTTTTAAAAACAAGAGAGAAAGATACCCCCAGCCCTTTTTTTCTGTCTCTGTAAGCCTTCCGAGATATAGCCATGATTAACATGATTAGTGCCTCTTCCTGACATCTTTCTCAAAGTATATAAGCATATGTCATGCTTTGTTTGTATCACGTGTGTATCTGGCACAGTGCACAGGCATGGTAAGTGTTCAGTAGATGTTAATTGGATGGATGAAATGTTCACTGTTGTATAAATCAGATGAAATGTTCATTGTTGTATAAATCAGAAAGGCTAAGTTCCTTGTCTTCTCATCCTAATATTTCAGCACGAGCAGTGATGGAATCAACATGCCTCGACTCATCATCAATCAACTGAAATGGCTTGACAGAGTTGTGGATGGCAAGGTAGGCTTTTGGACTTAGATTTAGAGAGTGTGTTTTCCTTTCTTAACGAAACTTTTAGAATTTGCAGTGTTTTCTTCCTTTTCTAAACAGAAAAATTTACATTTTTAAATTCATCTATTAACTTTTCTCAGCTTTGAGATTTTTTTTGGTAGTTCACCCTTTACATTTTCAGAAAGAAAGAGAAAAAGAAAGACATTTACTTTATAATGATAGCTAGGTATCATTTATTAAATTAAATATTTGGAGAGAAAAATATTTGAAATTTCAAAGTACATAAATTTCTGTGTTTTCATTCTCAAAAGTAATAGGATCCCAAACCATTGTACTCACTGTAAATGTTTTAATTTGGTTACGTACATACGTACAGTTGTCTCCACTTATTTGCAGTTTTGCTTTTATTAAAAGTTTTTTGTTGATTTTATATTATTTATTTATTTATTTATTTATTTATTTATTTAATATATTTTATTGATTTTGTACAGAGAGGAAGGGGGAGAGATAGTTAGAAACATCAATGAGAGAGAGTCATCGATCAGCTGCCTCTTGCACACTCCCTACTGGGGATATGCCTGCAACCAAGGTACATGCCCTTGACCGGAATTGAACCTGGGACCTTTCAGTCCCCAAGCCGATGCTCTATCCATTGAGCCAAACCGGTTTCGGCTTTTGTTGATTTTAGAGATATGGAAACATTGATGAGAGGGAAACACCAGCTAGACCACATAATTTTTTTCCACTTTTCCATCTTTTTTAATATATATATATATATATATATATGTATATATATATATATATATATATATATATATATATTTACACGGAAAGGAATTGAGAGGGATAGTTAGAAACATCGATGAGAGAGAAACATCGACCAGCTGCCTCTTGCACACCCCCCACTGAGGATGTGCCCGTAACCAAGGTACGTGCCCTTGACCGGAATCGAACCCGGGACCCTTCAGTCTGCAGGCTGATGCTCTATCCACTGAGCCAAACCGGTTTTGGCACCACATAATTTTTAAAAAATTGATTTCAGAGGAAGGAAAAAAAAGGGAGAGAGAGAAATATACTACCTAATAAAAGAGTAGTATGCAAATTAACCATCACTCCGCTATACCCACAAGCCACGCCAACAACCCAATCAGCGAGTATGCAAATTAACCAAGATGGCTGTGGCCACAGAGAACAGGAGAGAGGCTTGGGTTTTCTGGCAATAGAGGAAGCCACGCTTCTGCAGCCCTAGCCGGCCTAGGCCTTCTCTCCAGGCTACAAAGTTTCAATTATAGAAGATAAACAAATCCAAACAGAAATGACTGCAGCCACAGAGCAAGCAGCAGGCTTGGCTCTGCTCCAGGCTACACATTTTCAATTGTAGAAGGTAAATGATTTCCAGATACCAGGGCCTCCACTTGGGTTTCAGGAGGGTGTGGCCGACCTGCAAACCACCACAGGCCCCTTGCCCAGGCAGCCCCACGCCCCAAGGGAACCCCCAGCCTGATCCAGGACACCCTTCAGGGCAAACCATCTGGTCCCCACCCGTACACCAGGCCTCTGTCCTATCCAATTAAAGAGTGTTATGCAGATTGACTCCAACACACAAGATGGCTGCCCCCATGTGGTCAAAGATCCTGCCCCCATGTGGACACAAGATTGCCACCACAAGATGGCCAGCAGTGAAGGACAGTTGGGAGGGGAGGGACCAGGACTGCAAGGGAGGGCAGTTGAGAGGGACCAGACCTGGATTATGAGAGGGATGTCCCAGATTGGAGAGGGTGCAGGCTAGGCTAAAGGACAAACACACACACCCCCACCCCCCACCCCCCCTACATGAATTTTGTGCATCGGGCCTCTAGTCAACTATAAGAGACTCATTAATTGGCTGCCTCCACACCACCACTGGGGATCAAGCCCGTAACCTGGGCTGTGCCCTGACTGGTTCATAGGTCGACACTTGACCACCCAGCCAAGCACATAACTTTTAAAATTATAATTTCTTACTGTGCCTAATTTATAAATTAAATTTTATAAGTATGTATGTACTAGAAAAATCATTGCAAATATAGGATTTATTACTATTCATGGCTTTAGGCATCCATCAGAGATGAGAGGGGATTATACTAAAATGGAAAATGTCAGGAAGTTTTGCAATTATGTTATTTGTTATCAAGAACTTTGATAAAGGTAATTTTTTTTTTTTTTGCTTTTTCCTTACGAAAATTTACCTTCCATTTTATTGAATTTTAAAACTATAGGTTAAAAATACAGAAAGTAAATTTTGTATTTATCATGTAATCTTTAGTAATGTGCACGATCAGATCATAAAATCACAAAGTGAAAGGTGGGTGAATTAAGATCATAAAAAGTAGAAATTTCTGTCTCAAGTATGTCTCACGAATTAAAATGACAAACTTGAGAAAAATATTGACTGATTCTGAAAAAAAAATGAAAAAATCTAAAAATGGTAAGTTGAAAACTAGGCTAGGATTATAAAAAGTTATTACCAAGAAAGTTAATATAAATGTTTAATAAATGTAAGAAAAAAGTGTTCAGTATCATTAATAATTGATCAAATAAATTTGAATTAATATGTTAATTTTTAAAAACTTCATATTGAATTTATTGGGGTGACTATATCGAAGCCTAAGGAACCATTTGACCTTTTGACCGGTAGCTATAACGTGCACTGACCATCAGGGGTCAGATGCTCAATCACAGGCATGGAAACATGGAACAGACTGATGAATCTCAGGGGAGAGGGTGGGAAGAGAATAACCATGCATACTAGAACCAGCCTGGTGCACAAATCCATGCACTGGGCCTCTAGGGGTTAATAAAATTATATAGGTTTCAGGTGTATAATTCTATTATACATCATCTGTCTATGTTGTATTGTGTGTTCATCACTCTAAATTGAGTCTCCTTCCATCACCATTTATCCATCTATATCCTCTTTAACCCCTCAAACCCCCTTTTCCTCTAATAATCACCATACTGTTGTCTGTGTCTGTTTTTTTTTGTTGCTGTTTTTTTTTAATTATTGTTTTTTTACAGAGGAAGAGAGAGGGATAGAGAGTTAGAAACATCGATGAGAGAAAATCATCGATCAGCTGCCTCTTGCACATCCCTACTGGGGATGTGCCCGCAACCAAGGTACATGCCCTTGACTGGAATTGAACCTGGGACCTTTCAGTCCGCAGGCCAACACTCTATCCACTGAACCAAACAGATTTTGGCTGTTTTTTTGTTTTTGTTCTTTTTTTTTTTTTTCTTCTTCAACTTTTTCATCCAGAAGTTGAATTTATTTTGAGCCTAGTGCTTAAGGCTCATTTCTTTTCAAAGTTTTAAAAAAATCATTCCATTAATTTTTGTCAGATATTCCAAGGCTTAATCTTTACTTGGAAGAACATGGCTGTGGGAGTCTCACTTGGGCTAGAATTTGGGGTCTGTCATTTATTATGTATCATTGAGCAACACTTTTAAAATGGGAATTTTGCAAAATCTCTATATAGTTGTGAAGATTAAATGAAATCATAGTAATAAAAGGCAAAGAGACTTCACAGCCAAAGATCTGTTACTAGCAGATGCATGGAGCACCTCTTGGCCATAACAACCTAACAACCAGTTGCTATGATGACGCCCACTGTGGCCAGCAAATGGCCCCATCAGTCGGGACTGGAGGCTAATCTCATGGCCCCTCCTCACCTGCCGGCCTGCCCCTGTTTGGACTCTCCTACCCAGATCAAGAACTCGGCCTATCAGCCAAATGCTCCCCTCCCCCACCAGCTGGACCCCCATCAGCCCGTCCACCATGATAGGCCTGCAGCTCCTACCCCTAGCCAGTCTGCCCTTGATCACATACCCCCAATCCAATCGGGGGCAGGGCTGTGTGGCCACCCTCTGGGTCCCACATCCTGCCCTGCCAGGTGAGGTAGGAGTCATTCTGGGTTCCACACGCGCGGTGGGTCTGGGTCTCTTGCATGCTGGGCCTCTAGTAAAGTATACACTTAGTGGCAAGATTATGATCTCTGATTGCATAATAATCTGGCCACTCGGGGGGTGTGTGTGTGTGTGTGTGTGTGTGTGTATGTATTAGAGGCCCAGTGCATGAATTTGCATGGGTGGGGTTGGGCCAGCCTAGCCAGGGGGAGGAGACAAGGGCAGTTGGCCAGCCTTTCTGCAGGTCAAACTCTTGGTCAAGGGGACAATTTGCATATTAGCCTTTTATATATAGGATATACATTGTGTGGCCAGATTTTGCGTTCAGAGATCATAATAATCTGGCCACTCATTGTATAACAAACCAGTTTAGGTAAACCATCCACTCTACTTTTTTCCTATTTACCATCCCTTTTATGAAAATTTCTGGTTCATTGCCGAAACTGGTTTGGCTCAGTGGATAGAGCGTCGGCCTGCGGACTGAAGGGTCCCAGGCTCGATTCCGGTCAAGGCATGTACTCTAGTTGCGGGCACATCCAGTAGGGGGTGTGCAAGAGGCAGCTGGTCGATGTTTCTCATCGATGTTTCTAGCTCTCTGTTTCTCTCCCTTCCTCTCTTTAAAAAAATCAATAAAATATATTAAAAAAATTTTTTTCTGGGTCATTGACCTCTGAATTTTAGCTTCTAGTTTGAATGTATGTGTAGTTGGCACAAAATAATTCCAGCTCTACATTCCATGAGTAGGAAGTTTTTCTCTATTCCTGGTAATATGCTCCAGTTCTAATAGTATCCTCCACTGTAGGATCTCACCACCAAGATCATGCAGCTGATCAGTATTGCTCCAGTGTACCTTCAGCATGACTTTATCACCAGCTTACCTGAGATCCTAGGGGATTCTCAGCATGCCGATGTGGGGAAAGAACTCAGGTGGGTAAACACCTTGTTGCCATTTTAAGCAAAGCTCCACTCTGGGAGTCTTATCACTTCATTGTGAAACAGTAATAGTAATGTGTTCTTCTTATGTAAAAGAGGATGATACCTGCCTACAATAAGTAGGATGCAAGATTTGACTTTTTTTTTCTAATAGTATATATTTAGTACACCTATCTACTTTCTTTTAAAGGTCTATCTGTTGTGAATATGCAATCTGGCTTAAGATTAATTATATAAATTTTGTCTATGGGGATTTTAACATGTTCCCTTTGTTTCCTTAGCATTTCTTCCACCCCAGGAGTCCTCAGTCTTGAGTACATATCCAAATCATTGTGGAGCTTATTAAACATCTACATTCTTTGGTTCCTAATGCACATTGCTGCATCAGATGGATTGCCAAAACTCACTACTTACTATCACATGTGTGAAAAATAGTAATTGTGCTAGGGCAGTGATTAAGAGGAGAACAGGTATCTCTATGTAATAGTATTTCTAGTTTGGGTGTTTTTTAAATATATATATATACACATATATATATATATATATATATATATATATATATTTATTTATATATATATATATATATATATATATATTTATTTATTTTATTTTATTTTTCTTTTCACAGAGGTAAAAAGAGAGAGAGAGAGAGAGAGAAAGAAACATAATGATTAGAGAGAACCATTGATTGGTTGCCTTTTGCACAATCCCCATTGGGATTGGATCCTGTAAACTGGGCATATGCCCTTGACAGGAATTCAACCCAGTACCCTTCAGTCCACAGGCCAATGCTCTATCCACTAAGCTAAATGAGCTAGGACTACTGTTTCTGTTTTAATGCAGTTTCACTTATCCTGGAAGTAGTAGCTTTTTAAAAAATCTGGTTTGTAATACTTCCTTTTCTCTAGCTGTCTGCAAAGCTACCTCCAAAAATGCTCAAAGATTTTTTTTCTTTGTGCTTTGGGGCAGGATGTTCCTCTGACTATAGCACTGTACAGTCCACTTTGTCTGCTTAATTCCACTGGTTCTTTTGGGTAGCCTTCTCTTAGAATCTATCACCTTCTCTACCCTTTCTTCCTGTAGCACCCTGCACATATATCTATCATGTTCATCACATGTCATTATAATTGTAGGTTTTCTTTTTCCTTTTCTCAGGAAGAATATGTACCAAACACAATAGTGGGTTTCCTTTGTTTTGGGTAGTGGGGATACTGAGGGAGGATATCTTATTTATACTCTGTTTGAATTTTTAATAACGAACACCTATTTTTTAAATCAGATTAATTTCTAAAACATATCTTATTATTTTTACAGAGAGGAAGGGAGAGGGACAGAGAGTTAAACATCGATCAGCTGCCTCCTGCACACCCCCTCCTGGGGATGTGCCGGCAACCAAGGTACATGCCCTTGACTGGAATCGAACCTGGGACCCTTTTGTCCACAGATCAATGCTCTATCCACTGAGCCAAAGCAATTAGGGCCAGTACAATTTTAAATGGAACATACTATGAACAAATTTAATGGGAAGTAAATATATTCTTTCTTCCCATACTCTTGAGTGATTTTTCCCAAGTTGTTATCTGCCCATCTCTGTTAAAAGGTGCACAACTTTTTTTTATTCACCATTCACAGTGACCTTCTAACAGAGAATACTTCACTTACTGTCCCCATCCTGGATGTCCTTTCCAGCCTTCGACTTGACCCAGAGCTCCTGTCTAAGGTAGGGAAGATTCTGCTCTCCAGAGCAGAGCCAACGCTCTCACCTTCCACAGCCAGTGTCAGTCAGTCATTGCCTGGGAGCAATTGTATGTAATGAAAATTTCCTTTTGAAACAATATTGAATGACATTTGATCTCTTTTGTTCTTTTTAATGAATTTCGTGTGTCATACTATGACAGGTTCACTGCTATGTTTTAAGCAGTAAGTTTTAGTGGTAATCTATGTTTCTTGAATATTTATAAACTGCTATAGAAATAACAATTTTTTAATACTTTCCTCTAGCCAGTGGAAAATTCAGGCTCCAAAATATAATATGATAGCACACATTTATCACAAGGAACTGTGGTGTTAACAATTGAAAGCTTGTAATTAGGAATAAAGTTGTTTTTGTTCCTGAATTACATGTGAGAAAATGGAGTGAGAGAAGTGATTTTTCTAATTTTACCTACCAAGTCAGTATTAGGTTGAAGTATTAATCTGAAATGTTTAATGTTTTCATGTTTTTTATGTTTAGATCCGCCAATTGGTAATGCGTAAGCTGTCATCTGTCACAATGGAGGACTTACCTGTGATAATCAAGTTCATTCTTCATTCCATAACAGCCATGGATGCACTTGAGGTAAACTATTATTTCCTAACAAACATTAGTAGGTTGCTAGACCCTAGAGAGTACAGAGAAGTGCAGTGGTGTTATTGTGAAATTCAGCAATAAAAAAAGACTAACTTAATCCAACTGGCATGGGTCAGTGGTTGAGCGTCGATTCCTAGTCAGGGCACGTGCTCATGTTTTGGGCTTGTTTCCCAGTAGGGAGCATGTAGGAGATAGCTGATCAGTGATTCTCTCTCATTGATGTTTCTCTCTGAAATCAATTAAAAAATATACACACTCTTGCCAAAGCCGGTTTGGCTCAATGGTAGAGTGTCGGTCTGCGGACTGAAGGGTCCCGGGTTTGATTCCGGTCAAGGGCATGTACATTGGTTGTGGACACATTCCCGGTAGGAGGTGTGCAGGAGGCAGCTGGTCGATGTTTCTCTCTCATCGATGTTTCTAGCTCTCTATCTCTCTCCCTTCCTCTCTGTAAAAATCAATAAAATGTATTGAAAAAACACAACCCCAAAATACACATACACACACACGTGTGTGTGTGTGTGTGTATATAGTATATATATATGTATATGTAAATCCTATCTAATAAAAAAAAAGTAATATGCAAATTGATTATACCTCTACTATACCCACAAGCTTCACCCACCAGCCAATCAGGAGCGAGTATGCAAATTAACCCAATCAAGATGGCTGTAGCCACAGAGTGAGCAGGAGGCTTGGGTTTCCCCAGAAATGGAGGAAGCAAAGTTTTCTGCACACCCTGGGGACCCAGGCCTCCACTCAAGGCTACAAAGTTTCAATTATAGATAAATAAATCCTAACATAAATGTGGCAGCCATGGAGCTGGAGAGAGCAGGAGGCTTGGCTTGCCCCTGGTGTTGGAGGAAATCAAGCTCCTGCAGCCCTGGCCTGCCTTAGCCTCCACTACAGTTTCAATTATAGAAGATAAATAAATCCCAACAGAAATGGCTGTGGCCACAAAGCAGGCAGGAGGCTTGGCTCAGTTCAAGGTTACAAAGTTTCAATTATAGCAGATAAATAAACCCCAGATACCATAGCCTCCACTTGGGTCGAGGGGTGGCATGGCTGGCCTACAAACCACCACAGGCCCCTTGCCCAGGCCACCCCATGCCCTAAGGGAACCCCCACTCTGATCTGGGACACCCTTCAGGGCAAACCAGCTGGCTCCCAGCCCCACACCTGTGCACCAGGCCTCTATCCTATCTAATAAAAGAATAATATGCAAATTGACCATCACTTCAACACACAAGATGGCTGCCCCCATGTGGTCAAAGACAGCTGCCCTCATGTGGTCACAAGATGGCCAGCAGGAGAGGGCAGTTGGGAGAGACCAGCTTGCAAGTGAGGGTAGTTGGGGGCAATCAAGACTCACAGAGGGCAGTTGGGGGGGACCAGGCTGCAGGGGAGAGCAGTTCGGGGGAACCAGGCCTGCAGGGGTGAGCAGTTAGGGGCAAACAGACTGGCAGGGCAGCAGTTAGGTATCAATCAGAGTGTTAGGGGCTGATCAGGCTGGCAGGCAGACGTGGTTAGGGGCAATCAAGAAGGCAGGCAGAGGCCCGGAGCAGCCGGGTCGGGTGCGGCCAGGCCCGGAGCAGCAGCTGCCAGGCTGGGAGCGACCAGGCCCTGAGCGGCCCGGAGCAGCCAGACCCAGAGCAGCTGGGTTGGGTGCGGCCAGGCCTGGAGCAGCAGATGCCAGGCTGGGAGTGGCCAGGCCCGGAGCAGCCAGGCCCAGAGCGGCCGGGCCCCAGAGCAGCCGGGTTGGGTGTGGCCAGGCCTGGAGCAGCAGCAGCCAAGCCTGGAGCAACCAGGTCGGGAGCGGCAGTGGCCAGACCCGGAGCAGCTGGTTGTAGAACGGACCAGAGCAATAGAGGTCAGGCCCGGAACAGCCAGGCCCAGAACAGCTCGCTCCTCGCCTGCCCCCGCCCCAAGGCTGCCTCTCAGACATGGCTGGAAACTTTTGTGGGAACTTGAGGGTCTGCTGAATCAAGTGATGAAGGCTTAGATCTGGATATGTTGAGTTAGTATAGCGCTGGGGTGTTGATCTGTGAGTGCCTTGTGTGGGGCCTGGATGAGGTTGGTTGACCTATTTGGAAATGTCTTTTGTGTGAAGTGTATGTTTGGGCTTGTGGTGGTATTATTGATATGAGAAAATGCTAAGTAACTGATTTACTATCTGAAAAGGGATTTACTATCGGGGAAAGGGAGGGAGAAAGAGACTGAACATAAACTGTGCACCTATGGATGAGGACAATGGGGGATGGGGAGGGGGTGAAGGGTGGGGTGGGAACCTGGTGGAGGGGGGAAGAAATGAGGAACCTTTGTAATAATATGAACAATAAAGATTGATTAAAAAAAAATTTTTTTTTAAATAAAAATTTAAAAAGAACAAAAAAACAAGAAGGCAGGCAGGCAAGCAGTTGGGAGCCAGCAGTCCTGGATTGTGAGAGCGATGTCTGATTGTGAGAGGGAGCCAGCAGCTGTTTGTGAGAGGGATGTCCACTGGGATTGGGCCTAAATGGGCAGTCGGAAATCCCTTGAGGGGTCCCAGATTGGAGAGGGTGCAGGCTGGGCTGAGGGACACCTCTTCTCCTGTGCATGAGTTTCGTGCACCGGGCCTCTAATATGTATATGTGACTAACTTAGATGAAGATAAATTATTTAAATTAATAGATTCTAAGTGCTCTTTTCTGTCCAAACTAATTAATTTATAAAGCTCATGAATCCAGATGGTATGCAGGGGAGCTATTGACCAGGTTTATTGCTTATATAAGCTGCTAGAGGATATATTTGCTATTTTAGTGTAATTCCTTCAAATTCTGGGATTCTGAAGGGTATGACATAATATACTTGTATTAGCTCTTTTCATCAATACTTTTTCAAAATGCCTTGTTTAATATTTAATAATCTTATTTCCTCAGCCTTTCAGGACATTGTTACAGTTTCTTTGAGAGAGTGGACTGTGCCTGCCTGCTATGCACGAACAGAACACATAGATAATACTTATTTTCTGTAGGTAATTTCTGAGCTTCGGGAGAGATTGGATCTGCAGCATTGTATTTTACCGTCACTGTTTCTGGTTCCTGAAATCACGATGAAAAGTAAAGGCCAAACACGGTATAAGCTCATCGACTATTACTACCCTTTTTCTAAAATAAGCAAGGAGAGTTTTCTGGCATTCATCCTGAAGCCAGGACAGTAGGTCTTAATATTTACAACTATAAAGAATGGCAGTAATATTATACTCATGGAATACTGTACAGTTTTTCAAGTCCTATCCTTTTATATAATAAAAGGCTACTATGCAAATCAATTGAACGGCAGAATGACCAGTTGCTATGATGTGCATTGACCACCAGGGGGCAGACACTTAATGCATGAGCTTCCCCCTGGTGGTCAGTGCTGCTCAGCCAGAAGCCATGCTCACGGCTGGCTAGCACAGAAGCAGTGGCAGGACTCTCTCCTGCCTCTATGGCAGCGCTAAGGATATCAGACGTCTCCCCAAGGGCTCCCAGAATGTAAGAGGGCACAGGTCTGGCTGAGGGACTCCCCGTCCCTGCACCCTGAGTGCACAAACCTTATGCACTGGGCCTCTAGTGTGTGTGTGTTGGGTATTCACATCAATCCCAGATAGACTGCTTTATAAGTTTATTAGCCATTTAAACATGAAGTTATGATTTGTTCCTGGCTACATGGCTAGTATATAGGAACCAGGTTCCTCTCTGTTAAGTGGAAGAATGATTTTATTCCCTTTTTGCTGCTTGTAGTTCTTCAGGAAACCAAGGAAACAGCGATGAGAGCTGTGTTTTTCTTATTTTTGACGTAATAAAGTCAGCTGTTAGATATGAGAAAACCATTTCTGAAGCCTGGATTAAGGTGAGTCAGCTCTTTGGAACTTTAAATATTAAGGAGGAAATGGGTGGCAATTAGTGATAGATAGATAGATATATAAGTAAAGGTAAGTTTAAATAAAAGTCTTAAAAGTCATTCAAGAAGAAATTATGGTGGTTGCTTGGTTCTCAAATAAGAGAACAAGACATGCTGAATAAAATGAGAAGTATTCTACTAATGTGATGTAATATATTTGTGACCCTTGTTTTTCCAGGCTATTGAACACGTTGCACCAGAGTCTGAACATAAGGTAATGTTCATGTACTATGAATTTTAACTATTAAAATTAGTGAAATTGGCTAGTGAAATTTTTTCCCCCCCTGCTTTTTTTCTTGCTCCCTCCAGTCATCCCTTCTATGCCTTCTCTAGCTGCTCTAATAAAAACAAGCTGTCAGGGGAAGATGAAACGAGGGGGTGACTTGCCAGATGGTCTTCCCTGCTCATTTATTCTGGCAATAAACTAAGCCTAAAATATCCATAAGGGAAAACGTTAACATTTCAAATAAGCATAGTGAGTTGGAAAGAAGCTAAGTCCCACTGCTGAGGAGCTGAAGACTAGAATCACCTGGATCATCAGTCAGGTCCCTGTACCTGTCTGATTGTCTTCCCTCCCACCTAATAGAATTGTTAGAATAATAGCATTCCATGTTTTACTTTTCTTTGCATATGGACCAGAGTGAATCCATCCACTGTCAAGGCAATGATACTGAATCTTTTTAATTCTGGAAATGTTGTCTTCTGTTAAGCCAGATGAGCTGAAACCGGTTTGGCTTCAGTGGTAGAGTGTCGGTCTGCGGACTGAAAGGTACCAGGTTCGATTCCGGTCAAGGGCATGTACATTGGTTGCGGGCACATCCCGGGTAGGGGGTGTGCAATAGGGAGCTGGTCGATGTTTCTCTCTTGACATTTCTAGCTCTCTATCTTTCTCCCTTCCTGTGAAAAATCAATAAAATATTAAAAAAAGAAGCCAGATGATTGAATTTTTTTTAATATGTTTTTTGTTGACTTGAGAGAGAGAGAGAGAGAGAGAGAGAAACATTGATCAAAGAGAAACTTTGATTAGCTGCCTCCTGTACAGTTCCTAACAGGGATCAAGCCCACAACCTGGACATGTGCCCTGACTGGGAATTGAACCATTAACCTGTTGGTACTGGAACGATGCTCAACTTAGTGGAAGGGAAGGAGGAGGGGAGAAGAGAGTCTTATTTTTAATAGCTGTATAATATTCTGGAAGTGCCTGTTATAATTTATTTAACCTTTTTCATTTGACAGATATTTACATTCCAACTTTTCACACAGTTATGTTGAAGTTGGCAAGTTTTTTTTAATCTTTTTTCTTTAAGAACTGTGAAGATATTTCAAGTTCTTTCTGTAATAATGCCATTTTCACTTGTATCCCAATGTTTTCTTAAAATATACCAGTGGTTAATAGTTGTAGCACATGATTTCTCTGAAAAATATTTTGCGATTTGTGGAAATGTAGGTGGCACTTCCATGGGTATGTTGAACAAATGAGTGTCATCCATTCTGTGTTTTAATGGGGAAAATTGAAAACTGCTAATTCATTGTAGTAAATGTATTGATTTGTTAAATTCTTTTCCTGTTGTTGTATATTTATTGACAATAGACACTTGACCTGGTGGTGCTTCTAATCATCTATAGCACCAACACTCAGGCAAAGAAGTACATTGAGAGGGTGCTAAGAAATAAGATTCGATCAGACTGCTTTGATAAAGATCTGCTGCAGAGTACATTCTTTGTTCATCACTTGGTAAGTGTCAGAGAATCCGACAACATTATTGTGAAAGGTATAGAGAGATTATTTTAACCTTTCCTACCCATTGTGGGAATCTTAACACCACCACCTTTGCTGGGTGTTGATCTTTGACAGGGAGCTTGGTATATTTCAAAACCTAATAGGATTATTACTTACTTTGATAGAGACATTATGATGTTAATAAAACCATATAAGATTATTTTTTGACTTTTTAGTGAAAAGATCACAAAATTGGTTTATTTTGAACTTATTAGACGTAAACTCCCAAGTTCATTTTCATAGAAGATATATTAATTCTCATCTTTTGATTACATACTTAATGTAGTAGCATGATTTTAAACCTAAATGGAAGGCTTTACAGCTCCCATCTAATATTTCATATTATTAATTTCAGCCCGTTATTCAAGCTGATTGAGTCTTTTGAATCTTAATTATTTTATTCCCTTTCTGCTTCTGGTAGTTCTTCAAGAAACCAAGAAAACAGTGATGAGGACTGTGTTTCTTATTTTTGACATAAAGTCAGCTGTTAGATATGTGTAGCTCTGTGTTATCTGCAACTTGACAAACTTGTGTGTCTGTTTTAAGATTTGTGGTTTTTTTTAAAGAATAGTTTATTGATTTTTAGAGAGAGGAAAGGACAGAGAGAAATATCTATCTGAGAGTGCAACAATGATTGGGTGCCTCTTGGACTCATTTTACTGGGTATTAAGCCTGCAACTTGGGCTTGTGCCCTTTACCAGGAATCAAACCAGCAACTGCCTGGTGCCCAGGATGATACCCAATCTACTGAGCCACACCAGCCAGGGCCTAAGAGTTTTTAAATCTCCCCAGCATACAGAACCAAAGAAATGCTAATAGAGACATAATCATGCATCTGAACCATTACTATCTGACTATTCAACACTGTGACCTTAGGTGATCATTCCTGTTGAAATATAAACCATTCAAATTAGGATTTTATAAGCTAGGAATGATGTTTTCAGGTGAATTTTTAGGATATTAAGTGTATGCCTTCTTAGAAAATGGTAGCAGTGCTTTGGGGCTTGACTTAGAAACTAATATATATATATATATATATATATGTATGTATGTATGTATGTATGTATATAGTTGGTCCTTAAGATTTTATATTTAGAAATGGATTTAATGTTCATATATATATAGATACACACACACACACACACACACACACACACACACACACATATATATATATATATATATATATATATATATATATATATATAAAATGTACTGGAGGCCTAATGCACAAAATTCATGCAAAGGGGCTTGGCCCCCACCGCGATGGCTTCGTCCGGAAGGACGTCTGGTCTATTTATCATATTGCACTTTTATTATTATAAATATTTTTTTATTAGTCCTCACCAAGGATATTTTTAAAAAATATATATTTTATTGATTTTTTACAGAGAGGAAGAGAGATAGAGAGCTAGAAATGTCCATGAGAGAGAAACATCGACCAGCTGCCTCTTGCTCACCCCCTACCGGGGATGTGCCTGCAACCAAGGTACGTGCCCTTGACTGGAATCGAACCTGGGACCTTTCAATCCGCAGACTGACGCTCTACCACTGAGCCAAACCAGATAGATTCGGCTAGTTTCTCTTCTTGATCTTCCTTTTTTTTTTTTTTTTTTTTAATAGATTTTATTGATTTTTTTACAGAGAGGAAGGGAGAGAGATAGAGAGCTAGAAACGTCAATGAGAGAGAAACATCGACCAGCTGCCTCTTGCACACCCCCTACCGGAGATGTGCCCGCAACCAACGTACATGCCCCTGACCGGAATCGAACCCGGGACCCTTTAGTCCGCAGACCGACGCTCTACCACTGAGCCAAACCGGTTTCGGCCTGATCTTCCTTTTTTTAAGTATATGATTTTTTACAGAGAGGAAAGGAGAGGAATAGAGAGTTAGAAACATTGATGAGAGGGAAACATCCACCAGCTGTCTCCTGTGCGCGAGTGCTCACACACACACACACACACACACACACACACGGGATATGCCTGCAACCAAGGTACATGCCCTCATCCAGAATCGAACCTGGGACCCTTCAGTCTTCAAACAGACACTCAATCCACTGAGCAAAACCAGCCAGGGCCTCTTCTTGATCTTTCAAAGAAATCAATTTAATTAGCATTGAACCTTGTGGATTTCAAATCATAACCAAAGCAGAGCAAGCTTAATATATCACTTGGGGGTGGGGACTGTATAATTGAGTGAGGAAAATTGGGATTTAGAAGATCTGGATTCTAGTCCCAAATTGGGCAGATACAATCAGTGCTATTAAATAGGCTTGTAGTTTAACTTCTTTGAGCTTCAAAGCCAATATTTATATGCTGAATCCTTTTGATCTGAGGTTGGGGGGGAATTCAGAATGATAAAGGATTATTCTGGGTAAAGCAAAGATGAAGGTTTCTTTATTTAACATGAGAGTTGACTGGGAGATATCTCACATTCCAAAAGGATTTGCAATTCTTGGTGCTAAAACTTTTTTCTCTCTTTTCTTCCCCCTCAAGGTTCTTAAGGATCTTTGTCCATCCATTCTATCACTGGCTCAGAATTTGTTGCACTCCCTGGACCAGAGTATAATTTTATTTGGCAGTCTCTTATACAAATATGCATTTAAGTTTTTTGATACTTACTGCCAACAGGTATGTTGAAATATTTATTTTGGAAAAGGGAACGGGGAAAAGGGAAGAAATACTAGCCCACCTGACCTGCATATGATCTGATGTTTATTGCTTGTTGGTTGAAGGCATTGTGGAAGAAAGCTCAGAACTGGGAGTTGGGAAAACTTAGTTCAAGTGGATAGTCTTGATAAAAGAAAGAGACTGGATTGGAGGATTGAACTCTGGTTTGAGCTCTAAAATTCTCTGAGTCTAAAATGAAGATTCAGATCCAGTATGCTCTAAATGAGCTGTGGTCAGGAAGCTTCACAGGACAGGAACTGCAGTCTTAAAATTTAGCTGTAAATAATCAACTGCCAGTGGATCCTGGAGTTTCCTAGGGAAAGAATGTGGCAAAAGACAAACGAAGAAGAAAGGCTGAGGGCATAGCCCCATTTTCATGAACATGCAACACAAAATTTAATAACACATATCCATGGAGGGAGGACTGTACTTATAGGAAGTGATTATGAAATCAAAGAACAAAGTGTCCTATTTTATCTTATTCTATACCTATTATTAACAATGTTAAAACACATTTGAATGGATCTTTTTTAAAAAATGAAGAAAAAGTTTTAAAATTTTACACCAGCAATAGATGCAATTGACATGAGCTAGCTATTGCAATTGAGGAAGCCAGATGACTCTATATGGAGCAGCATTATAAAGGAAAGGGAAAATGGCATCTAAGATTTTTTTTTTTTTTTTTAACCATCTTAAAAACTATCATGGCACATGGTGCTTTGAAACATAGAAGTTTAACAGATAAAAACTTCTACAATCTTTAGATTCTCAGAGGCCATCTTTTCAGTAAATTTCAATAAGTTAAATATAATCACACCATAAAATTTAATATTTAACCCATATGAGATAGAGAAAGACCATTCCACAGAGAAAAATCAGGAGAGTTTAAGTTAGTAATTTTCAAACTTTTTCTGCGGCACACCAAAAAATATGTTTTTTACCAATCTGACAAAAACATAGGTATAATTTTCCCCAAAAAATATATTTTTATTTCAGAGAGGGAGAGAGCAATAGAAACATCAGTGATGAAAGAGATTCATTGATCAGCTGCCTCCTGCTTGCCCCACACTGGGGATCAAGCCCACAACCCTGACCTGACCTAGAACCAAACCATGACTCCTGGTTCATAGATCAGTGCTCATCCACTGAGCCACACGGGCCAGCCAAAAATAGGTATAATTTTGATTCATTCACTCCAGATGGCTATTATTTTTTCTTCTTTTTGTTATAAATATATTTTATTGATTTTTTTACAGAGAGAAAGAGAGGGATAAAGAGTTAGAAACGTCGATGAGAGAGAATCATCAATTAGCTGCCTCTTGCACACCCCGAGCTGGGGATGTGCCCGCAACCAATGTACATGTCCTTGATCAGAATCAAATCTGGGAAGTTTCAGTCCGCTGGCCAACGCTCTATCCACTGAGCCAAACCGGTTTCGGCAAGACGGCTATTTTTTTGGTTGCTGTAAATTTTTTTTATTCCTTTATTAATCTCAGGGAAAAGATGTTAGGGTTTCTGACTAAAATTCTTATGGCACACCAGTTGAAAATCACTGGTTTAGATAATGTTCACTGTCTTGATAATTATGGGAGATGACTGGATGGTAGGGTAGTTAGATTTGGCATAATCTTAAACCTCCTGAATCCAACATTAATGAAAACTAGATAATAAAATTAGTCGCTGGAATAGAGTGGATTGAGATTTTGACTAAGTTGAGATTGGAAGTCTCAGGCTTGACCGTCTTGAAGATGGCTCTACCATATTTTTGCTTCATACTGTCCTATTTACTCTTCATATAGGAAGTGATTGATGCCCTCGTGACCCATATCTGTAGTGGGAATGAAGCCGAAGTTGATATTGCATTGGATGTTCTCCTAGAGTTGGCAGTTATAAACCTATCTGTTATGAGGCTGAATGCTGTCTTTGTGAAGGTATCTAGTCCCTTAATGGACGTATATCGAATCATTTTTCTTTCTTGCAGATATTTGAGAAATAGCTGCTATCAGCAGTAATTTTGTACTTTAAATATTGAGCATTATAATTGATAGGAGGAGGTGAGAAAGAGGTGAGATGATTGGAAATAATACAAAGAAAATAATTCATCTATGTATTAATTTGTTCAGCAAATACTTTTTTTAAAATATATTTTATTGAATTTTTTACAAAGAGGAAGAGAGAGAGATAGAAACATCGATGAGAGAGAATCATCAATCAGCTGCCTCTTGCACACCCCCTACTGGGGATATGCCCACAACCAAGGTACATGCCCTTGACCGGAATCAAACCTGGGACCCTTCAGTCCGCAGGCCAACGCTCTATCTACTAAGCCAAACCAGTTTCGGCAGCAAATACTTTTTTATGATTTGTGATAGGCTCTATTTTTGGTCTGTGGGTGCAAAAGTCAGTCCTTGTCTTTAACGATAGAAAGACTTATAGTCATTAAAAATACATGATGAATTCTCAAGTAAAGATACACCAGAACAGGAATAATTAATTTGACCTCGGAATCTGGAAAAGTTTTCAAAGAGGAGATAACATTTGAGTGGTTCTTGAAAGATGGGAAATATTTGATACAGGAAAGGAAGAAAGTGCATGTAGGCACAGGGCAGTTTGAACAGAAGCAGGTTGGCACCCAAGTCCATGGTTTGCCTGGATATGACTAGTAGATGAACATGTTTGGCAAATAGGATATGTGTTGAGAGGTGGTGGGAAGTGAGCTTAGAAGACATAGGACAGGACCAGATTATGAATGGTCTCAAATCCCATGCTAAGAGTTTCAACTTTATCTTTTTAAAGTTATATATATTGATTTCTGAGAGGAGAGGAGAGTTAGAAACATTAGTGATGAGAAAGAATCATTGATTGGCTGCCTCCTATATGCCCCACCCTGGGTATCGAGCCCTAAACCCAGGCATGTGCCCCAATCAAGAATTCAACTGTGGACGAAATCGGTTTGGCTCAGTGGACAGAGCAGTCGGCCTGCGGACTGAAGGTCCCAGGTTCAGTTCCGGTCAAGGGCATGTACCTTGGTTGTGGGCACATCCCCAGTCAGGGTGTGTGTGGGAGGCAATTGGTCAATGTTTCTAGCTTCTGTCCCTCTCCCTCTCTGTAAAAAAATCAATAATATATATATATATATATATATATATATATATATATATATATATATTTTAATTTTTTAATATATTTTATTGATTTTCCACAGAGAGGAAGGAAGAGGGATAGAGAGCTAGAAACATCAGTGAGAGAGAAACATCGACCAGCTGTCTCCTGCATACCCTGTACTGGGGATGTGCCCACAACCAATTTACATGCCCTTGACTAGAATCGAACCCAGGACCCTTCAGTCCCCAAGCCAACGCTCTACCACTAAGCCAAACCGGTTTCGGCTCAATAAAATATATTAAAAAAAATAAAAATAGAATTCAATTGTGACCTCCTGGTTCATAGGTTGTTTCTCAATCACTGAACTGTGCTGGCTGTGCTCAACTTTATCTTACAGACAATAGGAATTATTCCAAGTTTGTATAAGGGAGCTAACATAATTATGACTGGGCTTTGAAAGGTAACTATCAGCTGTGTTATCCCCATATTAGGGATGAGAATGCTGAGGTTTTACCCAAGGTCAAAAAGTAAATAATTCTGCCCTAGTCAGTTTGCTCCTGAGGACAGAAGGGTCCAGGGTTCGATACCAGTCAAGGGCACATAGAGAAACATATTAATTTGTTGCCCAATATTTCTGTCTTTCCCTCTCCCATTCTCTCTAAAAATCAGTGGAAAAATATCCTTTGGTGATTATTAAAAAAAAAAAAAAAAAGTAAATAATCCCTTTGTGATTCTCCAGAAAGAATTCTATCTAATAAAAGAGTGATATGCAAATTAATCATTACTCTGCTATACACACCAGGCAATCAGGAGCGAGTATGCAAATTAACTCAAAATGTCTGTGCCCATGGAGAGAACAGGAGGGAGGCTTGCGTTTCCCTGGTGATGGATGAAGCTAAGCTTTCTGCACACTCTGGCCAGCTCAGGCCTCGCTTAAGGGCACAAAGTTTCAACTATAGAAGATATGGCTGTGGCTATGGAGGGAGCAGAAGGCTTGTCTCCACTCAAGGATACACAGTTTCAATTGTAGAAGATAAATAAATACCAGATACCAGGGTCTCTGCAAGAGTCGCAGGGATGTGTGGCTGGCCTGCAAACCACCACAGGCCCTTTGCCCAGGCTGCCCTATGCCCCAAGGGAACCCCCTTCCTGATCCGGTACACCCACCCGTGCACCAGGCCTCTTATCCTGTCTAATAAAAGTAATATACAGAGTGACCGTCACTCCAACCCACAATATGGCTGCCCCCATATGGACACAAGATGGCCAGCAGAGGAGGGCAGTTAGGGGTGACCAGGCCGGCAGGGGAGGGAAGTTGGAGGCAAACAGGCTGGCAGGGGAGTGGTTAGGGGCAAACAGGAAGGCAGGCAGGCGAGCAGTGTGGAGATAGCAGTCCTAGATTGTAAGAGGAATTCCCGATTGGAGAGGGTGCAGACTGGGCTGAGGGACACACACCCCCATGCACGAATTTCCGGCCTCTAGTAATATATGAAATAGAACCTGAGATGATACAGGAAAGTCAGAGATATAACTTTTGGCAGAATATTGTTTTCATTAAGAAAAAAGGAAGAATAGAGGAAAAAAATAGGGAGAATGAAGAGACATGTTAAGATGACTAAGGATTTTTGCCCTTTGGGGTCTTAGAGTAGCTGTAGAGAACCTGAGGTTTTTGTGGAATAGATGTCTGGCTATCTGTATATCTTTATAAGGATTAAAAAAATTTTTAAAGGAAAAAAAGTTAGTTCTTATCCATATAATTTGCTTGCTTGCTTTTTTTTTTTTTTTACAGGGCATTTTAGAATATCTGGATAAAATGTCCCCTCGGCAAATACGAAAACTCTTCTATATGCTCAGCACACTGGCATTTGGCAAACAGCATGAAAGCAGCAGTCACATCCAGGTAAGAGGTAGTGTGTTGAGAAAGAAACTTAAACCTTCTTAATTGCAATTTACTGGAAAAAAAATAATAAATCTAGCCTATGTTGTAATAGAAATGGAGTGCATAGTCATAGTCTCAGCATTTGCTTATTATTTTCCAACCACAAACATTAAGTGCTTACTGTGGAGCAAGCACTGAGATGTTTGGTATGTTAGACCTGTGTGGAAATGGGTCTGTAATCGGCTAATTATGAAACTGAGTAAGAAAAGTAATTTATATTCTGTGCTGAGTGCCTATGGTGAAAGCATTGTACATCATCTGAACTTGTTTTCCTTTGTGAAAAAGCCAGACAGAGGACTCAAATAATAGTTAGAATCTTAACACATGGCTTTTTTGTATCTTTGGTGCCACCCTGTGGCAGTAATCGATACTAAATTATGAACAAATAACACGCTTTTAAAAGTAAAAAATCAATTGGCTAGGTAATATGCTCATGATACAAAATTCAAAAGGTATGGAAATGTAGTGAAAAATAAGTCTCTCCTCTCAGTCCTCTAGACATCTAGTTTTCTAAAGACAATCACTGTTACTATATTATAGCTTCCTGAGATGTCCTGAGCATTTACCTATTTATATTTATCTATTATTCTACTCCTTACCCTCTTGTTTTACATCCTGAACATCTTTTTCATGTAGCAGTACATTTTGGTAATAGTTTCATATCATTAATTTAGAGCTATGTCACTATTTTTTTAAATTGTGGTACATACATAACAAATTTTATTATTTTAACCATATTTAAATAAATAATTCAGTGGCATTAAGTACATTCACAATGCTATACAACAGTCACCACTACCTGTATTCAGAATTTTTTATCATCCAAAACAGAAATTCTGTACCTGTGAAGCAATAATCTTCCATCTCCCTTCCCCCTAGCCCCTGATAATCTCTAATCTATTTTCTGTCTCTGAATTTGCATATTAGGTATCTCATTTATATAGAATCATATAATATTTGTGTTTGTCTTATTTCACTTAGTATAATATGCTCAAGTTTCATCTATATTGAAAGATATATTAGAATTTCATTCTTTTTTATGGCTTGAGTAAAAGTCCATTTTATATGTATTATTGTATACTTTAAAGTATATATCACATTTACTTCATTCATTCATGTACACTGGGCTTTTTCCATCTTTTGACTACAGTGAATAATGATACTAGGAACATAAAAATACAGTTCTCTCATTGAGTCCCTATTTTCAATTCTTTTATATGTCTAGGAATAAGTTTGCTGAGTCATATGGTGATTATGTTTAATGTTTTGAGGACCACCAAACTGTTTTCTACAGTGACTATACCATTTTGCATTCCTATGAATAGTTGAGGGTTTCTATTTATCTGCACCCTTACCAACACTTATTTTTCAATTTTTAAATTATAACCATCCTACTGGGTGTGAAGTAGGATCTTACTGTGGTTTTGATTTGCATTTCCCTAATGACTAATGGTGAACATCTATGTGTTTATTGGTCATTTGTATATCTTCTTTGGAAAAACATCTGTTCACATCCTTTGCTCAGTATGTTGTTATTTTTTAATGTGTAATAATTTTTTATGTATTATGCATATTTCTTACTAGATATATGATTTACAAATGTTTTCTCTCATTCTGGGGGTTGTCTTTTTCCTTTTCTTGTTTTTGGTGGGGGTTTTTTTCAAAGAGAGAAAGGGAGAACGAGAGAGGGATAGAAACATCAATGATGAAAAGAATCATCCCCTGCTGGGGTTCAAGCTGGCAACCGGGCATGTGCCCTGACTGAGAATTGAACTGGTAACCTCTTGGTTCATGGGTTGATGCTGAGCAACACTGGGTAGGCCAATTTCATTTTTTGATTGTGGGTATCCAGTTTCTTCAGCATCTTGAAAAGTCTATCCTTTCCCCATTGAATGATCTTGGCACCATTTGTGGAAAATCAATTGACCATGTTGTGAATATGAAGGTTTATTTCTGGATCCTATTCATTGGTCTATATATGTGTCCTCATGTTATTAGTAGCACACTGTTTTGACTATTATAGCTTTGTAGAAATTTTGAAATTGAGAAGTGAGCCCCCAAATTTGTTCTTTTTCAAGATTGTTTTGGCTGTTTGGGTTCCTTGAAATCCCATATAAATTTTAGTATGGGTTTTTCTGTTTCTGCAAAAAATGCTATTGGGATTTTATTAAGGATTTTGTTGAATGTGCATATCCTAACTTTTTATTTCATTATTTTTTTAGCTGCACAGAAAATAGCATTAGGACAATTCACATATGTTTATTGAGCAACTGTCCAATAGTAACTATAGTAACTGTTACTATTGAATGTCTACCATGTACCAGGCACTGTCCTATAAAATTCAGTTAGTGAATGATAAAACCCTTGCTATTCTAGGTGTTTTGGTTCTGATATATGTAGGTTCTTTTACTGTACCATTCCTCTTCTTTCTTGTATCATTGTCTCCTTGTAGGATGACATGCATCTGGTGGTAAGGAAGCAGCTGTCTAGCACCATATTCAAGTACAAACTCATTGGTATTATTGGTGCTATCACCATGGCTGGCGTCATGGCAATAGACAGGTATGCATGGAAATTCTGACTTTTGTCACTCAAGGTCAGTTAACCAAGTTGCTGCCTTACAGAATAAAATATTACATTGTGTAGATATCATTGTAACAGCAGATATTAAAACCACTAGAGGCCCAGGGTACGAAATTTGTGCACTGGTAAGGTCCCTAGTGGCTCCTGGTTGCCAGCCTGGTACATTCTCCCAATATGTGCCTGCCGCCAACAGCTGGGACCTCCCTTACTGGCCCGCTCCCTGGTTGAGAGGACAATTTGCATACTACCTTTTTCCGTGTTAACTTCTAATCTTTTAATTTATACACTAGAGGCCCGGTGCACGAAATTTATGCACGGGTTGGGGGTTGTCCCTCAGCCCAGCCTGCACCTTCTCCAATCTGGGACACCTCAGGGGATGTCCGACTGCCCAGTAGGATTGGGCCTAAATGGGCATTCGGACATCCCTCTCACAATCCAGAACTGCTGGCTCCCAACCGTTCTCCTGCCTGGTTGACCCTAGCTGTTTCTGCCTGCCAGCCTGATCACACCTAACCACTCCCCTGGCATCCTTATTGATGCCTAACTGACCTCCCTTGCCAGCCTGATCGACCCTAACTGCCCTCCCCTACTGGCCTGGTCCCCCCCACCCACCCACCCAATTGCCCTCCCCTGCTGACCTGGTCGCTCCCAACTGCTCTCCCCTGCAGGCCTGGTTCTTCCCAACTGCCTTCCCCTGCAGGCTTGGTCCCTCCCAACTGCCCTACCATGCCGGCCCAGTCACCTCTAATTGCCCTCCCCTGCTGGCCTAATCACCCCTAACTACTCTCCCCTGCAGTCCTAGTCTCCCCCTCTTCCCCCCCACCCAACTGCCCTCCACTGCAGGCCAGGGTTCCCCCCACCTGTTGTCTCCTACAGATTGGTCACCCCCAACTGCCCTCCCCTGCAGGTCTGATCATCCCCAAGTGCCCTCCTTTTCAGGCCTGGTCCCTTTCAACGGTCTTCCCATGCTAGCCTGATGGCCAACAACTGCCCTCCCCTGCCAGCCATCTTGGTGCAGCCATCTTTGACCAAAGGGGGCAGCCATCTTGTATGTTGGAGTGATGGTCAGTTTGCATATTACCTCTTTATATTATATAGGATATATATTTTTATTAATTTCAGAGAGGAAAGGAAAGCGGTCTTTTCTTTTTTTAAAATATATTTTTATTGATTTCAGAGAGGAAGGTAGAGGGAGAGAGAGAGATAAACATCAATGATGAGAGAGAATCATTGATTGGCTGCCTCTTGTATGCCCTCCTGCACACCCCCACTGGGGATCAAGCCCACAACCCATGCATGTGCCCTTGACCCGAATCGAACCCCGGACTCTTCAATCTTCAGGCCAAAATTCTATCCGTTGAGCCAAAATCTTGACTGTATATACCTGATATGATTTTTACAGAATTGTGATCATAGTCATTGCAATCTGATGGTTAAAAACTAGAGATTGCCAAGAAATTAAGTTTTAGAGATTTTTCTACAAAAGGGAAATCCTGATTCTCCTGGGATGCATTTTTCTGTATCTGCTCTATCTGGGCACTAGACAGTATAGGTTTCTTCATTGCTGTGCTCTTCTCTGGGGCATTATGTTTAACACAAAGTCTTTCTGTGAGTGCCTCTTCTCCCCTGCACTTTGATGCCACAATTGTAGCATCAAAAGGATTATTTGATTTGGCGCTTGGTAAGATATTACCACTGCAAAAATGACATTGGAGTTCAGTTCATTATCCCTTTAGTCTAAATGATTTTTCAGGAATTCCTGAAACCTCAAAAGACATCCTTGGAATCAGCATTAGTAATTTGTAGAGGCTGAATAATTTCTGGTTCATTTTCCAGAGCTATACTGTTTCCCTGGGGTCGAATACTAGCTCTGTTTTTTATTAGCTTAATAATCTTAGGCAAGTTACTTTATCTCTTTATGCTTTTGTATTCTCACATCTGTGAATTAAAGATAATAGTATTTACTTTCTAGAGTTGTTGAGAACATTAAACGACTAGAATAAAGCTTAGTGCTCACTTTATGATTATTACTAGTTTTAGTGCCCTTAAAAGAAAAATCTAAGCCTGGCTGATGTTGCTTAGTAGCTGAGCATAGATCCATGAATCTGGTGGTCTCAGTTCAATTCCCAGTCACGGCACATGTCCGAGTTGCAGGCTTGATCCCCAGTAGGGGCGTGCAGGAGGCAGTCGATCAATGATTCTCATGACTGATCTCTCTTTCTTCCTGTCTTTCTTTTTTTAAAATATATTTTTATTGATTTCAGAGAGGAAGGTAGAGGGTGAGAGAGAGACAAACATCAATGATGCGAGAATCATTGATTGGCTGCCTCTTGCAGGCCCCACACTGGGCATCAAGCCTGCAAATCGAGCATGTGCCCTGACCGGGAATCAAACTGTGACTTCCTGGTTTATAGGTCAGTGCTCAGCCACTGAGCCACGCCAGCCGGGCCATTGATGTTTCTTTTGTTTGTGTGTGTGTATTGATTTTGAAGAGATCAATAAACACATACCTTGCCTTCTTCCAGTTCAGCTCATTCTGTTGTGCACCTCTCCAAAATCAATAAAGCATGGTTGTTGTTTTTTATTTAAGATAGCTATTGTTTGTTCTAATCCACATTTTGTGGATGAAATAAAAACTCCTCTGTCTCTTTATGCACTTTTTTGTGTTAATCCTCACCTGAGGATATTTTTTCATTGATTTTTAGAGAGTGTAGACGCAGGGGTCTTCAAACTACGGCCCGCGGGCCACATGCGGCCTGCAGAGGAGTCTGATCCGGCCCGCCAGGTTTTTTGGGCAGTGAGCGCAGCCGAGGTGTTACAGTGGGAATTAGTAGTTCATATAGTCCGGCCCTCCAGCTCTCTGAGGGACCGTGATCTGGCCCCCACTTTAAAAAGTTTGAGGACGCCTGGTAGAGGGTTGGGGAGAGACAGGGAGAGAAACATCAATTGTGAGAGACACACATTGATTGGTTGCCTCCACATGCACCCCAACCAGGTTCAGGGGGATTGAGCGTACAACCTGGGACCCTTTAGTCCTCGAGCCAACACTCTATCCATTGAGCTAAACCAGCTAGGGCCCTTTATGTATTTTTGTCATCACCCTCATCCTGAGGAAGTTGAGATTCTTAAACTTAATTGCTGGTTGTTACAAAATATTACAAAAGTGAAGCTAAATTTTTTTCTTTTTAGAAGTATATTTTCAATTTTGAGCCAAGGAAATGCAGACCTGAGCAATGAACAGTACACACAGGTGAGTTTTTGTAATGTAATTGGATATGTTTATGAGTAATTGAGAAATTGATTCTGGTTACTGTCAGTTTATCAGAAAGTAAGCTGGTTTTTCAATATGTGTTTTTCAGAATTTAAAGAGATTTATAGCACTCTTGTGGCACCTAGAATCTACTGGCTTGTGTTGCATTTATTTCAGCATCTGTCTGTTCTCCCTAAGTAAATCATGAATTCTGAGAGCGATAAAGATGGGCCGTGTTTGAAGAACAGCAGATTGATCAGAGCATAGTCAGTGTGTAATTGGAGAGTTGGAGAGAAAGCCATATTAGAGATAGTAAACAAGTCTTTGAATGTGAGCCAACACATTTTACTTTTTTACTCAGAGGTAGTCCTTAAGGGTTTCTTAGCCTGGAAACAGCCTGACCCAAGCTTTGCTTTAGAAAAACAAATGGCTACATGTGTCTTTGGGATTGGAAAAGAGATTAGACAAAGACAGACTGGTTCAGATGCTCAGGAAAACCTTAGGTGAGAGGTAATAGCATTTTGCCAGTGAAATTGGAAAGGGAAAAACCTACACTGAGTGGGGTGAATGGTTTTAGGGAAGCAGTGGCAGCTAAAGGGCTGAACCATTCTTTGTCTTTGGGTCCCCCAGGTGACCTCCTTGTTGCAGTTGGTTCACTCCTGCAGTAAGCAGTCTCCTCAGGCCTCTGTACTGTACTATGATGAACTTGCCAACATGATTCAAATAGTAAAGCTGGCTCCAAAAGTCCAGGTAAGCCCAAGTATCTTTTCCTTTTTCCAATATATTTTATTAGTTACAGAGAGAAAGGAAGAGGGAGAGAGAGATAGAAACATTAATGACTAGAGAGAACCATTGATGGGCTGCCCTCTGCATGCCCCATAGTGGGGATCGAGCCCACAACCAGGATATGTGCCCTTGACTGGAATCAACCAGGCACCCTTCAGTCCGCAGGCCCATGCTTTATCCACTGAACTAAACTGGCTAGGGCCCAGGTATCTTTTCTTAAAGCAACAAAGCATAAGTGCTGCTTTACTACTCGTTCTTCAATCCCTCTCTCGGTTGTGCTGCAAAAATAAATTATCCTATGAGTTCTAAGTGGGAAGGCTTTTCTGACTCCCCTGCCCAGACCTCTCCTCTGAGGCTGCCTTCACATAATAATAGTAAGCAAGAGGTGTTGATAGTATTGATGATGATGTTGATAGTGCCAGGCAGTGTAGTGAGCATTTTTCATGCATTATGTATAAGGTATTATTGTTATTTCCTTTTTAGAAATGAGGAAATTGAGGCTTAAAAAGGCCAATAGTTTATCTAGGGCTCCACTGCACATACACTGTGGGTTACACGGTCTCTCTTGTTTGCTTCCTGAAGGATTGGGTTGGGCAGACCATCTTTAACGATTTTCAAGATGCCTTTGTGGTTGATTTGTGTGCTGTTCCAAAAGGGTAAGTACTATTTATTCCCTGATTTGATTATACTGGTGAATAAATTATGTCAGTAGCTAGTACAGATATCAGAATGCCCTTGACCTCAGCCAAATATAGCTGATTCCCACAATGTCTTTCATCCCACACCCAGCACTCCCGGCTCCAGAATTGCAAAATGTTTCCCTACTTTATCCTTTCTCCTGGTTCTCATTTCTTCTCATAATAGGGAGATTGATTTGTTCTAATGGTTTCCCCTATAGACTTGTATGCCTTTGAATTGGGGCATCAGATTCTGGTTTCTCTCCACAGTAACTATCCATTTCCTGTGAAAGCGCTCTATGGACTAGAAGAATACAATAGTCAAGATGGCATTGCTATCAACCTCCTGCCAATGTTGTTCTCTCAGGACTTCGCAGAAGATGAAAGTAGAAGGACTTCACAGGAATCAGACAAGTCAGTACACTTTCTTTTCTAAAACCTCTTTTGAATGTTCTTGCAGTCTGGGGGGAACTTAATTGAAAAGGGTTTCTCCCAAGACAGGTAGTATTTGGATGGGTTAGCAGAATCTTTATTTTCCTCTTGGACCTTTTGGTTGGAATTTGCGTTCTCATGACAGTCAGCAGTTTCTGTGAGGCTATTTTGTTTCTGTTTCTATTTCTCTCCCAGGGACATAGTTGTCTTCCTGTACCATTTTCACTCCCTCCTTCGTCACAAATGGCAGTCATTCTGCTCACCTCTACCTTCCGCCACTGTGGCTCACTATGTATCTGCTGTGCATCCATTAACTTCCTTGTCATATGTTCTTAAAGGTAGATAGTCATTTGGGGCAAAATTCCTTTAATCATAAGGTGGAGCTCCCTATAAATGTGAACTAATATGCTTGTAAAGTCTGATATGGAAATGGATTTTTCCTTCCCAGCTTGGTCTCCCCATTGTGCCTGGCTCCCTATTTCCGGTTACTGAGACTTTGTGTGGAGAAACAACATAATGGAGACTTGGAGGAGATTGATGGTTTGTTAGGTATGGGACAAAGTTATCAACCTGTCCTCTTTGTGAACTTTCTTTGGTAAACTTAGGGAAGGGGCAGACCTATGGTATTTGGGGCAGGAATTTTCTAACTTCGCAGAATAGTATAGCAATAATAACAGAGTTCCAAAGACAAAATACATACCAGTCTCCCAACATGTTAACAATTAGTTTTTATAGTTTCATATTACTTTGTGGTCTTTGCTTCTATAGTTGTTGCTAATACTTCTTAATTATATATGTTGATTGCTGCTAATATGGAAGTATTTGGGGACTTGATCTTCACATACAAGTTAAGGGGAAATTACACAGAAGGAGAGTTAGCTCTAGGGGCAGCATCCAGGTTCTCTTGACTTGAACCAAAGAGAGTAAAAAAATTTGTTTCTTTCAGATTGTCCTATAATGCTCACTGATCTGGAGCCTGGAGAGAGGCTGGAGTCCATGTCTGATAAAGAACGTTCATTCATATGTTCACTCATATGTCTTACTGTCAACTGGTTCCGAGAGGTGAGCAGAGTTTTTAGAACATTTCTCCTATTATCTGTAGTTAGTTTTAAAAGTAAACTATTTTCTTGGTTCCCACAAGATGCCTTAAAAAGTCTGCCACACACTAACCTCAGTGTATTTCTCTTGCTGTATGTGTCCCCCCTTCCCTGCCGCCAGTTATATGTATCGTCTGATGCAGCCAAATTAAAATACTAGAATTCACTTAATGTTGCTTATGCTTTACTACTTCCAACCCTTTCTCACAGTATTTTTACTTCTGCCTGGAATAATGTCATCTTCTTCCCTGTGAAAAAAATACTGTTTATCCTGTGTTAAGTACACACCTGTTTCAAATCAGTGAGATCAGTTGAATGGGTTTCCCCCTTCTTTTAGAACATATTTGTGCTTGGAAGGGGGAGGGGAATGGTAAGATATGTACACAGATAATAATTTAATTTAAAAAAGAACATATTTGTGCTTAATGAAATGCACAATAGTCCTATAAAATAAAGATGTAATATGCAAATTAACCATCACACTGTCACAAAAATGTCTGTGCCCACAGTGAAGGCGGTGTTCCTGTAAGGAGCTGGAACCGGTGATCAGCAGGGACCTGAGGCTGCATGGCACTGGGCTGGGCGGGGGGGGACCTGAGGCTGCACCCTCCTGCCCAGTGGGGCTTGATGGGGGACCTGAGGCTTGACACGGATGGGGCCAGCCAAGTCTGGGTCTCGTGCGATTTCAAGCCACACATAGGTGGACGGAGACTTGACTCTGGGTCCCATGGTGACCGAGACTCTATCAGGAGAAAGATTTTCATGTACATTTTACTAATTTTTTTTCATCTCTGACACTTCTATTATAGAGAAAGGGCAAATAGCAATATTAAAATATTTCCTCTAATTAATTCCCTTTTAAAGTGCATGAATTTTGTGCATTGAACCACTAGTATGAAATATAAGGAAAATGAAAATGATGGTATCATCTTATATTTTCATCTCATTTCCTTTCTCATGCATAATATCTCTGAGAAAGTTTATTTGAATTCTCTCTTATCCTCACAATTATATTATGACATAGGCACTAATGAATATTATCCTCTTTTTATACATATGGAATTGTGGGTACAGAGAATTTGGTCATTAAAATTTATCAAGCACTCTACCATGCCAAATGCTGTACTCATTTAATTAATGCAGCTGCATCCCTATAGTATAGTATAATTCATACAACAGTTGCATTCCTATCTTTTTTTAAAAATAAATATTTTACTGATTTTTTGCGGAGAGGAAGGGAAAGGAATAGAGAGTTAGAAACATCAGTGGGAGAGAAACATCGATCAGCTGCCTCCTGCACAGCCTCCACTGGGGATGTGCCCGCAACCAAGGTACATGCCCTTGACCGGAATTGAATCTGGGACCTTTCTGTCCTCAGGCTGACGCTCTATCCGCTAGCCAAACCAGTCAGAGTGCATTTCTATCTTGTAGTTGAAGAAATAAAAGCTCAGAAAGCTTCAAGATTTGGCAGGGTCACACAATTAGTAAGTAGTGGAATAAGACTTGGTTCACAAAGTGTATGCTCTCTAGCCACTGTGCTATTCTGTCTTGTCATTTAACTTGTAATAAATAGAACTAAGACTAAAAGGTCCTATGTATTGGCCCAGGGCTTTTCTCTCTACAGCATCTTGCTGAGAGCATTTTTTACATTATAGACTAAACTTACAGATTCTGCTGCTGAACGGCATCATCTTGGCTCTGGATGAATAAGGTTAAAATCTGAATAGTTCAAAGTATGATAATATAATTTGTATTTTTGCAGGTTGTAAATGCCTTTTGTCAGCAAATGTCACCTGAGATGAAGGTGAAGGTGCTCACCCGGTTAAAGCACATTGTAGAGCTACAGGGAATCCTGGAAAAATACTTGGCAGGTAAGGGAAATATAGTACTACTGGTAGCCCTACTTGGACAGCAGTGAGGAGATAAAGAAGTTAGTTTGTAAGCCAGGCTTAATAATAGCAATGAGTGTGTCCATTTTCCTTCCATCATTATCTCCAAGAGCTCTTTCTGCTTAAGAAAATATAAAACATTGGTTAGGTTTTGGTAAAGTTACGTTGCTTCTTTGGAGGTCAACCAGTAAGTTGCAGTGCCTTTTGACTTCCTAAGCATAGTTATGAACCAGGAGTAGAGCTGAAAGTTCGTAATACCTCTGACCATTAAGTAAACTTGTCCTTCTAAAGTGTTAGCTTGGCCAAGACCAGTTTGGCTCAGTGGATAGAGCATCGGCCTGTGGACTGAAAGGTCTCGGGTTCGATTCCGGTCAAGGGCATGTACATTGGTTGGTTGTGCGGGAAGCAGCTGGTTGATGATTCTCCCTCTCCTTTCCTCTCTGTAAAAAATCAATAAAAATATATTTTAAAAAATAAAGTAAAAGTAGCTTGGTTCTTTGGGGAAAACATGGAGCTCCCTACGTTATCTGTGGCCCATTTTCCTATGCTAGAACAGCCAGGTAACTTGAATGTACCTTATAGGAAGTCGGCCATGCTTGGTAGCTCTAAAACCAGTTTTTAGCCAATTGGATAATTAGTGTTACAGCAGCATATGATGGTTATATATTGAGTTTCTGCCTGCTGTTTATTTCAGTCACACCAGACTGTAGTCCTCCCCTTGCAGCCTTTGACTTGGAAACTTTAGATGTAACACCTCATGCCAGCACTGCATTTTCAGCAAAAATAAAAAAACAAGGAATTACAGGTAAGTTCTTACATATTACTGTCTCGGTTTGAGTCATATTGAATTGACCTAAGAGGTTATATGCATCAAGGCATCAGTATTGGAGAGATTATGTAATTGAACCCTTTCTTTGGCATTTATAATGAACTATAGTGTGGGGTTATAAAATTGCCTCCTCTGGCCCGGCTGGCGTGGCTCAGTGTTTGATCATCGACCTGTGAACCAGGAGGTCATGGTTCAATTCCTAATCCGGGCATATGCCGGCATTGTGGGCTCAGTCCCCAGTGGGGGACCTGCAGGAGGCAGTTGATCAATGATTCTTTCTTGTCATTGATGTTTCTATTCCTCCCTCTCCCTTCCTCTCTGAAATCCTTTTTTTAAAAGAAATTTACCTCCTATGCCTCTAGGGATTTTTTTAGCAGGTTGTTTTCTAAAGGCAGTGATATTTAGTAAATAAGATTATTGATTCCTTGAGTCACTTTTCTCTTTTTGAAACATAAGGAAGAAGGAAGCGAAAAGCAGGTGGCAACAAAACATCCTCCCATGACGTGGTTTCAAAGGAGGATGGTTCAGAATGCGACCCTACGCCATCTAATAGAGGCCAGCTGGAAAAGGTATTGGAATGATGCATATCCATGAAGGTGTGTGACTGCCCAGTGAGATTAAGAGAGGGACCAGCTTTATTGTCTGCATTTCACAGAGAAACATTAGGGAAAGGAGAGGCAAACAAGCTTCTGTAGGCCTTACAGTGTCCCTATCAGTAGCAGAGTTCACATTAGACTCCAAGTTCTTATCACAACCACACTGTTTTCCTAATTATTTTCTTGAATGTTTTTTGTCATTTTTTGGATCCTAGCAGTACTTTGACGAGATCGGGTGCGTTCAGGGTGGTATGGCCGTAGACTCCTAGCAGTACTTTGAATTCTTCCTTGTAGTAATTATCAGCTTCTGTCTTTAAGCATAGTTGTAAATATACTCCTTTTAGCTTCTTTCCCCTTGCAATCCCAGATTGTCAACTTCTTGATAGATTGAGATAACATGAAATACTTTGTACAGTTTCTGGTACTTAATAAACAGTAGTTCCCTTTTCCTATAACTCTGCTACTCACAAAGTGGGTTTCATGTTGTTTCTGATATTGCCTGAACCACATGGATCCCAATTATTTCTGTTTCTTAGCTACTGTTTATTGCATATTATACTTTATCTTAGCCAAAAGCTGAGAAGCAATGTTTATTAAGTATTTATTATGTATAATTACTCTAATCCTCCTAAAATTTCAACATTAGGCCCAGTCGGCTTGGCTTATTGGTTGAGCATCAACTTATGAATCAGGTTATGGGCTTGATCCCCAGTGTGGGGCGTGCAATGATTCTCTCTCATCACTGATGTTTCTCTCTCTCTTTCTCCTTTCCTCTCTGAAATAAGTAAAAATTAGTTTTTTAAAAATTCAAGGTTAGTAATCATATTCAAATTTAATAAATGAGAAAACTTAAGACCCAGAGAGGGTAAGTGACTTAGTCAGGGTCATGTAGTTAATAAGTACATGATCAAGGGTTTGAAGTAAAATATTATTTTAGAAAGTTTAATTTAGCCCTAGCTGGTTGGCTCAGTGGATAGAGCATTGGCCTTGGACTAAAGGGTCCCATGTTCCATTCCAATCTAGGGCACATGCCCCCGGTTGTGGTCTCGATCCCCAGTGTTGGGGAAGGAGGGAGGAGCGTGCAAGAGGCAGCCAATCAATGATTCAGAATCATTGATGTTTCTGTCTCCCACTCCCTCTTTGAATTTGATAAAAATGCATAAAAATTTTTTTTAATTTAGCCTGGTTGGTATTGCTCAGTGGTTGAGCAGCAACCCATGTATTAAGAGGTCACCAATTCTATCCCCATTCAAGGCATATACCCTGGTTTCAGGCTTGATTCCCGGCAGGGGACATGCAGGAAGCAGCTGATTGAGCAATATAGATGTTTCTATCTCTGTCTCTCCCTAAAATCAATAAAAACATTATTTTAAAAATTAATTTATTTCCCAGTTACAGTTAACGTACAAAATTATATTAGATTTAGGTGTGCAAAATAGACATTTATATACCTTATGAAGTGATCGCCCCAATAAGTCTATTGCCCATTTGACACTATGCATAGTTATTACATTATTATTGACTATATTCCTATGCTCTACTTCACATCCCCATGACTATTTTATATTTTGTACTTAATTTCTTTCACCTTTTTCACCCATCTTCACCTACTCCCATCTCCACCCCACCTGGCGACCATCAGTTTGAAGAAGCCAAATATTTCTGGCCATTAAGCTCATAGTTTTCTGTACTATACCATAATACCTTGCTCAATAGTTCATCTCTATGTAGAAAACAACCAAGACCTTCAATGTGTGATGTATTAATATATCCCAGTATAAATTAGATTCTCTGTCTTAGGAATATTTAGAGACTTTGGTGAAAGGAAATTTGTGATATGATGAAAATGTAACTTTTTTGATGAATGCATAATTGCACTTCACACTCTTCATTAAAAATGAAGTTGCCGAAACCGGTTTGGCTCAGTGGATAGAGCGTCAGCTTGCAGAATTAAAGATCCCAGGTTCGATTCCGGTCAAGGGCATGTACCTTGGTTGCGGACACATCCCTAGTAAAGGGGTGTGCAAGAGGCAGCTGATTGATGATTCTCTCTCATCGATGTTTCTAACTATCCCTCTCTTCCTCTCTGTAAAAAATCAATAAAATATATAAAAAATAAACTATTTTAAAAACAATAATAAAATATATATTTTTTTAAATTAGACTAAATAGAATCCTCATTTATTCTGTTGGTTGTTGCTACTTTCTCCCTAGGAGTTCAAAGGTGAAGAAAAGACAGTGTCACTACAGAATTACCATTTATTATTCCGAGAGCTGGACTTGGAGGTCTTTTGTATTCTTCGTTGTGGGCTTCTGACCAAGTTCATCTTAGATACTGAAATGCACACTGAAGTAAGTGACAGCAGTGAGATCCCAGAATTTAACTTCCGTTCAGAAAGCGCCTCAGCTCCGTCCTTATTGCAGAAAGAATACCATGACATTGAGAAAGCTGAACCCTGACTTCCAACGCCTTTACATGAGGAAATCCTGGTGAAAAGTCATCTTGATGCTTATAAGCTTTAAGTGTTTTACAATGTGCTAGACGTTGTAATAGATCATGCTAATGAGGTGATCCTTACTTAGTTACTATCTACAAGCTGTTTAGATTACTTTTGTAGAGTAGCTCTATCTTGATTTATAGAGGTCAGTGCTATTTTCATGGCATTTGATCTGTATCCATGAGATGCTTATCAACACTTTTTGTGTTTGCCAGTAATCTAGACATTTGCACTTCAGTAGTTCATACCACATGATGTTTGCCTTCAGACATAACTAGCACTATGTGCTATGTTGATGGTAAGAACTGAACTGAGTACCAACGAAACTGAGGAGAGAATGGTATTTATGAGGAAGTTGGAAATGGAGGACATTTTCACAGAAAAGCTAATTTTTGATACGGAATTTTGCAAGAGTACAGGTTCTCCAAGTTTAGTAAATTAAGAAATAGCAGATTTTTACAAGAAGGTAAGGTCCTTCAGAATAGAAACAGTATCTCCCCTCCCCCTTTCAGTCTTTCTACATAGCTTGTCCTTGGAGATTTTCTATAAATGTATACTGAATGGACAATTTGAAGTAATGGATTTTACCTGTTTGTTTCTGGAAATGTACTATACTTATAAGAATCCTGCCCAGAGTTAACAGCAGCAAAACATTAAGAGAAAGAATATGGAAGAATTATTTCATGAACAGGGAAAAGTAAAATTCCTTTGAATTACTCATTTTTTTATCTTAGGGTACTTAGGAAATGTACTTCCGGTCTACTGCTAGAAAGATGCACAGAGGCATTTATTTCTAGAGAAAAATTATAAAACCATACTGCCCATTAAAATTTTATTTGATCATTTGAAATTTACATTAGAAATGCTTAACTTTTTTATTTGTTGACATAGCACACTAGGCGGGGAACTCCCCCCCCCCCCCTTTTTTTTTAATGGTCAGGTTCTTCACCCATTGGGAAGACTAAACATAAAAATGTGCTCCCCTAAGTAGATGGTTAGGACATGATTGTAGTTATTCTTTCCTTATTCCTTGTGACAGGCTACAGAAGTTGTGCAACTTCAGCCCCCTGAGCTGCTTTTCTTGCTGGAAGATCTCTCCCACAAGGTGGAGAATATGCTGATACCTTCTGTTGCCAGGAGAGTCCCTTTCCTCAAGGTTAGTATAGGCAGAAGCACAGGCCCTGACTTTAGTGGACTTGAAAACAAGTATGTCTTAGTAGTGAATAAGTTGGCATTTTCTCTGGCATAGTGTTTGGCTCACTGGTAGCATGGTGGCAGCCTCATTGCCAGACCATATTCACCTTGTGTAGAAAGAAACTCTGAAACAAAACAAAAAGCCACCCCAAATAGGAAGTCTATTTCTAAGCATTCCTGAATCCTGTTCTGTGCTTGGGTTTTGGTTTTAACAGCCTCCCAAAACTAAGCTCATCCCATACAAATGTGCCGTAGCATCTGGTGAAGCAATTGGATGGTGCAAATAACAAAATGTGAAAATTTTAGGTGTAAACATTTAGGCATTAACACATCCAATTACTTAATTCTTTCTTGTTTGTACTTACTATTGGCTCTATTTTCTTATCAGCCTAAATAGAAATATTTCTATTTCTGTGTCAGCTTTATCTCATTAGTAATTATGGGTCTATACTTCTCAAACAGTAGTTATACTCTACAGAAGCCAGTATCTTTGTTATTTGATGGCAAAGATCCCTTTTTCAGAATAGAGTCTTAGCCACGCAACTAAGTGAACTTTAATTTCAGAGAAGCTATCCAGCAATTTCTTCCCCAGTAACTCTGGATTTATTATAGGGTAAAGGAAGCCAGAATATCGGGTTGTCACATGTCCAACAGAGAACTGGCCCAGAAATTGTTCGTTGTGTTGTTCAACTGCTGGTCCCAATGTGTAACCATCTGGAGAACATTCACAACTATTTTCAGGTCAGAAGCCTGTTATTCTTACGGAGACTTAGAAATTACTAAGTTACTAAGATACTTCATTTTTGGCTAAGAAATATTGAAAGAAAATGAGGGCAATTGCTGAAGCAACTGTCCTAAAAGCATTTTTTTTTCTTCCTTTAAGTGCTTACCAGCTGAGAATCACAGTGTAGTTGATGGGCCAGAAATGCAAGCTCAGGAGTACCGCCTAATGTCTTCCTGTTATCAGAGGCTACTGCAGATTTTTCATGGGCTTTTTGCTTGGTGAGTATGTGGCAGGTATGGAAGGTAGAGACAATACAGTATGTACTTGCTTTACTTGATTGGCACTCTTCTTAAGTACTGGGAATACGTAAGTTCTTTTCTATACTTCAGTTCTTTTACCAAGGAACTGAAATATAGAAAAGAAGGAAGAGGCTCCAAAAGACAGAGGTAAATATGATGCTTATTATTGGAGTGCTTTTGTCTGCATCATTTTATTTGAACTTGCATCCTCTGAATCTTATGGAGTTGCTATTATTTCTTATTTGAAAATTAGATGACTTGCTTTTGGCTAGCCAATTTTACCATCAGATTCTTAGCTGAGTTTGTAGGGGGAAACTTTTTATAATAACATTGGAGAGGTTGTTACTTAAGAAGTTGTCATTAAACAACCTCTGGATAAATTCCAAATTATGTTGTAAAGAACTGAGCACAGTTGGAGCTGGGGTATTTGTAGGGCCTTCATGGAAGCAATGGTTCCTCATCAGGCCCTTAAATGTAGATGGCCTCTGGGAAGGCTCAGCATGGATGAAAGGAGAAATGAGGGAAGTGTGTTTTTAAATGCTGTTGTTCCTCAGGGCTGGGCCCTGACTCCTCTGTCCTCATAAGTTTCCTGGGCAATCTCACCCAAGCTTAAATTTATGCTAAAATTTTTCTTCTGAGTTACGGGCACTTATATCCAACTGCCTACGCAACAGTCTGTTAGATGTGTCATTAACACCTCATATCCAAAATGAAATGTTTCATCTTTACCACCGCTCCTTCAGCTTTTCCTGGATAGTTAAATGGCACCACCAGCTCTCTCAGGCAGATACCAGAAGCTATTCTTTGTCCCTTCCTTTACTGTCCATATTTTTTCTCTCTCACATCTGATCACAAAATCCTGTTGTTTTATGTTCTAAATAGCATCTTAATAGCCATCTCATTCTCCACTGTTTCCAGACTCCCATCATCTCTCACCTGGACTAGATTAGTTTCACATTTAGTCTCTCTGCCTCCAGTTGCCCTCCCAAGGTCCTTTCTTTACACAGCAGAGTGATCTTCCATATGCAAACCCAGTCTTAATCCTGTCCCAACTTTGGTTTCTGATTGCTCTTAGATTTTACTTATTATTATCATTATTATTATTATTCATTGATTGATTTTTAGAGAAACATTGATTTGTTGTTTCACTTGTTTTTGCATTCATTGGTTGCTTCTTGTATGTGCCCTGATTGGAGATCAAACCCTCAACTTTGGCATATCAGAATGATGCTCTAACCAACTGAGCTACCCAGCCAGGACCCCCTTAGATTTTCCTTAAGTTCAAACTCTTTTACCTAGATTCTAGGACCTTTTATTACCTGACTGCTATTCCACTCGTCTTATACCCTATATAGCTTTTACCTGGAAGGCTTCACACATACTCATCCTTCTACCAGGATCCCCACCTTCCTTGATCCCCTCTTTTCTAACTCAGATTTTTATTCACTTCCTCAGGCATCTTCTCCAACCCTTAGGCCAGTTAAGCCTCCTTGCCTCTCTGAGCCCCAGTTCTCTTCTATTATTCTGGTATCCTCTTACGATGAAACTTATTACTTGGTATTATAATTAATTGTTCATTCATCTTCCCTTCTGGATTATGAGTTTTTTGAGGGCCAAGACCAGTCATTGTTGTATTCCCAGTATTTAAGAACAGTGCTTAACAAAGATTTGAATAGATGCTTCATCATGGAAGCGTATTTATGGCAAATAAACACATGCAAAGATGTTTAATAGCATTAATTATTTAGGAAATACAAATTAAAAATCATTGCATGGTTAAATTAAGATTTACTTTTTTTAAAATATATTTTTATTGATTTTTTACAGAGAGGAAGGGAGAGAGATAGAGAGCTAGAAACGTCGATGAGAGAGAAACATCGACCAGCTCCCTCTTGCATACCCCCCACCGGGGATGTGCCTGCAACCAATGTACATGCCCTTGACTGGAATCGAACCCAGGACCTTTCAGTCCGCAGACCAACACACTACCGGTTTCGGCTTTTTTTTTTTTTTAATCCTCACCTGAGGATGTTTTCCTTTTTTTTTTTTTTTTTTTTTTTTTTTTTTTTTTAGAGGAGGAAGGTAGAGGGAGAGAGGGAGGAAGGTGGGGGGGGGGAGAGAGAGACAGAGAAATATCAATGTAAGAAATTAATTCATTGCCTCCCACACATGCCCTGACTGGAGCTAGGAGTCCACATCACAACTGAGGTACTTGCCCTTGACTAGGAATCAGACCTGAAATCCTTCAGTGCATGGGCCAATGCTCTACTACTGAGAAACACCAGCCAAGGTGGTACACCCACTTTTAAAAACGCTTTCTGTTCCTTAAGAAGTTAGCCCTGCTGAAACCGGTTATGCTCAATGATAGAGTGTCAGCCTGCGGAGTGAACGTTCTCAGGTTTGGTCCCAGTCGAGGGCATGTACCTTGGTTGCGGGCACATCACCAGTCAGGGGTGTACAGCTGATCAATGTTTCTCTCTCATTGATGTTCTAGCTCTATCCCTTTTCCTTCCTCTGTAAAAAAATCAAAATATATTTTTTAAAAAAAATAAAGAAGAAAAAGAAGAAGTTAGCCCTGACCCTTGCCGGTTTGGCTTAGTGGATAGAGCATCGGCCTGTGGACTCAAGGGTCCCAGCTTCAATTCTGGTCAAGGTCACATGCCCAGGTTGGGGACTCAATCTAGTAGGAGGCGCGCAGGAGGCAGCCAATCAATAATCCTCTCATCATTGATGTTTCTAACTCTCTGTCCTCCCTTCCGCTCTGAAATCAATAAGTATAAAAATAATAAAAAAAAGAAGTTATCCCTGGAGCCCCAGCTGGTTTGGCTCAGTGGATAGAGTGTCAGCTTTTGGACTGAAGCATCCCAGGTTTAATTCTGGTCAAAGGCACATGCCCAAGTTGCCGATTCCAACCCTGGTGGAGGGGTGTGTAGGAGGAGGCAGCCAATCAATGATTTTCTGTCGTTATTATTATTGTTATTATTATTTTGTATATCTCTCCCTCTCCCTTCCTCTCTGAAATCATTGAAAATATATTAAAAAAAAAAAAAAAAGAAGCTAGCCTTGGACAGGTAGCTCAGTTGGTCAGAGCATCCTCCTGATACTCCAAGATTGAGGGTTCACTCTCCGGTCAGGGCACATACAAGAAGTAGCCAGTGAGTGCATGGATAGGTGGAACAACAAATAAATTTTTGTCTCTCTCTCTCTCTCTCTCTCTCTTTTTTCCCTTCTCCCTCCCCCTGCCTTCCCTCTCTCAAATCAACAAATAAAAAAAGTAATTTTAAATAAAAAGTTATACACACACCTACCATACAACCCAGACATCCCATTCTTAGGTATTTACCCAAGAGAAATAATAGCATATGTCCACATAAAGTCTTGTGCACAACTAGAAACCGCTCCGTGTCCATCAATCGGTGAATGGATAAACAAATTACAGTATATCCCTATGGTGGAATACTACATACAACAATATGAAAGAAAAAAGACTTATACTGAATTAAAAGCAAGACCATAAGAGCCCAGCCGTGTGGCCCATTGGCTGAGCATCGACCCATGAACCAGGAGGTCACAGTTCGATTCCCTCTCTGGACACATGCCTGGGTTGCCAGCTCGAACCCCTATATATGGCATGTAGGAGAGAGATGATTGATGATTCTCATCATTGATGTTTCTATCTTTCTCCCCATTTCCTTCCTGTCTCTGAAATCAATTAAAAAAAAGGCATGAAAAAACAACAACAAGACCATAAGAGTATAATTTGAGTCCATTTATATGAAACTAGGGGCCCATTGCAGGAAGATTCCTGTAAGAACAGGGCTTCCTGTGGCCTGAGCAAAGGCCACCCAGGCGGGCTTCCCTCCCATCGCCATTGCCAGCACCATCTCAACCCTGCACTTTCCCTCCTGCGCTGCCACAGCCCGGTGCTTTCCCTTCCCTCCTGCCGCCACTGCCCCCCACCCCACTGCGCCCAATGCTTTTCCTCCCACCGCTGCTGGCCCCCCTGCTTGCCCTTGCCCTCCTGCAGCCGCTGCTGCTGCCACTGTTGCTGACCCATGCTTTTTCTCCCTCTGCCATCACCACCCCACTTTCCGCTTTCCCTTCTTTCTTCTATACTTTCTTCACTTCACATCTGTGTATGCAAATTAACTGCCATTTTGTTGGGTTAATTTGCATACTCTGATTTGCTGTGGGCTTAGTGGAGTGATGGTCAATTTGCATGATTCTCTTATTATTGTATATTCTAGAAAAAACATTGTGATAGAATACAGGGCAGTGGTTGATTAGCATTGGGCGGGAGGATGGAGAGAGGGATGGTTTACAAAGGAATATAAGGAAATTTTTGGCAGTAATGGATATGTTCATTATTTTAATTGTGATGATGACTCATGGGTTTATATGTAAGTCAACTGGTAAATTAAATGTTTTTAACAGATGCAGTTTATTGTATAGCAATTGCACCTCAATAAAGTTGTCCAAAGGAGAAAGCACCTGTCCCATAATAGGCCCTCAGAATGTACTTGTTGAAAGGAAGAAAGACTGACGGTCCCTGGTGATGTGGACATTTTTCTAGAGGAGCAGATCTAGGGAGTTAGATTGTTCTAGGCCTTGAAGATTAGGCAGAAGAACTTGAATGTTGTCCAGGGAAGCCGTTTTGAAGTTTTATGAACACACCATGATACAATGAAAGCAGTGTTGTAGGAAAAATTTTTTGGCAGCATTGTTCAGGGTGACTGGAAAGGAATACAAAAAGACCAGTCAAAAGGTGCTGCCATGATCTAGGCTTGTGATGGTAAGGACCTGTCCAAGAGTGATGGCCTTGAGGGTCCCAGGTTCGATTCTGGTCAGGGGCATGTACCTTGGTAGCGGGCACGTCCTTAGTGGAAGGTGTGCAGTACACAGCTGATGGATATTTCTCCCTTATCAGTGTTTCTAACACTCTGTCTCTCTCCCTTCCTCCTTGTAAAAAATTAATAAATATACTTTTAAAAAAAAGAATGATGGTCTTGGCTTGGAAAGGAAGGGACTGAAGGAAAGATAATCTGAAAATAGAATAATTAAGACTTGGAGAAGGAATAAGTTCTTTATTGAGCACCTATTATGGATTAGACATTGATTTTGCAATTTGACAAAATTATTCCTGGTGTTTGTTTGTTTGTTTGTTTAGAGAAGACTGTGACTTAGCCCTAAAATGCAGGGAATGAAGGAGAGCATTTTCCTTTGAAATTAAACCTAGGTGAACTGTTAGATTTTGATGGAAAGATTGTTTTAGGTACATTTCAGTCTGATACTCAGAGCTGTGACTGAATTTGGCTCTTCACTACTTTTAGTACTTTAGTTCTGCTTTTTCTTCTGTTGACTTACAGACTGGAGCCCAGGATCCTCAAATGCTGTCCAAGCAATCTTAACTAAAACTAAGCTAAACCATATTACCTTGACTTTTCCTTAGGAGTGAATTTTCTCAACCTGAAAATCAGAGTTTACTGTACTCGGCCCTCAAGGCCCTTTATAGCCGACTGAAGCCAAGAGAGCTCGACCAGTCCTTGGAGGAACTGCTTAGGTGAGTCCAACTACGTCTCTCAGAGAGTTTCCCAGGACATTCCTAGAAACAAGGTTTCTGGAAATAACAAGTGTCTCTTGGTAGAGAGGGAAATTGATATTTTTAGCTCCTTTTCCTTAGTTATATAAGCTTTCTCTCCTGTGTACAGTATTCAGACAAATCCTGAAGCTTTATAAACTGCTGAACAAATCATTCTAAATCTTCATGCATCTTTCATTATGTAAAGTTTGCCTTTCAGGTAATGACGATGACAGCATTGACCATCTACGGTCAATTCTTGACTATTCTGAGACCTCCTCTGTCTCCCAGTAGCGTTGAGTAATTAGGTAGCAGCTAGTTGTCACTGATCGTCTGTGTCCTTCCCCCAATTTTGGCAGAAACAGAGCCGAGGTTGGGTGCTAGGCAGTGGAGGAGGGAGCTGAGGAGATCTAAGGGGCATGACTCCCAAACTTCTATCCCAACTTCAACCAGTTAATTGAGTCTTTCTCTCACCTCCCCTGAGAGCTTAGGCCAGTGGTCGGCAAACTGTGTCTGGAGAGCCACATGCGGCTTGCAAGCCACGGTTTGCCGCTCTGTTGACTATTGAGTTTTCCGACCACTGGCCTAGGCCATCACTGTTTCTGCAATCAATACTTGTCATCTCTACCTTTAAGGCAGGACTTTATTTCATTTTAAATACTACTTTTAAATTTGTTTGACCTCCTTCCCACCAATCATTCAGAAGTTGACTTTAGCCCTAACTGGCTCAGTGGATAGAGCTTCAGCCTGTGGACTGAAAGGTTCGATTCCAGTCAAGGGCATGTACCTGGGTTGTAGGCACATCCCCAGTGGGAGGTGTGTAGGAGGCAGCTGATCAATATCTCTCTCCCATCAATGTTTGTAACTCTCTATTCCTCTCCCTTTCTCACTGTAAAACATATATATGTTTAGATCTCCTCAGCTCCCTGTTTGGGAAAAAAAAAATATATATATATATATATATAGATAGATAGATAGATAGATAGATATAGATAGATATATAGATATATATAGATATATATATATAGATATATATATATTTTTTTTTTTTTTTTTAAGAAGTTGAGTTTAATTTTATGTCAGTTACAATTTTGGATTAATTTTAATTCCCATCACCCTCAGTATATTGAAAGCTGACCATATATGGTATATTCCCATCACCCTCAGTATATTGAAAGCTGACCACATATGGTATATTTATTAAAAACTCTGCTTTATAATTTCCTTTTGCTTTTCCCCTATGAACCCAGAATTTAAACATTTTTCAGTGTGTTGCTTAAAGCCTTAAAGAGCAAGTAACTGATCCAGGTTTGCACATGTAAACATGGCCTAGACTAGTACATGGGAATCTTTGTATGCATGATCCCTTCAAGGCCAGCATTCTACCCACTGGACTCTGTACTGTTCTGGCTTTATCAATACAGGGAAAGAACGTTGCTACTAAAGCACCTTAAAATGAGGATTCTGATTAACCATCACTTAAATGGACTTTTATAACTCATGAACTTAGATAATACTTGTGATGCCTTTTTTCCCCTTTTTTCCTTACAGCCAAAGTTTCCATTACTTGCAGAATTTCCATCACAGCATTCCTAGTTTCCAATCTGCTCTTTATCTCATCAGACTTTTGATGGTCATTTTGAAGAAATCTAGATTTCCTACTAAGAACAAAGAAAAAATTGGTGATGTACTCAGATCCTCTCTTTTCCCCCTTCACAAATAGGATTAATATCTTAAACTTGTAAGCTTGGGGCTTCCTTGGACTTTATATGTAAACTAGAGGCCCAGTGCACGGATTTGTGCATGGGGGTAGGAGGGGTCCCTCAGCCTCGCCTTGCTCTCTCGCAATCCAGGAACCCTCAGGGGATGTAGTAGTGTACCAACCGGCAGGAGGCCAGGGAGGAGGCTGTGCCTGTCAGCACTATTCGGAGTTTGGAAAGGGTCCTGCCGCTGCAACTGAGCTTGCTATCTATGAGCCTGGCTTCTGACTGAGCAGTGCTCTACCCGTGGGGCAGGGGGCAACGTCTACATTGAGTGTGTGCCCCCTAGTGGTCAGTGTGCATCATAGCAACTGGTCAACCCGTCGTAATGGTTGCTTAGTCTTTTATTTATATAGATATAGATCCCTCCATCATGAGCCTGCTTGCTATGCCAACGACATTTCCCTAGAAAGAGCTATATACTAGTAACTGCTCTCTGGTGACATTGTTTAATGTGAATTTGGTTAGTTCAGTTGGCTAGATAATTTTGTTTGACTTCCATTTGTTCTTTTCATTTTACTTTATTTTTATAATTATGTGATATATTTGACAAAAAGGAATATAAACCATGAGGTTAATAAAATAGGAGAAAAAAGGAGAAATCATGATTAAAGGTAAAGAAAGGCCTGGTCTCATCCATGTTTTTTTCTTTTTCTTTTAACTGTCTTTTGTCATAGCTCTTGGAAAGCAACTCATTGATCACACATCCAAATTGGCAACACAGACAGAAAGCAGGCAGAAAATGCAAAACAATCTTGTTATTTCCTTTTGATTAAAAGGGAAAGTTTGGCCTGAATCCATGAGGCTACTGCTTTTTGGCCTGCCTAGGAGGAACGAAATTGGCTTTCCTTCTGCCTAGCATTATTCCTTTCCTCTGTATATGTCTGTGTAGTTCATATTTGTGTGTGTGTTAAGATGGGGTATTAGGGCCAAAGCCAGTTTGGCTCAGTGGATAGAGTGTCGGCCTGCGGACTGAAAGGTCCCAGATTTGATTCTGGTCAAGGGTTTGTACCTTGGTTGCAGGCACATCCCCAGTAGGGGGGTGTGTAAGAGGCAACTGATCGATGATTCTCTCTCATCGATGTTTTTAACTCTCTATCCCTCTCGCTTCTCTGTAAAAATCAATAAAATATATTAAAAAAAAAAAAAAAAAAGATGGGGTATTAGGGTGGGACATGTTGGGTCTTTGACAAATGTGTTTATTTCTGATAGAATGGTCAATGAAGCAGGAACCCATAATAGTTTTTTTTCAAATTATCTTTTAGATCAGGAACCTTATAGTAAATAGAAAATAATAAATTTTGATCAATAATGATCTCCCAAAGCTGAAAAACAGAGGTCTATTTTCCATGCATGAGATAACTTTATCTTGTTTCTCCAACAGCTTCCCTTGCCAGACATTTCCTCTGTCGGATATGGCCAAGTGGGGGAAAAGAGAAGAGCAGTGTTCCTAATGACCAGCTCCATGCTTTGCTGAGGTGAGGTGCTCCATTCTTCTCCAAGTGGTCTTCCATTTGCCACTGTCGGGGTCCCTCATCTGGTCAAAGACTAAGAAATTACCTTGGTTAGGGAGAACTTGGAAGCAATGAAGTAGATTTGAAATTAACAAAATTTAGGAAAGATAGATCATAAGATGCTTTAGTTCTGTTTTCCATTATCATTATTATTATTATTGAGTCAAACAGGAAGAGGAGACTGCAATTATATCTTCTTTTGCTAACCAGCAAGTCAGTTATTTATTGCCTACTATATCCAAGACACATTCATCACTTCCAAGGTGTCTAACTGTATTTATAATTGAGACATCTTTTTCTTGCCTCCTGTCATGTTTATGGAACCTTAACTTTATTTAAAAATATTTTTAACCCTAACTGGATAGAGCATCGGCCTGCGGACTAAAGGGTCCCTGGTTCAATTCCAGTCAAGGGCATGTACTTTGGTTGCGGGCACATCCCCAGTAGGGAGTGTGAAGGAGGCAGCTGATCAATGTTTCTCGCTGATCAATATTTCTAACTACCCCCCTCTGTAAAAAATCAATAAATTTTTTTAAATCAATAAAATGTATATTTTAAAAATATTTTTATGTCAGTAGTTGTTTTAAAGCTTAATACCTGGTAATAGCTCAAGAAAAAAATCTTGATTTAGAAATTCTGTAACAAGTGTTCATACTCCTGTGGCTGTCAATGCAGCATCTACCTGGAGCACACAGACAGTGTTCTGAAGGCCATTGAGGAGATTGCTGGTGTTGGTGTTCCAGAACTGATCAACTCGTCTACTAAAGATGCATCTTCTTCCACATTCCCTACGCTGACCAGGTAAGAGACTTCTCTCCTCCATGTCTAATATATGTAGTTTCCAAGTAATACGTACCTTACTCCATCTGATCCTGATAGACGTGGTAGGTTCAGTTAACACATGCAATGTTCATAATGCATTCTTTCTAAGGGGCTCTCAGCCTAATTATGTGAGAGGACCTTATTCTTTTTTTTTTTTTTTATTGATTTCAGAGAATAAGGGAGAGGCAGAGAGAGATAAGAATATCAGTAATGAGAAAGAATCATCGATTGGCTGCCTAATGCACGCCCCTCACTGGGTCTTGAGTTGGCAACCAGGGCATGTGCCTTGACCAGGAATCGAGCTTACGACCCTATGTGCACAGGCAACACTCTTAACCACTGAGTAACACTGACCAGGGCTCACTTAATGGGTTTTGTATCGTAATATTAATAGGTATCTTACATTTGTATGGTATTTACAGTTTATAAAGCACTTTTGACATTCTTTATCTCATTTGATCTTTTTGAAGATTCTGTGAGGTGTATCATTGATCTTGTTTTACTGATGAGGAATAGGAAAGTTAGAGGAGGAACTTGTTTAACCTTAAATGGGTAATAAAATAAATATGAAACTAGGAACCTAAAGTTGGATTTTCTCACCACTTCTGCCCTGTTCTTTCCATACCACCACAGTATTTCCCTTCATAAAGTGAATTCCATTGTTTCACAAGCCTTTTTTTTTTTTTTTTTTGGCTCATTTTAAATGATTTAAAATTTTTTTATTTTATTTTTATTATGCTGAGAGGCAAATGAATTGTCTGTAGTGAGTTCCTTTCTGGGCCAACAGTTCTTTTGAGTCCCAATTTCAATGTCAAACAGTTCCGTATGGGTATATGCCAGCAGTAATATTTCAGTTCTGGATGGTGGACAAATGATGATAATGCAGGTCCGACCTTCTCTGGTTTGGTCCTGGGCATTTCTAAATTCTTATCAAGTCCCCATCCTCTTACAGTCAACCCTAGTGAAAGGACATTCAGAGAGGTGGGAAAGGAAATGACGTTTGATTCCTTGGCTTCTTCCCAGGTAGCTCTTTCTAACCAGTGCTTCATTGTGTGGTCATGCATGCCTTTCCCTCTCCTAGGCACACCTTTGTCATTTTCTTCCGTGTGATGATGGCTGAACTAGTGAAGACGGTCAAAGGTCTTCAGGCTGGCAAAGCAGCAGACTCTCAGCAGGTGAGTCAGATACTGCCACTCCAAGAAATAAGTCCTCAATATCATTGATAGGCCCTTGGAAACTACATCTTTAAGTGAAATTTGTATAACTAAACCAATTTTACCGTAGGCTAATTCATATACAAGAGTTAAGTTTTACAGCAAATTTCTGATCACAAAAACAAACTTCTAAATAAAGACCTATAGTACTTCTAATATTAAACATTGAAACGAATGTGAGCTATACATGTATTTAAGAAATACTAATAAAAAGAAGTAAGATAATTATTTTCCAACCCATATATACCAGTTCAGAGTCAGGATGGTGCAGATCAGAATACAAGGAGGGAACCCCCCCTGGACAGGATGCACCTCCACATCAGGGCTCTCTGAGACTCACACACACACACACACACACACACACTCAGACTGGAACGTTAGATATTCCACTTGAACTAATGTGCACATCTTTGGGCAGTGGGAGGAAACTGGAGTGCTGGAGAAGACCTAATCAGACATGAGGAAAATGTGCAAATGGCACACAGAAAGTGGCCCTGGTTGTGAATTGATTTTTCCCCTCCATTGCTACAACAAAATAATTCAGTTATTCAAGGATCTGCTGTACTTTCTTGGGTTTGGGGTTTCTCCTAAGCTATTTCCTTTGATATACTGAGAGCCAGGGTTTTTTTTTTGTTTTGTTTTGTTTTTCTGGCTTCATATCTTTTCCTTCTAATTGGAAGTGAGAATTGGGCTGTTTTCCCTAATTATGCACAGGGAAAAGCCTGGACTGCTCCGTAGGCCCTAGCTCTGGGGAAAAAATGTTTTTGATTGCAGCTTCATGTGCCCAGCAGTGTGCTGCTCATGAGCCGGCTTGAGGTGAACAAGCCTGTTTGAGATGCAGTCGCCCAGGACCTTGGTGTCCTGCTAACCAGAACTAAACTAGAACCACTAAGAGCACAGGCTAGCATAGGGAATCACAGAAGCCACAGGGAGCTGATGGCCAGTAAGTATATTCAGAGGCTTTTCTCCACCTGGAAATTACTGAAGAGGAGTCATTTTATTAGAAATATGTACACAGGCCTCAGATCCATCTGGGGGGTACACTAGTTGCCATATCTATTTAGCAGGGTAATTGGTTTATATCTCTGAATATTTGTATGGTTCAAGAACTATGTATTAGTAGGAATACAAAAAGAGACATATTTTGATGTGATTCGGAGGTGCCTGTATATTTGGCTGTCCCCAGATTCATGAAGAGAAGCTCGTCTACTGGAACATGGCTGTTCGAGACTTCAGTATCCTCATCAACCTGATAAAGGTGTGTATGGAGACTCCTTGACCCATCTCACTGGCTGACTGCAGAAATCAACAAGGGTCCTGGTTTCCAAATGGATTCTCCCTGCCCTGCCTTGGGGACCTGCTCTCTCTGTCGTCTTCCCTTGTGGCCCTACCTCCTGGCTCACTCCTCCTTATCTCCCAGGTGATACATTTTTCCTTCTGTCCCTTCCTCCTCCTCATCTGTGCCACAATAGTTTCTATTTAATGGCTCCTTGCACATATCATTCCCCTACTCTCCCCCCACTCATCATGAGTCCTCTGTAATCTGGCACATATTCTGCTATCTCCCTCTTCCAACCCTGAATGCCTTCGTTATCCCTGAACACACTCTGCTCTCACCTATTCGAGGATTTTGCTCAAAGCTACTCTCCGAGCTTACAATGTCCGACTCCCCTTTCCATTTCTCATTCACTCTTTCTTAAGGCTTCAGATCAAGGTTTTGAATCTCTGTAATGCCCTCTTTTTAATATCCCACTTGGAATCAATTACTTGTTCTTTTTTGCTCCCCTCTTCCTGTTCTCGAACTTTAATTATGATGATTACTTTATTCTTTGTGATTAATTTAACTGTTGACAGGCCTTCTTCATTTTAGAATTCTCAACCTTACCCAGAGTTGTGCTTTGCACAATGAGAAAGAAGCTGAGGTGCTCAATGGAGCAGACCTCAGCTTTGGTTCCTTGCCTTTCATCTCTCCAGGTGTTTGATAGTCGTCCTGTTCTGCATGTCTGTCTGAAGGTGAGAGGTTGACCAGAGCGCACTTGGCATTTACTCTTCTCTGGACAGGGCATTAGCTGGGAAGAATTGCTTAATATTTTGCTCACAAGCCAGAGTCTCCAGAATCTGTGCTAACGATGGTAATGTAGAAAAGACAGTGGGTACATTTTCTCATACTAGTTGGATAACAAGAGAAACCAATTTTCCTATGAGTTTGAAAACTTTTGGTTCAAGTATTAGAACTAGGAGGAGTGGCTTCAAGAACAATTATCACTCCCTGCCATTCCTTCCCAGGCAACAGGGAGGAAAGAGGAATATATGAATACATGATTCCTCTTTTTAAAGCCATGGGGGAAAAATAAAAATTAAAGCCTACAGATGGCTTCTTGGATGTGAGAGCTGATATCCTCGTAACTGCTGAACTTCTCTCGATTGAGTAGCCCAAATTAGCCAAGATATGATGGTATATCCAGTGGGTTAAGAGCTATTGAATGTTATGGGGAGAATGCTTTTCCTCTGCCTTTTTACTCCATCCTGATGCTAGTGTAGGAGATGGATCAGTAGGGGGAGTGATTTATCTGATTGGTAAATTTGGCAATTGGGCATGTGCTTTCTTAGCTCTGTCCAAGTTTTTTCTTCGTGGGAGTAAGTTGTCCTCAGGGAACTGGGATTCCCCTTTGTTCTTCTGAACCCTCGGTCTTAAGGTGAGCAAGGCCCCTGCCATTATCTGTGTCTAGGTTAGGTAAATCTCCCTAATTCTGGGCACAGTTAGCAGGCCCGTTTAGTTTTACTAAGCTGCCTTCTCCAAATTAACCTTTTGGACACCTCCCAGTTTATTTTTTATGACAAATACAAAGTATTTGGATGGTGTTATGTTGTTCTAGGCAGGGGCTTTTCAGGTGAAAGACCTCAGCTAGTGTCATCACCAGTGTTTCTTTTTCTTCAGTATGGACGCCTCTTTGTGGAGGCATTTCTGAAGCAGTGTATGCCGCTCCTAGACTTCAGTTTCAGAAAGCACCGGGTAAGAGCTGAGGGCAGAGGACTGAAACATTCTCTCTACAGTTGGTTCAGAAGATACATGCAGGGTGACTCTTGGTCTGGGCATGGGGGCTCTACCTTTGCCCAGGTTCTGGGCCACGGTTCTACCTGGGCATCTTTGGTCTACTTCACCTATCACCCACTTAGAAGAAATATTCCAAAGTAGGCTGAGCTGAAACCCCTACTGGTTGAAACCCACCTTGCTACTGGTAGTTTCCTATAGCATGGTTTTATTGTGTTGCTGCACTCCCAGGAACTGTTGTTTTAAGAACTCATCTACACTAATAAAAGAGAAACATGCATCACTCTGCTACACCCACAAGCCACGCCCACCAGCCAATCCTGAGGGAATATACAAGTTAACCCTACTAAGATGGCTGCTGGCCACAGAGCTGGAGCAAGCAGGAGGCTTGGGTTGCCCCGGCAATGAAGGAAGCCAAGCTTCCCGCCTACCCTGGCCTGGCTCAAGGCTACAAAGTTTCAATTATAGAAGATAAAAAATCCCAGATACCAGGGCCTCTGCTTGGGTCACCAGGGGGGCGTGGCCGGCTTGCAAACCACCACAAGCCCGTCGCCCAGGCCACCCCATGCCCCATGGGCACCCCCACCCAGATCCAGGACACCAGGGCAAACCAGCTGGCTCCCACCCATGCACCAGCCCTCTATCCTATGTAATAAAATTGTAATGTGCAAATTGACCATCACTCCAACACACAAGATGGCTCATAAGATGGCCAACAGAGGAGGACAATTGGGAGAGACCAGGCCTGCAAGAGAGGGCAGATGGGAGGGACCAGGCCTGCAAGAAAGGGCAGTTAGTGGCAATCAGGCTGGCAGGGAAGTGGTTAGGGGGTGATCAGGCTGGCAGTCAGAAGCAGTTAGGGGCAATCAGGAAGACAGGCAGGCAAGCAGTTGGGAGCCAACAGTTCTGGATTATTAGAGGGATGTCCCAGATTGGAGAGGTGTAGGCTGGGCTGAGGGAAACCCTTCTCTTTTCCCCTCCCCACTCTTTCCCCCCCTCCCCATGCACGAATTTTGTGCCGGGCCTCTAGTTTGTTTCATAAACTCTTTGCTGTTATAATGGATAGTCTTGAGAGTTTTGTTTTTAATTTTTAATTTAGCCAAGTGGGATCCAGGGCTAGAGTGGTGGTATCAGGATAGAAACAGATGATTTCTTACATATATTTGTCAAATTAAACTTTGCAGAACACTCTTACAGTATTTGATTGATCTCTCAGAACTCTGAAAGAAAGGAGGGAGGGCAGTTTAGAAAGCACTTCTATTTATGGCCAAATTAAGATGATTATTGATATACAATTGGAACTTTCAGAGTTTATCCTTTTTAGAGCCCTTGATTGCAAGGGTATCTTGCATCTAAATTGAAATGAGAGTATTTCAAATGGCACTTAGGAATTTTGTTGGTTATAGGAAGATGTTCTGAGCTTACTGGGAACCTTCCAGTTGAACACAAGGATGCTTCATCACCTGTGTGGGCATTCCAAGGTAAGAGGAAAAGCAGATCACATCACCCACGTGCTGACTGGCTTCAGCAGTGTGATGGGGAGATAGAGGATTCAGTTTCTTCCTTTTTACATGCCTAGAGCCTTTATTTCTTTTTTTCTTTTTCTTTTTCTTTTTTTAATATATTTTATTGACTTTGTACAGAGAGGAAGGGAAAGAGATAGAGAGTTAGAAACATCGATGAGAGAGTCATCGATCAGCTGCCTCTTGCACACCCCCTGCTGGGGATATGTCGCAACCAAAGTACATGCCCTTGACCAGAATCGAACCCGGGACCTTTCAGTCCCCAAGCCGACGCCCTATCCATTGAGCCAAACCGGTTTCGGCATTGAGCCTTTATTTCTGAGACCATTTCTGCCCAAAGGCAGTTTATTCCAAGTGATCAAATCTTCAGGTGCTGATTAAGAATGGACAATCATCTAGAGAATTTTCCGCATCTGAAATTTGACCCAAATTCCATAGCTCTATTTCCTTCTTTGGTGAGAGCGATAGAATATTGATGTATGTGTTGCTGCTGCAGAATATATGGGGTAGGAGGAATTATGTAAGTGGTGTCTCTGGGGGAGACAAGAGGTGGTTCTAACAGTAGCTATCCTTAGCACTTTCCAGCTGCACTGCTTGTCAAGAAACACATCTCTCTCCTGTGAGGACATTTTAGCATGAAAATACTTTTCCACTTGCAACCTACAGCTTTTTGTCTGAAGGGGCACAGAAGCTTCATATTGAACCATAGAGTTCTGCAGACACTGGCAAACCTAATGATTTTGGATGCAGTTTGTATTACCTCCTCCCCTGGTTCTAACTTTAGAAGGTACTGAACAGTGAAATTTTAATAACTCTCTGAGCTGAACAGGGCTGATACCTGTTGTTTAATGTCAGTGTAATACATGTTCAAGAATATTTGAGGTCAATTCATTAATAGTTAGTCAATGAGATGTTATGAAGAGGAACCTAGAGGTGGTATGAGTTCTAAGCTCTCTTAGCTTGAAAGACAACTGCCACTCTCTTTGGAGTACTCTTCCAAACTACTGCTGTTTGATGGGAAATGTCTCTGGCCTATACTGGCAAGGCTTATGCTCTTCTATAGAGGGTACAAAAGGCTTATGCTCTTCTATAGAAATGCAAAAGGTTCTGTATAGGAAATGTGGAAGCATGATGAGAAACCAGATGAATTAGGTGCATTTGTTTCCATTCAGATTCATCAGGACATGAAACTCACCAAGCATGTGCCTTTTCTCAAAAAGACCTTGGAGCTGTTAGTTTGCAGAGTGAAAGCCATGCTTATCCTCAACAATTGCAGGGAAGCTTTCTGGCTGGGTAATCTCAAAAACCGGGACTTGCAGGTAAGCCTGGGCCCTGCCAGCGACAATCTCCGCTTCCTTTCTTTGAGAGAGCACTGGGAGGCATATGAGGGAGGGTGCCTAGCCCTGCCCTGTCAGTAAGAGGGCTCTTTTCTTAATTCTGGTCCATTTAGGGTATACTGCCTATGGGCCCTACTCACAGGCCGCACCCCTCATCCCAGCCAGCAGAGGCACAAAAACGTGCCATTGATACAAACAAGGCTTCAGATATAGAGAAGCCAGATCCATAAAACCTCCTCAGCCAGAGAGGTACCAATAAGTCCTACTGAGAGTAGATTCATAATAACATTTTTTAATCTGGACAAACATTTTTTATATGGACAAACTTTAAAAAATTCTTTTGGGTTTTTTCCTAAACCAGTCTGTTTCATCTGTTTTATTCCTAAGGTAGTCTTTGGCTAATTTTAACAAATGAGCGTTTCCAAGGTCATTCAATTGTTTTGACTGACTGAACTCTCATGTTGCTTATAGTACTGCTTTGAAGTTATAGCAGTTTTGAAGTAGGGTTCAAGCCCCTCTTCATATATGTATACATATATGTTTTTATTGATTTCAGAGAGAGGAAGGAAGAGATAGAAACATCAATGATGAGAGAGAATCATTGATTGGCTGCCTCCTGCACATCCCCTACTGGGAATCAAACCCACAACACAGGCATGTGCCCTGTCTGGAAATTGAACCGTTACCTCCTGGTTCGAGGTTCAACATTGAGTTATCCTGGCTGGACCAAGCCTTTGGTCATGTTTATAATATCTGAGCATTATAATCTTAAGTGTGAGGAAAAAAAGGCAGCCCGTAGAATTAGCTTTCTTTCTTCACATTAACTTTATGAGATAAATACTATTGTTTCCATGAGAAAATTGAAGCTCTGAGAGGTTAAGTAACTTACTGAAAGTCATTCAGCAATAGGTGAGTGGATTCAAGGTTTGAGTCCGTACAGTCCTGTTCCAGAGTTGATGTTCTTAAATCACTTCAGTGTACTCTCCTTCAGCCTCTACATGGCTATCCATGGTTGGTGTGTTGGTGCTCATATACCTTAAGGTATTTGGAAAATTTTATAACTATGTTCAACATTAATTGAGAAACCCAGGCTTTGTAAAATGTAGTATGATATTAGAATACAAAGGTGGACTTTTTGTAAAAATTGCTTTTTGTATCAGAGCCACATGTATCTCAGAAACCTTGGGTTGATGATCACTTCTCTTGATGCTGAGTCCCATGTTTGAAGACATTTGAATAGCTAGAATATCTTCCCTTTGTATTGCCTGTAAACTAAGAATTTCTCCCTCATGTGATCACTTTAATCCCACCATTAATCTTGGCCCATCCACATTTAGGGTGAAGAGATTTTATCCCAGAATTCCCAGGAAAGCAGAGCAGATGAGAGTGAGGATGACACATCATCCCAGGTCTCCAAGAGCAAAGCAACTGAGGTATTTGTGCACAAGGCACCAGCGTGGCATTGCTGTTGCATTTCCCTAATTACTCTGAGTTGGTCAAGTGCAGTTGTTTCCCTGTTTCTGTTTACATTCAAAGGCTTCTATGCCTTTCTCCATTCCCTTCCTCCAAAAAAGCTTCTGTGCTTCTATGAGTTCTGTGGGGGCCGGGAAAACCCCCTCCCAATTAAAATCATTCTCGAGTATCTCAAGTTGTGGCATGTGTTACAGAGTTGAAAATTCCCTTCCATTATAACCTATTTTCCCTTAATTCAAGTCTAAAATCATTTTAGAAGGGAGAAAGGACAGAATGTTCTGTGAATAATGAGAAGATTGAGTTAAACCATTTAAATGTTGTTTTACTATATAAAATAGAAATGTGAATACATTTGGTAGAAGCACAGAATAAAAACCTGCCACTACTGAGGACTAAAATAAAAGTAGGGGTCCTTATTCTTTTCTGGGTTACTACAGATACTTTTGGGGGGGAAAATATTTTTTTATTTCAGAAAGGAAGGAGAAAGAGAGAAAAATAAATAAATGATGAGAGAGAATCATCGATCAACTGCCTCCTACACACTCTACACTGGCAGTCAAGCCACAACCTGGACATATGCCCTGACACACACTAGTATAATACAGATATTTCTAAAACTTTAAAGAAAGCTAGAGAAAAAGGAATCCTATATAATAAAAGGCTAATATGTAAATCAACCGAATGACAGAATGACTGGTTGCTATGACGCACACTGACCACCAGGGAGCAGATGCTTGACGTAGGATCTGCCCCTGTGTTGGTCAGTGCGCTCCCACAGGGGTAGCACGGCTCAGCAGAAGCCAGACTCAGCTGGTTACGGTGGCAGTGGCCTAAGCCGTCAGTGAGACATCCCCCAAGGGCTCCCAGACGGCAAGAGGGTGCAGGCCAGACTGAGGTGTCCCCTCCCCCCCATCCCTCCCGCCCCCGCACAAATATCATGTACCAAACCTCTAGTCTATATATATAAAAGCCTAAGCAACCAACCAATAGCTTTGATGTGCACTGACCACCAGGGGGCAGACACTCAATGCAGGAGCTGTTCCTGGTGGTTAGTGCGCTCCCACAGTGGCGGTAACACTCAGCTGGCAAGTGCAGCTGTGAGCCTCTCCTGCAGACACTCCCCCTGTGGGTCCGAGTGGTGGCAGCGGGTGCAGTGAGACTAGGATAAGTGGGAGCAGCGAGGCACCCAGCCTGGGCTCCGGCTCCTTCTGGGCTGCCTGCCGCTTCCTGCACTACTTTGTATTGTGTGGGATCAAATCAGGCTGGAGCCCTACAAGCTGGTGGGTGAGACTGGGCTATGGCTGCACAGAGGTCCACTGAACCCCAGACCAGGCCAAAAGACCATACTGGTACACAGATTTAGTATGTTTATAGTACAGTTCAGCTGAGTTATAGACACCAAAAAACTCAGATTTAGTTTAGAACCCTTGTTATGGAATCTCTATAATGTGATTTGAGGCTGCTGCAGAAAGATCACCTAGTATAAAAAATTATTATATGGTCCTGTGTACAGTATACCTCTCTACCTTTTTCTCATTAAAAAAAATTGAGAGAGACAATATCCTATTTCTCCTAACATCCCTCCCAGGTCAGAGAAAATTTGATGCTGGATTACTGTTGAGGTATATTAGATTTTTATTTTACAATTTTTTTCTTTCATTTCTTAATCCTTACCTGAGGATATTTTTTCCATTGATTTTTTTTTTTAATTGCATTTTTATTGGTTTCAGAGTGGAAGGGAAAGGGAGATAGAAACATCGATGACAAGAGAATCATTGATTGGCTGCCTCCTATATGCCCCCCATTGGGGATTGAGCCCACAACCCGAGCATGTACCCCTGACTGGAATGGAACCTGGGACACTTCAGTCCGCACTTTTTTGACACTTTATCCACTGAGCCAAACCACGCTCCACTGATTTTTTTAGAGTGAGTGAAAGGGAGGAAAGGGTGGGGGGAGAGAGAGAAAAATGGATGTGAAACACACATTGATTGGTTCCCTCCAACACATGCCCTAACTGAGGTACAATACGCTTGGCCAGGAATTGAACCCTCGAGCCTGCTATCATGGGCTGTTGGTCTCTAACCACTGACCCAACTGGCCAGGGCCAGAATTTAAAAAAATGTTTTTCAGGTTTTTAACAGATTTCAGAGAGGAAGGATGAGTAGAGAGAGAAAGAAACATCAAAGATGAGAATCATTGATCAGCTATCTCCTTCAGGTCCCCCACTCGGGATCGAGCCTGAAACTCAAGAATGTGCCCTGACTGGGAATCAAACTGTGACCTCCTGGTTCATAGGTCGACCCCCAACACTGAGCCACCCCGGTTGGGCCAGAATTTTTAATTTTAACAAACATTTTGTTCTATATTAAACTAGAGGCCCAGCTGAAACCGGTTTGGCTCAGTGGATAGAGCGTCAGCCTGCGGACTGAAGGGTCCCAGGTTTGATTCTGGTCAAGGGCATGTACTTTGGTTGTGGGCACATCCCCAGTGGGAGGTTTGCCGGAGGCAACTTATCTATGTCTCTCTTTCTCATCGGTGTTTCTAGCTCTATCTCTCTCCCTTCCTCTCTGTAAAAATCAATAAAATATGTTTTAAAAAAATAAAATATATATTTTTAAATATAAATAATAAACTAGAGGCCCAGTGCACAAAATTCAGGCACAGGTAGGATCCTTAGACCTGGCTGGTGATCAGGGCCAGTTGGAGCCTTCCGGCTGCCAGCCAGGGCCTTCCTTCGTTCTATACTGTCCCCTGGAGGTTAGCACACATCATGGGGAGCGCGCAAACTCCCAGTCTCCTGGTGGAACTCCCGAGGGGACACTTTGCATATTAGTCTTTTATATATATAGATACCCACTATGTTCCTATGTCACATACATGCAGTAGTGCAAAAGAACCATGGCTTATTTCTAAGTTATGCAAATTTGGTTGTTACAGAGTGACAATAATCAGTTTCAAATGGCCTCCATGGTCTTGGATTAGAGGTCATGATAAAAAATTATTCATTTTTCAGATGAATGATTTAAAACCTATTAATTTTGGTAACATTGATACAGTATAGTTTTAAGTTCTGTGGGAACAGTATTATACAGCCTCACCCAGATGACCTAAAGTATTTAATTATCCTTTGCCCTTAGGATGGTGAAGAAGATGAAGCAAGTGATAAAGAAAAGGAGCAAGATAGTGATGAGAGTGATGACTCTGATTAGACTACAAAAAATGGACTCCGCGTCCTTATCTCTGCCAGCGTCTTAGCATTTTGTGTTCAGGATTTGAAATCTGTCTCCCTTTCTCACCAGAATTATCTTATTTTGTCCTTAAAGTGAGGGCTTTATTGATTCAACTTAATAGTGAATTTCATAGATCGGCTAACATCAGAGGCCTGGCTCGGGATTCCAGTGTAGTATTCAGTGCTCTACTGCAGAATAGTCATTGCTCTGGACTTGGGGAGCTAGTTTTGAATTTATTTTGTAATTTATGTTTATAGCAGTTAGACAAATAAATTGTTTTAAGTTCCGCTTCAGCTACTTCTTTTCTTTCTGGATTTGCTTTCATTAGACAGGGATTAGATGAAATTGAATTGGGTTTTCAGCAGAGAAAAAGCGGTGCCAACATTAGTTCTACCAATGAAAATCATGTTTTCTATTGTAAGAATTCTCTTTCTTTGAGATAAGAAGATCTTTGTGTTCTTTTTAGAGGAGTGATAAATTTCTTGTCAAAGCCCAAATAAGATAAAAGTGAGTATTTTGACTGCTTTTAAAAAAGTTTGCTCATCATGTCCATGTAAGACAGAGGGGGAAAACTCTGGTTGAATTTGTATATGTAATGTTTATTTCCACATTATTCTGAGTTAAACCTATAATCTAGTACAACTATGTACAAAATTACTTATAGTTTCTTAGAAATGGAACATTAGTGGTACCTTGAGCTAAAATGGAAAGTCTCACATCTTCAGCCAGAAAGTCCAGTTTCAGTGCTGTTACCAAATTCTTGCTAGGTTACAAATATTAATATTGGTTAATATTTTTGGGTACTTTTTAATATTTGTTAATATTTCTACCCACTTTGGTATTCTCCAGTGGTATTAGGAGGTGGCTGGTTAGGTGTTGGTTGTTTTTAGTAGAGGAGTTGGTTGTTTTGGTTTTGGTTTTGAAAATTAATCCTTAACCCACCTATAGATTTTTGACCCCTTCATTCTCAGGTATATCAAAATTGATGTCTCCTTCCTTGACATACCTTTGTTTCCCCAGTTCGTTATGGTCTTAGATGTTTAAGTGAGTTCACACTAGGCTTATTTATATGGTTTGTTTAATGGTTCTTTATCACATGTACATGTCAATGCTAATTTGACTCTCTTTTAAATAGATGTTCAACATTTCAATGGAAATTGTTCTTCCTTGCTCTATCACTGGCCCTCTTTTGGAGAGGAAGGGAGGAAAGAGGCTCCTGAATTTTCACTGCTTTACAGAAAAGCAAGATGGTTGGGGCAATGTCAGTTTCCTTTCCATGGAAAGGTTTCTGCAGGCTCCAGGCACACAGCGAAGGGAATGGTGTGGGGAAAGGGATCAGGTGGGGGACCCTTCACTTGGAGTGTTGCAAGGCAAAGGTACACTTCTTGTACGTTGCATACAGCAAGAGGATGGAGCGCAGCATCTGTTTGCACATGGTCACTGTCATCTGAATCTGCGGCTCCTTAAGTCCAGTGGGCCACTGGTGCTCCCGGCTGATGATTTTGCAAAAGGCTGACTTGTCTGAAACTCTGAAGGTGCCAGTCCACTTTGGAGGCTGAGCCGTGATGACCCTGCCAAAGACCGAATCCACTCCACTGAGGCGGACTGGCTGGGGCTTCCTGACCAGCCCTTTCTTGTTGTTAATGGTTCGGAGCTCTGATGTGTGGCAGGGTAACTTGGGACTCACCCCGGATTCCAGGAATGGGCTGTCTAGGACTAGAGTAACCTCTTGAAAGCAGAGCTGCACTTCCAGGTCAGAAGGGGTGTGTGGGAAGCAGGGGGAAGCCCTAAAGGGGTGCTTGGAAGAAGGTGTGGGTGTTGTGTGCCGCAGCCATTGGAAGCTCTCATCCAGTGGGGTCCATGGTGACCAGAGCTGGTATCCTGCCATTGACAGTCTAAAGGAAAGGAATCAGAACATGGAATTTCCCTAGCATGGTTTTGGTGAGGGCATGGCCATTCAAATTCACATATTTTTCACACTGACTTTAACTTATTCTAGTCCCCCCAAAACAGAGTCCAGTAGATGTTAGGGTACTAGTATTTCTAAAGAGGAGTAAGGGATGGTGACAAGTCTTGAATCTGTCAAGTGCCATGTGTACTAAAACTTCATTAAACCTTATCACAAGTCTTTGAAGGTAGGTTTTAACTCATTTTACAGATGAGGAATACAGGTGGGCAATAATAAACAATAGTTAATAAGTAAGTAGTACAAGAATAAACTTGTGTATTCACAACTGTAAACATACCTTTGCCCACCCCTGTAGATTTGCCCTAAATGGGGCATCCTAGTTAACCACTGGGACCTGTGCTATGTTGAAAACTGCTAAACACACCTCTGAGGTTGTAGAGGCTGCTGGCACTTGATGATGAGACACTGTGATTAGGAGCTCAGAAAGGCCCCATCTTACCAAATAGGTGGGACTCTGAATCCCATGTACTTACACCAGTGGTTCTCAAAATATGATCCCAGGACTAGCACCTTTCAAAGTCAGAAACACTGGGGAGGGCCCTGCAATTTGTGCTTAAAGTTTGGGGCTTCTGATGTACTTAAAGTTTGAGAACATATAAAGCTCCTCTTAAGGAACTTCAGCTTTCACTATTTTTAATTATCAAGACCGATCCCTTTTCTTTTTATCCAGTTGTATTCCTCTGTCCCTTCTCTTTTCTCCAAAAGGAAACAGCAGCAGATCTTATTCCATCCGGTAATGGTGTGACAAATTAACACTTCCACCATCCTTTGTGAGACAATAAAGTTCACTTTTCAAAAGGAATTGGTAACATTTCAAGCCAGAAGACCTGCCCTAACAATTAGTATAGAGATTTGTTGATTTCCTCCAACTGGTGTTTCCTGACCTATGCTGGCCCTTTTGCACACTGTGTTCAAATGTCTGGGCTGCTTTAGGATGAGAAACTGACACCCCAGGGATCCTTATCTACTCCAAACAGCCTACCAAAGGCGTCTGGTGCTTGAGATCATAACCCTGAGTATACAACCAAGATCAGTGCTACTCTGTACACAACCATGGCAAGGTGGGGTGACCAAAATAAGTATCCTTTTCCTGACTCAGACCTAAGAGCAAAAGGGGCTAGAGGTGTTTTAAAAAAACCTTTCAAATGTCCAGCCTAAGTATTCAGCAGAAGCACCACTTTCAGGCAAGGTTTACATAAAATGGTTCACACCCGCTTCCCCTCATTCCCATTCCCACCATCCAGAACTGTCATCCACTCCAAGGGGGACTGAACCTTGGAAGTCTATTCAAGTTACTCTAACAACTCCCCAGTAGGAAACTCCGTGTTCTGGCCAAAAAGGGTTCCCCTTCATACTTGTCCTCCGGTTCCAAGGAACCGGGTCCCCCAGTGTCCCCACCTGGGAAAGAGGAAGGCAACGCGTCAAAGTGCCGCTGAGGTCCTTGCAAACTGCAATCCGAGGGGCTGAAGCTGCCTGTTGTTGTGGGGAGCTTCCCTTCCCGGTAGGAAAACAGCCTTGTTCCCTGGGAGCCCCTACCCTGGCTGAGGAGGTGGAGGTGGCGGTGGGAGCCCGGGCCCGGTCCCACCATCCGGGCTGGGAGCTCACCTGCTGAACTCCACGGCCATCCGCTCCAGAGTGACAGTTGCTGGTCCCCGCCGCATCTTTTCTCCACCAGGCGCCTGGCAACGGCCTTTGTGACCCAGGACCTTGGGGGGGGGGGGGGGGGGGCGGGAAGGCGGGGGGAGAGACTCGAGCGGCGCAGGGGGGTGGGGAAGTCGGGGGAGTCGAGGATTGGGGCCGTCTGGGCTGGATTCCCCACCGCCACCTCCTTGGAATGCCAGGTTCTGAAGTGCAGGTTCGAACCCCGCCCCCTCTGGCCCCTCCCTTCTTTGCTACATCTGTGTTCCTTAGATCTAGTGGCAGAGCAGGGGCCTGCCCACTTCAAGGGGTGTGGTGAGGAACATGCTTTAAAATCCCCGGACCTATAGTTTAAAAGACTTTATTAAACCCTGCTCAGTACATGTTCTGGCAGTTACCCAGACTCTGAAGGCTTTTTGTTGCTGCATTGGATTGCTCCCCGTGCAAGGAGACAGAATGTATTAGTATAAATGTTCGCCTATCTAGAACAAGAAAAAAGGATTCGTGTCTTCTTCCTTTGACTTCCTGACTCAAAATCTTTCCCTGCATTCTGTTAAATCTCAGAAAAGACGATGCTGTCCCATTCTCACCAAGCTGAAAAACAACCTTTCACCATAGTAAGAGTGATCCGACAACTTTGACAGCATCACTCAATTACCTGTTCCGCTGAGGGAAGACATCTATTCAGTTGACTCATATCCCTGGGGCCTGGCTGTCCAGGTGCCTGACAGTATGCAGAAGGTAACTGGGGAGGAATTAACTAATGGCCCACCTGCTCTTCCCTTAACCACACAGAAAGTTGGCCTTGCACTTGGGGAACTATATAACACAAATCAGGGCTGTCACCTTTTGTCTGGCTCTTTGGGTGAAGCTGAAGTGGAGAGACTGGAGGGAGGGGTCAGGCTGAGATTCGGGTTTGAAAGTCCAGAGAGTCTTGAGAAGCTTGTCAAGAATTGTCAGCTGCTGTGTGTTTGTGAAACCTGTAGAAGGAGAACTAAGTGGAGATTGGGGGAATCGTCAAAATGCAGAGATGGGCAGAGAATTACGACTCTTTAATTCAAAATTAAAATAATTTTGAATTACAAAACCTTTTCAGTAAGTTTTTAATTTTCCTCTTGTTATTTTTAAAGCAAATAAAATATTTTTATTGCCCAATTGTTTTTAATATATATATATATATTTTAATTGATTTCAGAGAAGGGAGAAGGACAGAGAGATAGAAACATCAATGACAAGAGACAATCATTGATTGGTCGCCTCCTGCACGCCCCACTCTGAGGATTGCGCCTGCAATCCAGGCATGTGCCCTGACCGGGAATCAAACCGAGACCTCTCCGTCCACGCTGGCGGGGCAGGATATTTTTTCCATTGTTTTTCAGAGAGTAGAAGGGAGGGAGAGAGGGAGGGAGGGAGAAACATTGTTGTGAGAAAAACACATTGACTGGTTGCCTCCAGCATACCACCCTGCACTCACCTGCGCTCGATCTTGTCTTGCCATTAATTTACAAACTTCCCCTTGCTGGACATTTTGTTCATTTGATGAAAGTAAGGTGGAACATCATATTGTGTTGTTGAAAAGCATTTTTAAAATAACTCGGGCTTAATGGGATTTAATCGGTTATGCCCAACTGATTGCCGACACAGACCATACCCTCAGTCTGGAGCAGGCGGGGACGGGGGCCCACCTGCCCCTGACCGGGAACCGCGGTGGGTGGGGAGCTCCGGGCGCATGCCCACTCCATCTTCCCGGTCGGAGTTGAACAGAGCGAACCCGGCGAGGAGCTACCGTCGCGCAGGCGCATCAGGACGCTCGCTGATACGCGGTCGCCGAGGGAGGGTGTGGGCGGGCGGCGCAGGCGCACGGCGTCCTGGAGGGTCGGGGCGCCTGCGCAGTCGCACTTCCTTAGGCGGCGGCCATGGCGGGACAAGAGGATCCCGTGCAGCGGGAAATTCACCAGGACTGGGCGAACCGGGAGTACATTGAAATCATCACCAGCAGCATCAAGAAGATCGCGGACTTTCTCAACTCGTTCGGTCAGTGGGCGGGCGGCGGGAGGGAGGGAGGGAGGTCTCGGAGGGGTGGCCGGGCGCGGAGACGCTTTGACGGGCTCTCTCCGGGAGGTCTCTGCTCTCGCTCTTCTCTTCCTCCTCCAGGCCCCACCTTCCCCCTCCCTCCCTGGCCTCGGGCTCCACTGGGCAGTCCCCGTAGGGTTTACCCTGCTCCACGCTGAGCTCAACGACCTTAGGGCCACGACTTTGGATCCGTGGACTAGTTCTTCCTTTTCCCAGACCCGTCGGTCGGGCTGGCCCATCCACCCTGTGCGCCCTGCCCTTTCTCCAGGAGTCTTCTCGCCGCCTCCGCGCTCCTCTTCCCTTCCGGGTCCCACTTTACATTCAGAGAGCACCTTCTAGAAAAAACTTAAGCCGTGGCCCTGTCGCTGCGCTGTGTATAGCTTCAGGATCGAGGGGAAACCCTTTAGCTGCCCGCCCCATTCAGCCTTCTCCCATCTGTTCCTTCCTTTCTCCCCTGTTTGCTATGCTGGGAGGTAAGGTCAGAGGTCAGGTCCAGGTCGTGTGGAATCATGGGAATCTTCTCTGTATTGTTAAACATCTGGCAGTAGGTGTTCTTTCTGCTTCTTGCAAAATCTCTTTCCTAGGCATGGCCTGCTCATGACAGTCTTTATTCGGTATTTTTTCTGGACAGCAATCCTGTAACAGAATCCCATCCCTTTCCCATGTTCTTCAAATGTTTAAGAACTGGGTAGACTTAGTAATCATAAGGTGTAGGGATCCCCATCTAGTGATCTTTTCAAACTCATGTGCTTCTGTCCCACGTATTCAGCAAAATCAAGCAATTAAAATTAAGTAGGGGAAATGATCTATTAAAAAGATGTTAAAATGTATTATTTTCTAGCTAGAAGACTGATGAGTTCTAAGGGCAGAACATGGAATTTGTCAGAAAGCATCCACAAGAGAGACTAGTTCTCAGTGCAAGACTCTCTCAGGACCTTGGACGACACAGAACAAGAACCATTTCCTGAGTCAAATAACTTTTTCAATTTTATTTTTATTGATTTCAGAGAGGAAGAGAGAGAGAGTGTGTGTATCATTGATCGGCTGCCTCCTGCATACCCCACACTGGGATAGAGCCCACAATGAATTAAACTGTGACTTCCTGGTTCATAGTTTGACACTTAACTACTGAGCCTTGCTAGCTGAACCTGAGTCAAATAATTTTATCTTCAAAATGAAATAATAGCCGTAACTAGTTTGGCTCAGTACATAGTGCAGACTGAAGGGTCCCAGGTTCGATTCTGGTCAAGAACGTGTACCTTGGTTGCTTGCACATCCCCAGTGGGAGGTGTGCAGGAGACAGCTGATTGATGTTTCTCTCTCATTAATGTTTTTTTTTAATATATTTTATTGATCTTTAAAAGAGAGGAAGGGAGAGAGATAGAGTTAGAAACATCGATGAGAGAGAAACATCGATCAGCTGCCTCCTGCACACCCCCCACCAGGAATGTGCCCGCAACCAAGGTACATGCTCTTGACCTAAATCGAACCTTGGACCCCTCAGTCCACAGACCAACGCTCTATCCACTGAGCTAAACCGGTTTTGGCTGTATAAAATGCAAGGAAAGCATTTAGCAGCTGAACAAATCTGAAACCAGAGTGCATTTTTGTGTACATTATCACCAGACTTTAACTGAAAATACCACCTGTTTCAGTTAACCTATATGACATCTCAACCAAATCTCTCTGTTCCTTTCCCTTCTTCTCTCTCTAAAAGAAAATCAATAAAAACATATTTTAAAAAACAAAACCATCATCTACAACAACCTATTTTTAGAAACTTCAGTTCCAAATACAAAATAGGCCTAGTGCTGGGATGTTATCACTGCTTTATAATCTGTGCATTCTCGGGTTCAGGTGGCCTCCAGCCCTGAGAGAGAAAACTACAGAGATTGCGATTTTCCTCTCACCAGCAGAAATCACAGTAAAAGCTGTCAGACACTACTGGCTATCTTGCAAAAACTCCCCTTTCCAAAGCACAGGGTGAGGCTTGTAGGACTGCTGCCGTTTTCAAAGAGCTCCAGATGTCCTCAAACTAAGCTCCTGTTAAATCTCTGCACCACCAAACCGCAGTACCATAAACTCAACGCCAGCCCCACAGATGCACATCAGAACTAAGGAGTTATGCTAAGGGCTTAGAATAGAAAAATACATCCCACACACTCATCTCCAGTCATCCAATGCCAGGACAGTATACTCAAGCGTATTCTTATGATTTATCTACTTTCTCAGCCTGTTGGTCTTTTGTCTAAACTCTTAATGTGCCAGTATTCACCACCTTTTTAACTGCTAAATCAGATTGCTTTAACTTTTATTCTTGCTTCCTAGTTCTGTTCTTACTTATAATTTTGTACTTTTCTTTAAAGGACTAAATTCACTTACTGAATTTTTCAGAGCCAGGAGTGGTTCAGTGGTTGAGCATCCACCTGTGAACCAAGAGGTCATGGCTCAGTTCCCAGTTAGGGCACATGCCCAGGTCGTGGGCTCAATTCCTAGTGTGGGACATGCAAGAGGCAGCCCATCAATGATTCTTAAACATCACTGATGTTTCTATCCCTCTCTCCCTTACCCCCTCTCTGAAATAAAAAATAAAAAATAAGTAAATAAACAAACAAAATTTTCAAAAACCACCCAGTAATTACTCCAAACATCAGGTGACCATTAGGGCAGGACTGGGCGAGATGGGCTGGACATGACGGGAGACAGCCTCTGAGATTAAGCTAAGGAAAGCCATTTCTTCTGGCTCCTAAAGATTAGAATTCTGTGTCTATTTCCTAAGTCTAAGACTTGTTAGGAATCTTGAATAAAAAGAAAAGTCTTTATTCTCTATCTAATCACAAAATGTAACTCATATACATTTGATAAAATCTCAGAGCAGGTATTTCTTTGCTAATAAAATTTAAAAAAAATTTCTCTTCGGCAAATACTAAATTCAGACTCTTCAATTTTCAGTCAGGTGCAAGACTCACACACTATATAAATTTAATGGCTATGATGATGTCAAGAAGATTTATGTCAAAGATAAAAATTAAAAATATGTTAAGATAGCCAAAACCGGTTTGGCTCAGTGGTAGAGCGTCGGTCTGCGGACTGAAAGGTTCCAGGTTCAATTCCAGTCAAGGGCATGTACCTGGGCTGCGGGCACATCCCCAGTAGGGGATGTGCAAGAGGCAGCTGGTCGATGTTTCTCTCTCATCGACATTTCTAGCTCTCTATATCTCTCCCTCTCTGTAAAAAATCAATAAAATATATATATTTTTAAAAATGTGTTAAGACAGCCCTGGCCAGTGTTTCTCATGGTTAGAGTGTTGCTTGGCTATTCTATGTATACATATCTGGTATTATATACAGATGAAAGAAGTCTTTTAATTCTACCTTTTAAAGTTAAAACTCTCCATGTCAGTGATGTTTCCAACTATTTTCCACTGTCTTTCCAGACCAAATCAAAGCTATGATCTTGTCATCATTCCATCTTTCCTTTGCATGCAACCTTTTGGTTTCTCTTAACTGGTTCTTCTTTTGAAGGAATGTTATGAGTAAAGAATGCCGTGAAGAACCCCCTAATTGTTGGAAAAGCAGAAGAAACCATTATGAGAACATTAAAAAATTTGCATGAAAAATTTTTTTAAAGTCTCTGAGGAAACTCAGAATATCTGAATATTAGGGTAAATGTCAGTATTTCTCAAATGTTTTCAGTTCATTAAAATCAGTCTAGTTTCTTTGAACTTCTTTCTCCTGTCTCCAAACCCACTTATCTTTCACTAAACTGTGTTCCTTCACTCAGTCCTCAAAAAATTTCAGGGTATTTGAGATCTACACTTTCTTTTTAAAAAAAATATATTTTATTTATTTTTTACAGAGAGGAAGGGAGAGGGATAGAGTTAGAAACATCGATGAGAGAGAAACATCAATCAGCTGCCTCCTGCACACTCTACTGGGTGTGTGCCAGCAACCAAGGATACCTGCCCTTGACCGGAATTGAACCTGGGACCCTTGAGTCTGCAGGCTCTATCTACTGAGCCAAAATGGTTAGGGCGAGATCTATACTTTCTTGATATCATTCATTAGTACAAACTCTATAGCAAGTTTTTTTTTATATAAATATGTATTATTGACATATAGTCATACTATTCTCTCAATAATATTATCTTCACCCCCAATCCCTAGAAAGTGAGCAAGTCCACCATATCAAGATACATCAGGCTTATAGCCCTATATACCTTATATGTAAATATATTAATAAAAAACAATGTTCTGCTTTGTTCTGAAGTTATGTCATCTTTTTTAAAAAAAATTTTTTATTGATTTTTTGCAGAGAGGAAGGGAGAAGGATAGTCAAAAACATTGATGAGAGCCGAAAAAGAAATACATTATACATTAAACTTCGGTATATAACCGAAGTTTCTAGAATTGACAATTTAAATTTCTCAACACTGCTTATTCATGTAGGCCAGTAGCATCATGTTCTTGGATTCTGATTCATGACCAGATTGACAGCTAGAACAGAACAACAGCCCAGGAAGGAAACCTCCCTCTAACCACCTGCTTCTTTGGATATTTTTGGCTCCTTTTTATGGGAAATGACAGATTGTCAGTGATAACATTCATGCTGTTACTGAATAGCTACATGATGTGTCTTTGAGCTTCTAAAAACCACACTAAGCCCTAATCGGTTTGGCTCAGTGGATAGAGCGTCAGCTTGCTGAATGAAGGGTCCCAGGTTCAATTCCAGTCTAGGGCATGTACCTTGGTTTTGGGCACATCCCCAGTATGAGGTGTGCGGGAGGCAGCTGATTGATGTTTCTCTCTCATCGATGTTTCTGACTCTCTATCCCTCTTCCTTCTTCTCTGTTAAAAAAAAAAACAATAAAATATATTTTAAAATAATATAGATAGATAGATAGATAGATAGATAGATAGATATTTATTTATTTATTTATTTATTTTTTAAACGACACCACCACCACCACACTGAAAGAGATTTGATCTTGTTGGGCAGTCATGGCAAAGTATATCCAGGAAAAGTAGGGTGCTGAGGTGCTTTTCTACTCAAGCTAGACCTGGGAATTTGAAGAAGCAGTACTAGCAGATAAAAGGACAAGACTGAAAGAAAGAATGAAGAACCCTGGCCAGTGTAGCTCAGCTGGTTGGAATGTCATCCTGTACACCAAAATGGAGGGTTTAATTTCTGGTCAGGGCACATGCTTTGGTAGGGGCAGGTATGGGAGGCAACTGATGGATGTTTCTCTCTTCCTTCCTCTCTGTAAAATGAATTTCTAACAATTATTTTTAAAAATTAAAGAAGGATGTCCAGAATAGGCAAGTCCATACTTCCATATACACCCAACTGGGATCAAACCCACAATCTAGGTATGTGAACTGATCAAGCATCAAACCTGCAACCTTTTGGTGTACAGTATGATGCTCCATCCAACTGAGCCACCCGCTCAGGGCACTAATAGAGGTTTCTTTTAGAGATTATGAAAATTAGATTATAGTGATCGCTTCACAATTCTGTAAATATTCTAAAAACCATTGAATTATATTTTAGGCAGTTGAGCCTTATGGTAATAAATTATATATCAATGAAGCTATTGCTAAAAATGAATAACGAAGAGTAGCCATGAAGATGGATGAGTGAGAAAGGATCTAATATGAAAAAAAAAGAAAAAAATGAACTAGAAAGTGGAAGAGTCAGGTTGCAAGCAAACTTAAGGGATGTGGGGAATAAATATGGCTTCAGAGGCCCAGGAGGATGGTAGCAGTGTAATGGGGAAGTGTAATGCCATGTGAGGAAACTGGGTTTTGATCTCAACTCTGCCACCCTTTTGTCCTGTCAGTTACCCATCATGAATACTCCACTTATCTAGGCCTTTGTTTCCCCACTTGTAAAATTAGTGGAGCCATGGTCTGGTAACTCAGTTGGTTAGTGCATCATCCCGATATGCCAAGGTTGCAGGTTTGATCCCCGGTTGGGCACATAACTCGTACAAGAATCAACCAGTGAATGCATAAGTAAGTGAAACGACAAGTTGATGTTTCTCCCTTCCTCTCCCTCTGAAAAATCAACAAATAAAATTTTTTTTTTAATTAGTAGGCACACTAGAGAGTCAAACTTCTATTCTACTAATATCCCAGAATCTATCTCTCTCTCTCTCTCTCTCTCTCTCTCTCTCTCTCTCTCTCTCTCTCTCTCTCCCTCTCTCTCTCTCTCTCCCTCTCTCTCTCTCTCTCTCTTTTTCAGTAAACATCTATGTGCCAGGCAAGACCCTAAGATTACAAAGATTAATAAAAGGCAATATATGCAATCTTAGATAGTTTGGCTCAGTGGATAGAGCGTTGGCCTGTGAACTGAAAGGTCCTAGGTTCTATTTTGGTCAAGGGCATATGCTTGGGTTTTGGGCTCAATCCCCAGTAGGGGGCTTGCAGGAGGCAGCCGATCAATGATTCTCATTATTGATGTTTCTCTCTCTGTCCCTCTTTTTTCTCTGAAATCAATAAAAATGTATTTTTTTTTTAAAGGCAATATTTGCCTTTGATTAACTCATTCTACTGGGAAAACAGTCATGTATCGATAAATAAATTATAAAGCATAAGCACATAAGTATCACTTGGTTTTGTTACATGAACATTTACTCATGTTATTAATTATTCTTGAAACTGGTAATTTTTTAGTGGCTGTTTTAATAACCTGACATAGATATGTATACTTTACCAAAGCATTCCTAAGTAATAGTGTGAACATTCTTGTTTGTTAAATATTTATCTAAAGCGAGAAATAATAACTGAAGACCAACTTTGTAAGTTAATTTACCAATTAGAAATTCAGCCATAAATATTTAGATAAATAACAGAGGAGGGAAAATTATAACCATCTGTCAAAGACCTCTCAGAATTTAATTTGAACTGAACCTTGAAGGAAAATGTTTAGATGAGGAAGATTTGCATATGATGAAATGAAAATTAAGGCAAGATCAGGGTATAGGAAAATTTGTGTCAAAATGGGTGCCAAAGCATGTTTGCATAACATCCAGGGAAGAGATTAAAGAAAGGTTGTGAGCTAAGTGTTAAATCACTGAGTGGGAGTGCATCTCAGTGAGCGGATATTTTAGATTCAAGTGAAGAGTATTGAGAGATTAGAGGCCCAGTGCACGAAATTCATGCACTGGGGTGGGGGTGGGGTCCCTCAGCCTGGTCTGTGTCCTCTCACAGTTCGGGACTCCTCGCTTCATACCGCCCACCTGCTTGCTGCTCCTTAGCTGCCACTGAGGCAGGAGAGGCTCCCACCACTGCCACTGCGCTCGCCAGCCCTGAGCCCAGCTTCTGGCTGAGCAGCACTCCCCTCGTGGGAGCGCCCTGACCACCAGGGGGCAGCTCCTGTGTTGAGCATCTGCCCCTATTGGTCAGTGCGCGTGGTAGGGACTGGTCATTTCATCGTAATGGTTGCTTAGGCTTTTATTATGTAGATGACTGAACCGTGTTGGAAGAAGTGGTAGGAAATAATTAGCATGCCTAGAAACCTTTTTCTCCTGTGTATTGAGAATAGTTATAGAAAGAGTATACAAGTCTGTTAGAGAAGTTTGCAGAAGACAGGTATTTTAGGGAAATACATTTCCTTTTGGGTAAGGTGGTGAAAGAAGATTGAAAAAGGTAGAAAACGAATTTTGCAGATGGAATGAGGGCTTCCCAAGATATTTGACGTTCAAGTTTTCTCTGATTCTGAAAGGCATCTGCAGATATTGATGAGACAGTAAGTGCCCTGGTAAGCAACGGCAGTGCTGTGGCTTCCATTAGCTTAGAAACACTGGCATCTTCCCTTCTTCCCACAGTCTCTGCTGCTTTCTTGGCCTCTGCTTTTCCTCCCTGTTAAGATTATTTTCTTCCTCTTTTTATTTTTCCTCTCTTGAAACTTAGTTTGCCTATTACCAAATGGTCATCTGTACAGCGTTGGTCTGTTAGTTTCCTATTGCTGCCATAGCCAGTTACCACAAAGGTAACCGCTTAAACCACACCAATTTATTATTTTATAGCCGTGTAGACCAGAAGTCTAAAACTGGCTCACTGCGCTGCAATTATGTTAGCAGGGTGCCTTCCTTCCTGGGGGCTGTGGGAGAGGGTGTGATCTCTTGCTCATTGGGTTGCTGGCAGACTGGTTGTCTGCTGAGAGCTGTTCCTAGCATCTGAGGGTCGCTTGCAGCTCTTGGCTCATTGCCCCCTTTCTCCATCTTCAAAACCAGCAATGGCAAGTTGAGTAGCCCTCACACTTTGAGTCTTTTTCTGCCTTTACTCTTCCTTTCTCATCTACATTTAAGGGCTAGTGATTAGATTGGGCTCATCTAGACAATCCAGGACCTCAAGATTCTTAACTTTAATCATATCTACAAACTCCCTTTGTCATGAAGGGTAATACTCACAGGTTCCAGGGATTGGGATGTGGACATCTTTGGGAGCCATATTCTCTGCCTACCACAGATCCACTGTAAACAGCTGTGTTCCCAAGATGCTTCTCCCTTTGTCCTCTCCATTCCTCTGCTTTGCCTACCTGCTCCCATTCGTACTCTACATGAGATACCTTTTCTCTTCTTCAGCTTAGGGGGGAGAGAGTGTGTATGTGTGTGTGTCTGGAATGACATTAATCCTGAATATCAGTCTCCTTTTACCAGATATGTCTTGTCGCTCAAGACTCGCAACACTGAATGAGAAATTGACAGCCCTTGAACGGAGAATAGAGTACATTGAAGCAAGGGTGAGTATGATGGCCAAGATGTTTCCTTAGGAGGTTAGTCAGTGGCTGTGCAAGAGAGAATGCACATTGCTATATCTTGCTAAAACAAACAGGCAAGCAGAAATAAGTTTAGAGAAGTTAAGTACCTTGCTTTAATGTGAACCAGGTTTCTGAGACTCTAAAGCTATCTTCTTTTCTACCACTCACTATTACCTAGGATCTAAAATACCTCTAATGCTTTTGAATTTATCTAATGGTCCATTTTCCTTCTACAGGTGACAAAAGGTGAGACCCTCACCTAGAGCTGTGCCAGACTGCTGCTGGGAAGTTGCTTTACGGAACACAGGCCTACGTGGGAAAGGTCCCAGCAGCCTTCCACTCCTTCTCTCTCCTTAAAGAGCAACAGGGCTTATTCTTGTTTTTCTTTCTTCAAACATGTGGCCTTTGGGCTCTGCCATGTTCATCTGGCAGTGTGATATGGCATGTGGGGAGAAGTCCAGGGGGACTCTTGAAAACATTTAACCTTTTCAGTAACATTTTGTAAAACTACTTGTCAATGTATTTGAGGCACTCAGAGCCAAAAGCCTGGGACTTTTTATTAAGGTCCTTTCCACCTCTCTCTCTCTCTCTCTCAGATTTTCCTTACAGTTCTCATTGCCTCTGCATTGATTCTATAAACAGTCTTTTCTCCTCCTACCTTGTCGGGAGGTAGCAGACAGTCCTGGCTGAGAGACTCATGCCCTGGCGAGGTGGCTGCCAGAGAATGTTGTTGCTAATCCACCAGTTTTTGTCCTTGGGAGGTCAAGGCCAGGTCCCCACTTGGCTTGAAGGGACAGTTTCAGATTTTTCTTTCTGTCACTTGGGGTGTTTGCCTCCGATATTTCCCTAATAAACTCCTCAACTTTGTCTGACTGCTGTGATTGTGGTGGGAGAGGAGCTAGAGATGGGACTCCTCTATTCCACAGACATCTGTGTGGAATTATTTTAACAAAACTTTCAGGTGTAGCTGCTTGATCAAAACCTAGGTGGCTTACCAGCCTGAGCCCTCATATTTGGACTTGGAGCTGACTAATTTATCCTGGGAATCATTTGGTCACTCAGCAGGCATTTTGCCAAGTGCTTACTTTGTAGATACGTTATGTTCCAATAAAAGGTACATCATTGAATGAAGCGTGATGCTTACAGTCTTTTGCAATACTAACATTCACACAATTTAACCACAATCCAGGGTTTTAAAACCAGGTTTTATAAGGTATAAGCCAAATGTCTACTTTTTATTAAAGCTAATAGTTTAAACAGAACAATGTAAAACTTGTCATTTCCAAAGCTTGCAACCTTCTTCAAAGGCTCATACAGCCACCTGGAAGTCATTCAGTATTGCCCTTTTCCTTTCCTCAGTCCTGCCATCCTGCCATGCTAATACTACAACTCTGGGTTGATGAATTCTCAGAGCTAATTCTCTTAGCGTCTGCCTCCTGCAACATACTTGAGTGTCTCTTCTTAAATTGCCCAGTTGAATGCCTTGCAGAAGGTGGGTAATCAGTAAATAACAATTGAACTGACTTATAGAGCTCAAACTGCTTTGTACTTTTAGAATCCTTGCTTAGACCTTTAGAAAATACCTTAATACTATCTTAAATTAGGTAGTACCTTAATTTAAAAATGGGATTTTAGCCCTATGAACTCAAGAGTCATTTGGGTTCATTATTCATAATATCTCCCCTATCCAGGATAAAGAATTACATACTTCTAAAGTTCCAGTTTTAGGTTATCTGGTTTTCTGTAGTTTTAACAGTTATTTATTGAATTCCTCCTCTGTACAAGGACCATAGCATGAGATAATAATAGGGGCGGAAGTGGTGATAATCTATAAGCTGGAGAAGCCCTCCAATGAGATTACATGTGAAAATGCTTGATAAATTTCTTGTGATAGATATTAATAGATATTAATCAGTTAATCTGTATTTATAAAAGCCTGAGCGAACATTTGACTGGTAATTATACGAGTGCTGACACAAAGGGGCAGACCCTCAACGCACAGGCATGGAAACATGGAACAGACATGAATCTCAGAGGGAAGGGTCAAGGGGGAGAAGAAAAGGGGGAAGAGATTAGCCAGAGATCTTACATGCATACTAGAGGCCCCACGCACAGAATTGTGCACCAGTGGGGTCCCTCGGCTGGGCCTGCAGGGATCAGCCCAAAACCGGCAGTCCAACATCCCCCAAGGGGTCCCGGATTGCGAGAGGGTGCAGTCTAGACCAGGGCACCCCATGCCCTGGGTGCATAAATCCATGCACCAGGCCTCTAGTTTAATAATATCAAAGTAATATTTCTAAAAAAGTTAGTGCCTTAAATAATACCTGTTGCTAAAGGTAATCTGCTGCTTGTAAAGAGAGCCAGTGGTAACATTTGGGATGGGAGACAAGTGAATCTGACCTCTAGTAGTAGTAACTTTTTCATTTTATCTGGCACTTAAAGGTGTCCATGATTTTCTGTGTTATCATCCCATGTATAAAATGCCTTGGCTTGACCAAGGATATACAGCTATAATTTATTGAGTGTTAAATGTGCTAGATGAGCTAAGTGCTTTATGTACTTTATTTTATTTAAGCTTTAAGCTCTGAGAAGGAGGCATTCTTAACTCCACATAATTGGTTTACAACAAGTTTAGAGAGGCTGGAACTTGTCCAGAGTCGTACAATATCAGTGAAGGTGCTGGGATTTCAACACCTACCTGACTCAGGCTGCTCTAACCATTCTACTTCTGAATGTGGTATAACCAGATCTAAAACTTACTTTCTCATATCTAGTCCAGAGCTGTTTCACTCTATGCACAGTATCCACACCTATTTTTGTCTTATATGCCTCCTCACCATCCTTTTGTACAGAAGGCTTCATGGGCTTTTGCTGTACATTGCATTGATGTTTATATTATCTAGTTTCACTTTCCCTAGCTTCCTTTCTCTGAAGGTTTAATAATATATTTTACTTTCTGGAAGTCTTGGAAGTACTGGAATTTAGTCAACTCCAGTACTTCTTCTAATTATCTCTGGGTTAGAGATACATCTGGAGCCAAAAGAAGTCATAACTCTCTTCTGAAAGAGCTTATTTGATCAGGCTCCAGAAACTGGGATTTTACTCTCAAGTTATATACATCTTTGCTCATAGGTCATTGCAGTCTATAAATAGTGTTATGCTTAAACCATTTAATTCTCAATGTGTCACTTCAACTTAAGCAATTAGAGTTCTGATTATAGGCATACCTCATTATATGCCACAAATGTTGCATTGTTTTACAAATTGAAGGCAAGTCCTTCTACCAGCAAAAAGGTTACAACTCACTTTATCGTGATACGGGGATAGGGATGGGGGGTGGTCTGGAACCCAAATGGCAGTATCCCCAGGGTGTTCCTGTACTAAAATATTTTCTCACTGAGGATGATAGTTAATATTTTACATTTTGACCTATGATTAGTAAGTGATTCTATTTTTTTTTTTTTAACAATTAAGGTGTTGACAGGATTTTATTTTAAAATACATTTTCTTATTGATTTCAAAGAGGACAGGGGGAGAGAGAGAGAGAGAAACATTAATGATGAGAATCATTGATCTGCCTCCTGCTTGCTCCCTACTTGATTGAGGCTGCAACCTGAGCATGTGCTCTTGGCCAGAATTGAACCTGGGACTCTTCAGTTCCGCAGGCTGATGCTCTAGCCACAGCTAGGGTAATAGTTGTTTTGATTTGAACTCTAAGGTGAATGGATTTCAGAGATGTGAAATATACCCAGATTTTATTAGTCCAAATTGTTTTCATTCATCTCACCATAATGAAACATTGCACAGAGTCCTTTTTCTTGTTCATACGTTAGACATTGTAGGGAAGTTTTCCACATTGTGCTTGCTTCTCTTACTTTCCTCGTGAAATCTTTTTTTTTTTTTTAATATATTTTATTGATTTTTGTACAGAGAGGAAGGAAGAGAGATAAGTTAGAAACATCGATGAGAGAGTCATCCATCAGCTGCCTCTTGCACACCCCCTACTGGGAATATGCCCGCAACCAAGGTACATGCCCTTGACCGGAATCGAACCCGGGACCTTTCAGTCCCCAAGCCGACACTATCCATTGAGCCAAACCGGTTTTGGCCCTCGTGAAATCTTAATGATTTCTAAAGGATAATTATGAAGGACTTTTCCTGTTTTTTAACTTGAGTGGGAAATGAGCTAAATATGAAAAATCTCTGTTCTTCATAAGAGTCCTCAAGGGAATTTCTTCTTTCCCATACATTTGGAAGTGTTTTCTACCTGGTAATTTGATTTAATTCAATGTTTATTGAAAAAAAAAAAACAAAAAAACCAGAAAGGGATTTGAACTAGTGAGTTATTAAGACATAAATAGATTATAAATATCTTGATAATAAAGCAGTTTTTAAAAATATATATTTTATTGCTTTTTTTACAGAGAAGAAGGGAGAGGGATAGAGAGCTAGAAACATCGATGAGAGACATGACCAGTTGCCTCCTGCACACCTCCCACTGGGGATGTGCCCGCAACCAATGTACATGCCTTTGATCGGAATTGAACCTGAGACCCTTTAGTCTGCAGGCCGATGCTCTATCCAGTGAGCCAAACTGCTCAGGGCATAAAGCAGTTTTCAATCTTTTTAAAAACTAAGCTTGAACGATTTTCAGAAGCAGGAAAATAGGAAACTGAATTTTTGGGCATTAGAGAGGTACCAAGTTCTATTGTCTTGCTCTTGTTTAACATTCACTTAGTTCACTTAAAGTTCAAAGTCATTGACTACTTTGAACTTTCCACCTTTATTTCATAAAGCTAGGCCATACTAAGTGGATAGAAAGCCTATTATTTTTTAAAATATTTTTTATTGATTTCAGAGAATAAGGGAGAGGGAAAGAAAGATCAATGATGAAAGAGAATCATTGATTGGCTGCCTCCTGCACACCCCTTACTGAAACCCAGGCATGTGCCCCTGACCAGAATCAAACCCGGGACCCTTCAGTCTGCAGGCCTACACTCTATCCATGGAGCCAAACCGGCGAGGCGAGAGCCTATTATTTATCTCTAGGCTCCATCCCAGCATTTGTATTCAGTTTCCTACTGTTGCCTGCAAAAAAACAAACAAAAACATTTGCCTGTGGAGAATGTGTTAGGGAAGTCACAGGCAGTTGGTGCCATTAGTAACTACAAAAATACAGCTGATTTCTGAAGGTAGTGTGGCCGTCAGGTAGAGTATAGAATAAGAAAATCAGGTTGGGTTAGTGCTCTCGAGTTTGTTTCCTGGAGAAAAGCCAGCCTGAACAAAGGTTGTCCAAAGGTTAGGATTAGCTTATGGGGAGAAATTTTAGAGAGAACCTAGTCCACTCTGGCCTTTTGAAAATGAAGAAGCAAGCCCAGACAGGTTGGGTGACATGCCCACTAGTTACATGGTGGTGGCAAAGAACACTAAAACCCAGGTCTTATTCCCGGATCAAGTGCAGTGCCAGAGCCATTCAGGGTCTCCCAAGTCAGTTTTATTTTCTGTGCCATTCTGGTCCTTTAATAGCCTCTCCCTGGATCTTATTAACAACCTGAAAGAGTAAAAGGGTAGTTGTCACATGTAGCTAAGTGGTGTCCATTGGCATTAACATTTGCATTTGCAAAAAAATTGGAGCACAGTTTCCTTTGGCACCTTGGGTTTGAGACTACCAAGTGTGAGATTGGTATTGTGCCTTAGTCTGCATCCTTCTGCTATAGAGAATCTGCATTTCCCAACCATAACGTGTTTTTTTTTTAAATATATTTTTTATTGATTTTTTAGAGAGAGGAAGAGAGAGGGATAGAGAATTAGAAACATCGATAAGAGAGAGTCATCTACCAGCTGCCTCTCGCACACCTCCTACTGGGGATGTGCCTGCAACCAATGTACATGCCCTTGACCAGAATCAAACCCGGGACCTTTCAGTCCACAGGTCGATGCTCTATCCACTGAGCCAAACCGGTTTTGGCCATAACATGTTTTTAAAAAAATAATTTTTGTGCCCTGACCAGACTTTTTTTGTGGCTCATTAAGTATGGTCCTGTGCACCAGGAGGTTGCTGGTTTGATTTCCAGTCAAGGTCACACAAGGGGGTGTGCAGCAGATCAATGTTTCACTCTCACATCAATGTTTCTCCTCTAAAAATCAACCTATTCTTTATTTATTTATTTATTTATTTATTTTTAAATAGAAGCTCAAACAGAGGCCTACAGAGGTCAGGATGGGAAAGACCAGTTACCAACGATATTCTTTTTTTCTTTTTCTTTTTAAAAAATATATTTTATTGATTTTTTACAGAGAGGAAGGGAGAGAGATAGAGAGCTAGAAACGTCGACGAGAGAGAAACATCGACCAGCTGCCTCTTGCACACCCCCCACTGGGGATGTGCCCACAACCAAGGTACATGCCCTTGACCGGAATCGAACCTGGGACTTTCAGTCCACAGACCGACGCTCTACCACTGAGCCAAACCAGTTTCAGCTCAACCTATTCTTTAAAGAATATTAATATTTTGTAAAATAAATTTCAGACTTGTAGAAAAGTTTCAAGAATAGTACAAATTATTTCTATACATCATAAAACATTTTTGAATTGAGATTTACTTTTATCCTTAAGTTTGAACTCATTCAATGTGACAATCCCAGGGTGACCTTATGAGTAAAATGGAAAATAAGTACATTATAAGGTAAAATACATTTTGTTGATAAAAATCTTTAAGATGTTCCAGTTCAATAAATGATCAAGTAATTCAGATTGGCGTTGATAACCCTTTTGTCTAAGAAGTTGTTCATTAGCATTTAAAATTTATTTTTTATTGATTTACTTTAAAGAGAGAAGGAAGAAGAGAGACATCAATTTGGCTTCTTGTATGTGCTCTGACCAGGGGTCAAACCCACAACCTTGGTGTATGGAGACAATGCTCTAACCAACTGAGCTATCTGGTTAGGACCTGTTAGTTAGCATTAAATGCATTGTATGTCACCCTGACCAGGTGGCTCACCTTTATTCTTTACTTCTAAGTTCCAAGGGCTCTTCCTTTGCCTCTATAACTTGTTTCCTAAGCCCATTTCTTGTACAAATTACTTTTACTTCTGTATAGTTTGAGTCGTGGCTCTGAATTGTTTCCTTGCCAGAACTCAAGTAGTGAGGTTGCTGAACTCAGGTCTGGTCTAACCCCCCTGGTCTAACAGCTGGGGGTGTTCCACTACTGCCAGCAGGTGTGAACTTCAGAGGGCACACACTGCAGTGTGGAAAATGATTCCCTTTCCAGTTTCCTTTAGTCTTTAAAAAAAAATCTTTCAGAAAAAAATGTGATTATGTTCAGCAGAAAGTTGGTTTGACAACTAACACTTGGCATCTAACACTTGGCTAGTCCCTTTAAAGCAAAATCAGGGTCAAGTGCTTTAAACAAACAATAGATAGCTTGGCCAGGCATGGCTCAGTGGTTGAGTGTTGATCTATGAACCAGGAGGTCGAGGTTTGATCCCCGGTCAGGACATATGCTGGAGGCAACTAATCAATGAGTCTCCCTCATTGATGTTTCTATCTTTTGTTCCCTCTCCCTTCCTAAAGTCAATAAAAATGTATTTAAAAAACAAACAATAGATACAAATTAATAACTTGTTTTCTTTGACCTTAGTTCCATTGTACTCTTTTATGGCAAGGAATAATGAATTTCTATTGGTAGTACTAATATAAAATTTCTTCTCAGACGTGTTTAATTGCTTGCATATGCATAGAATACCTTTGAAAGGAAGTACAAAAAAATTGATATTGCTGCCTTCAGGGACTCTTTCTGGGTGGCTAGGGGAAGAGAGGGAAAATTTTTATGCTCTTCTGCATAAAATTTTAATTTTGTAACTCCCAAATGAAGAGAAAACAACTGATAGTGCAGATGGTAGGGAGAATATGGCAAAAAGCATGACGGCCTTAAGAGAATAAATAAAACTACAGAAACTAACAGGAGGAAAGAAAAATTTCTAGGAGAAACCCGGGAATGGGGCGACCAAGTACCACCCATCGCCTCAGTGAGACTTGGTTTCTGTGGCTAGGGAGATCCAAATGCGCATGCGCATAGCCTCGGCGATCATTGGTTCCTGTGTAGGGAGATCGGTCTGCGCATGCGCACAGCCTCCAACTAGCCATTTCTGCGAAGGTACGCTCCACCCTCCGCCGAGAGCGGGGAGAACGGCGCCTGCGTGCGGAGGTCCCGCCCCGCCCCTTGTAGTCTGCGAATCCCGCGGCTCCGAGGCCGGGGTTGTCTGGGCGCCGGAGGTGGTGCCCTGGCAGGCGGGGGAGTTGCGGGAGGCCGGGGTGGGCGCGGAGGAGTGCGGCCCCTCAGAGGACGGCCGGGCAGAGTCCGGTCTGGAGGCGGCGGACGCCGCGGAGGAGATGGAGGCCGGGAGGCCGCGGCCGGTGCTGCGCTCGGTGAACTCGCGCGAGCCGTCCCAGGTCATCTTCTGCAACCGCAGCCCGCGCGTCGTGCTCCCCGTGTGGCTCAACTTCGACGGCGAGCCGCAGCCCTACCCCACGCTGCCGCCGGGCACGGGCCGCCGCATGCACAGCTACCGAGGTAAGGTCGCCCGTTCGCGCTCCGGCCCGCCTTCCCCTTCGGGCGCCTGCCCGCCCCCTTGGCGCTGAGCTGGCCCCCGCGCTCTAGGCCAGACGGCAGCAGCAGCGGCGGCACGACTCATCCAGTGCCCTCCGCCATCCCGGGAGGCCGGTGCCGTTGTCATTATTGTTCCCATTTACGGCCTCAAAGAGGTAGGGACAGATCCAAGTTGACGCTCAGTGGTAGGCATTCTTCTTTATAAAACTGACTAATTTGCATTCGATGGTGGCTTTCCCCCGACCCCCTTCCACGTGTTGTTACCTTAAAAACAGTGCTCCAGCCGAAACCGGTTTGGCTCAGTGGATAGAGCGTCGGTCTGCGGACTGAAAGGTCCCAGGTTCGATTCCCGGTCAGGGGCATGTACGTTGGTTGCGGGCACATCCCCGGTAGTGGGTGTGCAAGAGGCAGCTGGTGGATGTTTCTCTCTCATTGACGTTTCTAGCTCTCTGTCCCTCTCTCTTCCTCTCTGGAAAATCAATAAAATATATTTTTTAAAAAAAGCAAAAAAAAAAAGCGGTGCTCCATCCCTAATGCCCATTGGTTCAGTCCCTGAATGGGAGAATTTCACATTCTTCCATGTCCTCAGTGGGCCAGGCCCGCGTAGGCGCCCTGTATGCACAGAGAACACAGCCAGCGTCAAATTTGCTGCGATGGGAACAGCACAGAGGATTGCTGGAACTTGCAGCCGGCTTCTGCTCAGTGAGGGGGCGGCAGTGGTGGTGGTGGGAGTGGTGGGTACACGTGTGGTTTCAACTACGGAGAGCTTCTCAGAGAAAAAAAGGGAGTCCTTCCTGCAGGATGAATGGGAGCTACCAATCCAAGACAGTTGTAGGCAGAGGGAACCACAGGGGCTGAAGGAGAAGAAGGTATGATGGAATGGTGGGAGGGGAAGCCCTAAAGGCGATTTTGCCTCTAGAGAAATGGGAGCCATTGCAGGTTTTCCAGCAGGGACACGACATTGCCAGATTTACATTCCGAAAAGCTCACTCAGGTTGGGTTGCAAAGTGGTTTGCGGGGGAAGAGTGCTGTTGAGGAACCAGTTAGGAAGCTGTTGCAATGGCCTAGGGGAAGATTAGGTCTTATTGCCTAAAGAGGTAGTAACCTCCCAATGGCTTTCAAGAAGAAAGTAGTCCTACGCTCCCTTAATTTTCACAACCCTAGAAATAGACTCAGACACAGAGAACAGAAGGGAGGAGAGTTGGGGAGGGGGGTGCTGGGTGAAAAAGTTGAAGGAGTTTAGAAGTACAAATTGGCAGTTATAAAATAGTCACAGAGATGCAAAGTACAGCATGGGGAATATCCTGTCCTATCCTATATAATAAAAGGCTAAAATGCAAATTGTCCCTTCCACCGGGTGTTCTACCAGGGTGTGGGGCTGGCTGTCCAATCAGCTGCAGCCCCTCTCCCTGATGGCCCCCTACCCACCTGGATTGGAGGCAGGCAGTGGCCAACCTCCCACGTCCCCTCCTCTGGCCAGCCTGGGCAGGCTGGCCCGACCCCACCGGTGCATGAATTCGTGCACCTGGTCTCTAGTAGTCAATAATATATATACAATAAAAGCCTAAGTGGCTGTTACAACAGAACGATCAGTTGCTATGACACACACTGACCACCAGGGGGCAGATGCTCAGTGCAGAAGCTTCCCCCAGCCCACAGGAAGATAGGGCCTGCTGGCCAACCTCCTGGTCTCTCTCCCTAGCCAGCAGGCCCCGATTGCCCTATTGGGGCTGGGCCCTGGGCTGGGATGGGGAAACAGGGATGGGCAGTGGCAGATGTGGGCAGTGAGGGAAGAAGAGGTGGGGAGGAGGGGAGGCAGGGAACCTGATCCGTCCTGATTGCCAGCCAGGCCTAGGGACCACACCATGCACTAATTCCATGCATCGGGCCTCTAGTATTGTAATAACTATGTACCGTATTTTTCGGACCATAAGACGCTCCGGACCATAAGACGCACCAGTTTTTAGAGAAGGGAAATGAAGAAAAAAAGATTCTGAAACAAATAGTGTCCTAAAATATTTTATGTGCATTAAAACCCAACATCACAGTCATAAACACATGTAATCAACCCTGTAAAGCACATGTGTCAAACATAAGGCCTGCGGGCCAAATCCGTCCCGCCAGGCCTTGCAATGTGGCCCGCACTGCGCTGTCATCACTGCACTCCGCTGCGTTTCCATCACAATGACAGTTTATGACTGTTCAGTAAACCATTCGGCCCACGATTTAGGCTGGATTTTAGATTTTGGCCCCTTCTCTGATTGAGTTCGACACCCCTACTGTAAAGTAAACAGCAGCATTTAGAACCATTTTAGAGCCGGGCAAGCACACAGAGACCACACAGAGCCGGGCAAGTAAAAAAACTTTTTTTTTAAAGTATATGTGTAGGTTATATTTGGACCATAAGACGCAGGGACTTTTCCCCCCCACTTCTGGGGGGGAAAAAGTGCGTCTTATGGTCCGAAAAATACGGTATTGTGCCAGGTGGCTGGTATGTCTCAGATTGTTGAAGCAAATGTTTCCTGTGCATCAAAGGTCAAGATTTGATTCCCAGTCGTCATATACCTGGGTTTCAGGTTTGATCCCCGGTCGGTGTGTGTGGGAGGCAACTGATCAATGTTTCTCTTCTCTCTCTCTCTTTCAAAAAAAAAAAAATCAATAGAAACATATCCTTGGGTGAGGGTTAATATATGTATAAATATATATATTACCAGGTGAATATACTTAATGTCACTGAACTATACACTTAAAATCGTTTAAATGGTCAATTTTATGTTATGTATATTTTACACAACAAAATATGACCAGTTTACATTTCTTAAATTTTCATATCAAATCTTCAAGTAAGTTTATGTTCCAGGAACACATGCTATATTTTTTCTGAGAGATACCTCCTCCCTCCTTAAACAGAATTAAGCCTAGAGATTTGCCTCCTTTCTCTCTCTGTCTCTGTCTCTGTCTCTCTCTCTCTCTCTCTCTCTCTCTCTCTCTCTCTTGCATGTGATTATTTGTTTCTCATTCAGGAGTAAATTACATAGAATATAAGTGTACAGATCTTAGGGTTTGATGTGTTTTGACTAATGTAGCAACACCTAGATCGAGTTACAGACTAGAACATGTCTGTCACCCAGAAAGCACCCTTTTGTTCTTTCCCTTCCAGAGGCAACCACTCCTCTGATTTTTTTGTATCATAGATTGGTTTCCTCTGTTCCGGCAAAACGTTCACTTTCTGTCTGGCTTTTTCTCTCAACATGGTGTTTTAGCACCTTCTTCTTTTATTTTTTATTTTTTTATTAAATTATTATCTGTGTACATATACCATTGGCACCTTTTTTTAAATCTTCACCTGAGGAATGAGGATATTTTCCCATTGATTTTCTAGAGAAAATGGGAGGGAAGAGGAGGGGGAGAAAAAAACATGGATGTGAGAGAGAGACATCGATTGGTTGCCTCCCACATGCTTCTGATGGGGGTGAGGAGTGGGTTCTGAGAGGATTGGGGTTGGGCTGAGGATCAGAACTGTAATCCAGGTATGTGCCCTTGACTGGAATAGAATCCTCAACCCTCTGGTGCGCAGGCCATGCTCTTACCACTGAGCCACACTGGCCAGGACTGCATCTTCTTGTTTTTGAGAAACACAGGTTTGAGGAGTCAGTGACCTCCTCTCCTTTAGTTTGCAGTGTTGTGGTTTGCTTTTCCTCCGTGGCAGAAGATAGGGATAGGGTTTGGAGCTTCAGGTACATGCCCTTCTATTTACTGGCCCTGTTGCCTTGAGCAAGTCACTTGGCTTTTTCAGACCTATTTTCTCATCTGTAAATGCATCTATTGTGAGGCTTGAGTAAGCTAATATTATGATGTTTTGCATGACACTTAAGCAGAATGGCAAGTATTTCATTATCAGTCCAGGATGATGAAGCAAATGGGTGTGTCCCTACTTAACAGCTTCTGCTTGTATTAACAGGTCACCTTTGGCTCTTCCGAGATGCTGGGACATATGATGGGCTTCTGGTTAACCAAACTGAACTATTTGTGCCATCTCTCAATGTTGATGGACAGCCTATTTTTGCCAACATCACACTACCAGGTACTGTTATTCCATTTTACTCCCCCCCGCCCCCCCCCAATCTTACTTTTTAAAAAGATAAGGCTGTTATAAGTACAGGTAAGGTATGTACACATATAATACCTTAATTTAAAAAAATGAGGGGAAAAAAATAGAGGAAAGGGCACTTACAGGAGCCAAGCCCTTACTGATTTTCTCCTGATGCTCACGAGGTTTTCAGCCTTCCTGTGTCCTATTCTCCACCACAAATAAAATGGAAGTAATGTGTGTGTAGGCTCTGTATTGAGCAAAGGTGTTGTGGTGTTTCAAAAGCTCTTTGGGACAGGCCAGTGTGGCTCAGAAGTTGAATGTCAACCTTTGAAACACGAGGTCATGGTTTGATTCCCCATCCGGGAACATGCTCGGGTTGTGGGCTCGATCCCCATTAGGGGATGTGCTAGAGGCAGCTGATCAGTGATCCTCTCTCATTGTTGATATTTCAATCTCTCTCTCCCTTCCTCTTCTCTAAAATATAAATAAATAAATATATATATATATATTTTTTTATTTTTTATTTTTATTTTTTAAAGCTCCCTGGCCCTGGCTGGTGTGGCTCAGTTGGTTGGGCATCATCATCCAAAGATTCCCAGTCAGGGCAAATGCTGGGTTTCAGGCTCCATCTCCAGTGTGCGGAGTCAGCCAGTCCATATTTTGCTATCACATCGATGTTTCTCTCTCTCTTCCTCTCCCTTTCTCTCTCTCTAAAAAAATTAAAAATTTTTGGGCTTGTCAGAGTTGGGCTAAATTAAAATATCTGATTGTAGACTTATGAATGCATTTTGTTACCCTGGTCTTGAAGCAGAATTATGCCTTGGAGTTTCAGAAGAACAAAGTATAGGAGATTGATATTAAGCACTTGTTTATATGACTTCTGGTGTTGTATTTTTTAATGTTATTTAACCCAGTCAAACTCGGTGCAATCAGGGATTTAAAAAAATAACTTAATTGAACATTGGCCTCATAGTGATTAAGTTGAACCTGCCGATGTGGCTCAGTGGTTGAGCTTCATGCTGTGAACCAGGAGGTCATTGTTCAATTCCCGGTCAGGATACATGCCCAGATTGTGGGCTCGATCGCCAATAGGGGGCATGCAGAAGATAGCTGATCAATGATTCTATCCCATTGATGTTTCTAGCTCTCCCTCTCCCTTCTTCTCTCTAAAATCAGTAAAAACATATTAAAAAAAGAAAGAAAGAAAGAAACTGATGTTCTTGTGGGATTAAAAAACATTACCACATTAAGTATTTGCATCTTTATAAGGTTCAGGCTAATATATAGATCCTGTTTTAAAGAAGTGGGTATACAAAAATGATCATTGATAAATTAAATGAAGTACCCTTAGAGAGTAAGTAAAATCAGAGTTCAGTTCCTCCAAATTCAGTTATATACTGTTTTGGTTACTTATTGCTATTTTAATAACTACCCCAAAACTAACAACCATTTGATTTGTTCATAATTCTGCACTCTGGACTGAGTTCAGCTAGGTGGTTATTCTGCTCATTGGTGTCATTGGTGTGTCTGCCTTCTCCTGGCATGTTGGCTGAGGGCTAGTCTTCTCTCCCATGTAGTCTCAGTGCCTATCCCTCTTTGTATGGCCTGTCCTGCAGGGTAACTCGGGGCTTCTGAGAGGGTAAAAGTGGAAGTTGCTTAAGGCTTAGACTCAAAATTGCCACAGTGTCATTTTACCCACATTCAGTTATTAAAGCACACGACAATCCCAGCCCACTTTCAAGGGGAAGTTAGTACACAAGGTTATGAATACCGTGAAATGCCGATTGGGACCATCATATTACATTCTGCCACAATACATGTACTCGCTTTTTTAATTTTTATTTTTTTGCCCAAAATGAGATCCATCTGTAGTAAATGTAATTGCCATTGTTGGCAAAGCCTCTTGCTCATCCCTTGTCTGAAGACATGCACGAATTTCGCTGCTGAAGATTCGGTTTTCTGCCCTTACAGTGTATACCCTAAAAGAGCGATGCCTTCAGGTTGTACGCAGCCTCGTCAAGCCTGAGGATTACAGGAGACTGGACATTGTGAGATCACTCTACGAAGATCTGGAAGACCACCCAAATGTGATGAAAGACCTGGAGCGGCTGACACAGGAGCATATTGAAAATCAGCGGATGGAAGAGGATTTACACTGAAATATGTACTTCTAAGTCTTAGCTGTGGATGGAATGGGCTAGTCTTAATCTAGATACAGGACTGGTCACTTATGCTCAGTGTCAAGGTCTCATTCTTTGAGTAAAATAAGCTCCATTGCTTAAAAGAAAGTTAACTGACTTCACTAGGTATTGTGATGTTTAGGGGCCAACATCACAAAATGTAATGTCCGCCCTCTTTAGAAGTGTTCATGAAGGGAAAGTAGCTGCCTCTTTGTGAGTCAGGAGAGGGTAAGAACCTTTGTGTAAGTAATTCAGTGAGAATTATAGCATATTCATTGATTGTAAGAAAGCAGTGGCATCTGCTTTTAATTGCTGTATTGTGGTTGGTGATATGTCTGCCTCCTGCTTTGAGAGACTGAGATGTCCTTGAGGCAGGGACAAAACTGTCTGCTCTTTGAGACCCCAGTGCCTCTCACATTATGAGCCTTCATCTGTGTTTGTTGAATGAACAAACCAGTGGATATTTTGATAGAAAGTATTTGGAAGGTTTGCCATTTTTTGCAGGGGGAAAATAGGGAAACTTAAAGTGTATACAGTAAATAAATGTTTTAAAGGGGATCATTTTTATAGAAAGCACTTTTAATAATTTTATAAATTTTGTGCTTTTTTTCTGTTCACTATTGTTCCAGTGCTGTCTTATTACTGTTTCTAAACCCGGATTAGCTTTTTACAGTTACTGTGATGCTAGCTCTTTTGAAACTTTTGACATCTACACAGAAGATAGAAGAAAGGAGCTGTCCTCTTGTTTAATAAGAAGGAGATACTACCATACTGTGAATAGGTCTCTGCCAAGTGTGGGTATTTCTGTTTCTTTTTGTAAATCCATGACATTTCTGTTTGGTTCAACATTTTTAATCCGGCAGGATATGGTGACACTTACCACAAAGCCCTAGCAGTTCTGGGAAGTTCCTGCTCACCCACAGTGGATTCAGAGAGTAGCCTGGAATGTTTTATAGTTTTATACTTCCTCATAGGCTGGACTTAAATTCATTCAGTACTTCTATCTGGCTTCCTTTTGTATAATAGTTTGAAGAAATCAGTGAGAAACTTTTGGAAATGCAAAAAATAAAAGGAAGAGAAAGATCACTACAGATAAACTATTTAAATACAATCACTAACTTAACATTTTGAATTTTCAGCCCCTTTTAGGGCAACTTTTGGTTTGTTTCTACACAGTGGAGGTTATACTGTACGCACAATTTTGTATTCTTTCTCATTTAACTTTATAACTTACAGCTTAAGTATCTTCTATGGCATCTTTATAAGCTCTCCATAGACATTACTATACTCTGTCTTGTAAATAATGCTGGGACATTTCTCGGCATCTTTAGTTCCTGTGCTAACCTTTGAGCACAGTTGCTGAGCTCTGCAGAACGAAGTGAATGAGACAAACCCCACGGTTGTCTCATTATACATTAAGTTTCACCCATTCTGGTTCTCTTCAGCATTCAGCAAAATAGTTGGCTTTTAGGCCGCTCCGAGAGAGAAGAGCCTGTTATAGTACTCGTTCAGTGATATACTTATAAATCTAATTTTTTTATGTAGGGTAGAAGGAATGCTGGTATAGAAGGTAGCAACGTGAGTTCCATAGTTAGATGGGGTGGGATTTAAGGAAGTCTGCTGGTGCTGGATTAGTTTGATGTTGGTGTTATTTTATTTTTTAACCTGTCTGTGTCAAAATGAGATTTCATATTCCAGTTGTTAAAACATGCAATTTTGAGTACTGTGTTTTTTGTGTTGTCCAAGGAAGACTGAAAATCTGTAGCATGAATAATATGTTTTTCATTTGAAGTCTTATGAATGTATTAGATGTATTAAAAGACTATGCTGTTTCCTATTTTGAGTTTAAAAAACCTTTTTAATACATTAAATGGTGCTGAGTAAAGGAAACAGGGGAGGTGTGTTTGGTGTTATTTTAACAAGGCTCTTCTCTGGGAGAGAACTGACAGCCATGGTTATTTAAAGGCGTAAGGTGGGGAGGGAGTAGCAGGCACAAGCAACTCACTTTATTCTCAGTTCCTTCTCTTTACAACACTGGTTTTGTTGTTTTTTTAAACCATTGTTTATTTTAACTTTATTTTTTCTAATAAATATGCTATATCACTAAAAATTGTTAAGCACTACTGAAAAGCATTAAGAAAAATACTTAGGTTGGAAAAAACTTTTTTGTGTTTTTGTTTGTTTTTTCATGAAAACAGAACCAACCTTAACAGATTCCTCACTGAAGAAGGTACACAGCTCTGGCCGTAGCTCAGCTGGTTAGCGTCCTCCGACATGCCAAGGTTGAAGATACATCCCTGGTCAGGTGACATACAGAAATCAATCAGTGAATGCATACGTGAGTGGAACAACATGTTGTTGTTTCTCTCCCCCCTTCCTGTCTCTCTAAAATAAATTTAAAAAATAAATACAAAGAGGATACACAGATAGCAACTAAGAATGTGAAAAGATGCTTCACATCATGTGTTATCAGGGAAACGAAAATTGAAATAAGATACCACAAAGCACTATTAAGAAGGCCACACTCTGTGATACAACACCAAATGCTGGCAAAGTTAAACATACTGTTACCATACTACCGATGGTACTCCTTAGTATTTACTCAAAGGAGTTCAAAACTTAACATTGAAAACCCTGCACATGGATATTTATAACAACTTTATTCATAATTGCCAAAACTTGGAAGCAACTAAGATATCCTTCAGTAGGTGATAAATAAAATATGGTACATCCAGACACTATATATATATTTTACATATATATTTTAAAGTCGATTTTAAAGAAGGGGAGAGCGAGAGAAACCGATTTGTTGTTCCACTTACTTATGTAGGTACTCATTCTTATAAGTGCCTTGACTAGGGATGGAACCAGCAACCTTGGCATATTGGTTCAGTGCTCTAACCAACAGAGCCACCCAGCCAGGGCACACACTGGACTCTTCCGCAGTCAAGAGAAATGAGCTGGCCACCGTGAAAAGACACGGAAGGAAACAAACGTTTATTATTAAACGAAAGAAGCCAATGTAAAAAAGTCACATTCTGTATGATTCTGGGAAAGGCAGAATTATGATGTAAAAACGTTCGTGGTTGCCAGGGCTTGAGGGGAGAGAGGAATGACCGGGCAGATCACAGGATTTTTTTAGGGCAGTGAAACTATCCTGTATGTTTCTATACATGTGCTATACTATGTACTACACTACATGATCTATGACATCATACATTTGTCCAGGCCCATGGAATGTACAACACCAAGAGAGAACTCTGAACTATGGACTATGGGTAATAATGATGTGTCATTGTAGGTTCATTAATTACCACAAATGTGTCACTCTGGTGGGGATTGTTGATAATAGAGGAGACTATATGTGAGGGCAAAAGGTGCATGGGAAATCCCTGTTCCTCTCAATTATGTTGTAAACCTAAAACTGCTCTTTAAAGTCTATTTAAAAAAGAACCAAAGCCGAGACCGGTGTGGCTCAGTGGATAGAGCGTCGGCCTGCGGACTGAAAGGTCCCGGGTTCAATTCCGGTCAAGGGCATGTACCTTGGTTGCGGGCAACATCCCCAGTGGCAGGTGGTACAAAAGGCAGCTGGTTGATGATTCTCTCTCATCGATGTTTCTAGCTCTCTATTCCTCTCTCTTCCTCTCTGTAAAAAATCAACAAACTATTTTTTTTAAAAATAAATAAAAAAGAACCAAAAAAAATGTAAGTGGTTAACATTTCACCAGTGCTTATATTGTAAAGGTAATAAAAGGCTGAAACCGATTTGGCTCAGTGGATAGGGCGTCGGTCTGCAGACTAAAAGGTCCCGGGTTCGATTCCGGTTAAGGGCACATACCTTGGTTGCGGGTACATCCCCAGTGGGGGGTGTGCAGGAGGCAGCTGGTTGATAATTCTCCCTCATCGATCTTTCTGGCTCTATCCCTCTCCCTTCCTCTCTGTAAAAAATCAATAAAATATATATTAAAAAAAAAAAGTAATAAAAGGACAGGGCACTGGGTAGAAATCAATGTGCACTGAAAATATTAAATAGGTATTAATATTTTGCACTCTGGACTTAGAAATAACAGTAAGAGCTTTCCAGATACTTAATTCTAGATTTCTGTGTATTAGCATTCTATATATATATATATAGATAGATAGATAGATAAATAGGTAAATATAGATATAAAAATAGATATATATATATATATATTTTTTTTTTAATTGATTTTAGAGAAGAAGGGAAAGGGAGAGAGAGATAGAAACATCAATGATGAGAATCACTGTTGGGCTGCCTCCTGCACATCCCCTACTGGGGATCAAGCACGCAACCCAGGCATGTACCCTTGATGGGGGAATTGAACCCAGGACCCTTCAGACTGCAGGCCAACACTATTCACTGAGCCTAACCAGCTAGGGCTGTCTTAGCATTCTTAGCACCTCAGTGTTACTCTGCCTGCTACCATGTTATTGTTTCCCATCAAAGTCCAGGGTTAAATTCCTGGTTAGGGAACATGCTTGGGTTTTGGGTTCAATCCCCAGTCAGGGTGCATACAGGAGCCAACTGGTCAATGTGCTCTCCTCTGTTTTAAATGAATTTTATGTCCTTTACTCAAGGGAAACCCATCTATTTATCGGTGGAATACAGCGCCTTCCAAGCAGTGGAGCTCTCTTTTCTGTGAACTTCTCAATGTCCTCAGTGGCAGCTGCCATTTTTTAAGTACATTGTGCAAGTAAGACCCTGGAGCAGGCGTTCTATTTGGCTGTCAATCCACTTCCCTGGCTCACAGCTCTGAGCAGTAGGGATGACTAGTCCCATTTTACAGATGTGTAAAGCAAGGCTTGGGAAGTGAAATGCATTGTCCAGGGTCACAAAGCCCGTTGGTCGCAGAACTGGAACTTCGCCTTAGGACTTCTCATTTCATTTCAGGTCCCTTCTTCTGAGCCACAATTCCATTGCTGATGTTTACAGCTGCAAAGTGGTACTCTTAGTTGTTGATCTGCCTTCGATGATGTTGTCTACACTCTTGGAACCTATTTACTTCTGTGTAAAAATGAGATAATATCTGTAGTATAGGCTTATGAGAATTACATAAAATAATTTAGGCAGCCGAAACCGGTTTGGCTCTGTGGTAGAGCGTCGGTCTGTGGACTGAAGGGTCCCAGGTTCGATTCCGGTCAAGGGCATGTACCTGAGTTGCGGGCACATCCCCAGTAGGGGGTGTGCAAGAGGCAGCTGGTCGATGTTTCTCTCTCATCTACATTTCTAGCTCTCTATCTCTCTCCCTTCCTCTCAGTAAAAAAATCAATAAAATATATAAAAAAAAATAATTTAGGCAAAGCACACTATTAAGTTGTAGTGTTTATTATAGTAGTTATTTTATTAAAGAGGGAGTTTGTAGCCAGTGGTCAGACTGCTAGGTTTCAAATCTCAGCTCTGCCTCTTATACCTGAATGAGTTTAAACAAGTTATTTAACTTCTCTGTGCCTCAGTTTCCTCCTCTGTAGAATGGAGATAATCACCACACCTTCCTACCTCTTGGAGTCATTGTGAGGAATAAGTGAAATAAGCCAGGTGAAGTCTGTTCAATAAACTCTAGTCATTATTTTGTATAAGTTCTCCTCAGACCCTATTTGATAATCCAATTTGCCTCACAGTCCCTCTTACCATATTCCTCCACTAATATTGATCACATTAACAGATAATGAACATGAGAAAATATGCAATTAGCCTCCCCCACTCCCTTTCATTATACTCTACTTTTGTTCTCTAACATTACCTATCATCTATAATACTGTTATATTTAAAATTTTTAAATCTTTATTGTTGAAAGTATTACGTATGTTCCCCTCCCCCCTACTTATTTTTCATTTTTAAAAAAATATATTTTATTGATTTTTTACAGAGAGGAAGGGAGAGGGATAGAAAGTTAGAAACCTTGATGAGAGAGAATCATCGACCAGCTGCCTCCTGCACATCCTCTACCGGGGATGTCCCTGCAACCAAGGTACATGCCCCTGACCGGAATCAAACCCGGGACCTTTCAGTCTGCAGGTCAACACTCTATCCACTGAGCCAAACCGGTTTAGGCTTATTTCTCATTTTTATTGCTTACTGTCTGTCTCTCTCCCTGGCAGGGATTTTGTTTAGAGATATCCCCAGCACTTGGCACATAGTAGCTGCTCAAACAAAAATTAGCCATTATTGTGATAAAGTCTACCTTGGCTAGTCCTCCCCCTCATAGTTCTGAATTCCTAATTTCCCTTAATCAAATTCCCTTTTGCTTTTTGGCAATGGCACTTATTATGTTTTAACAAACTATGAAATATACTTATTCAGTATTTTGATGAGTGATTGCTGCTTCCTCCTATCACCTCGGTCTAGAGTGTAAGTATCATGAAATCAAGGACTTTTTTTTTTTAATTGATTGATTTCAGAGAGAGGAAGGGAGAGAGAGAGTTAGAAACGTCGATGAGAGAGAATCATTGAGCCACACCTGCCAGACTTTTACAGGTTTTCTCTACTTAGGTACCTCCAACCCCTAGAAGAATGCCTGAATTATATGTGGCAGAGCGCCAAAAGCACAGGAAGTGGAGTCAGAAGGTCTCCTAGGACCGACCGGGAATTCTCGGATGGCCTTCACCGTGTTTCCTCCCCACCTTGGGCCTCCGTTTCCACTCCCAGCTCCTATCCTCTTGGTTTGCTTCCCAGCAGCTCTGGTCCCGCCAGCCGGACGGCGCCGCGCCGCCCATGGCCGCTAGGGGGCAGTGTGTCCAGCGCCGGCTCCGCCCACTTCCCGGGGGGGCGGGGCGCGGGGGCGCGGGGGCGGGACGGCCCGCCCCGGAGTCCAGAAGCCGAGTCCCCGCGGCGCCGGGCTCAGTGTCCCGGGAGCTCCCCGCCGGCCCTTCCCGTGCAGCCATGTCCTGCTACATCTACCAGCTGCCCTCCTGGGTGCTGGACGACCTGTGCCGCAACATGGACACGCTCAGCGAGTGGGACTGGATGCATTTCGGTGAGTGGCCCCTCGCGACCCCGCCGTCCGGCTGGGAGGCGCCCTCCCAGCGGGTCCCGCTCCGAGGGGCTCTGCCCCCGCCTCCGCCGGGCGCCCGCAGGCCGGCCACAGGCCCCTCGCTGGCCCCGGGCGACCTTCGGGAGGCGCAGTGTGGCCTCCGAAGTTCCCGCTGTCACTGAGCCCTTCGGAAGTCATGCCGCCTGCTGTGCCGTTCGGCGGGGAGCAGCGACTGTGAATCACCGGGGTGCGGGCTCTGGTGTGAGCACCGGGCGGGGGTCATCTGTCCCCTTTAGTCCCACAGCCTATAAAGGGCACATTTCCCTCACCCGTTTTAGAAAGGGAGCCCAAACCGGTTTGGCTCAGTGGATAGAGCGTCGGTCTGCGAACTGAAAGGTCCCCGGTTCGATTCCGTCAAGGGCAGTACCTTGGTTTCCGCACATCCTCAGTGGGGAGTATGCAAGAGGCAGCTGTTGGATGATTCTCTCTCATCGGTGTTTCTAACTCTTCCTCTCTGTAAAAAAAATCAATAAAACATTAAAAAAAAAAAAAAGAAAAGAAAGAAAGAAGAAAGAAAGTAAAAAGAAAAAAGAAAGGGAGAAGTCACTTGCCAGGACCCTGGCCTTGCAAAGTGGCAGAATGGCATTAGAAGGCCCGGTCAGGCCCCCCCAGGACATTGTAACTCCTTGGCGTGTTTTGTTTGTTTGTGCCCGATGATTGGCTGAGAGCACGTGGCGTCCAGGGGGAGGCTGGGCTTGTTGGTGCTCAGGTTCCCAAGCAGAGGTCTGCAGTTCAGCTGGTGATTTGGGGGGAGTTGCTTAACTTCTCTGAGCCTCAGCTTTTTAATCTGTAAACTGGAGGGTGTGAGGAACAAAAAATTGTTTAGTTGATTTTAGAGAGGGAAAGGAGAGGAGGCAGGGTGGGAAGGAGGGAGAAGGAGAGAGAGAGAGAGAGAAGGAGAGAGAGAGAGAGAGAGAGAGAGAGAGAGAGAAGGAGAGAGAGAGAGAGAGAGAGAGAGAGAGAGAGAGAGAGAGAGAGAGAGAGAGAGAGAGAGATTAGTTGTTCCACTTATTTATGCATTCTTTGGTTGCTTCTTGTATGTGCTCTGACCTGAGATCTAACCGGAAATCATGGTATATCAGACTATACTCTAACCACCTGAGCTACCTGGCCAGGGCCAAGGAATAAAAATTGTCTAAAAGGCACCTGACACTTAAGGGTCATAAATTCTAGAGATTCTTGTAGTAATAGGTGTTAACAATGATCATCTTAGTTTTATGTTTTAATCAGTGTTAACAAAGATCATCTTAATTTTATGTTTTAATCTAAAATCAATTAAACATGCCACTTTATTTTCAAAATAATATTTATCTGTTCTTTAAAATTTAGATTATAACATATACTCTTTATACCAGAGTATATAATGTATATGTACAGTTGAGAGAAATGAACATGTATGTGTTACTCATCTAGTTTGAGCAAATAATATATATTTTAACCCAGCGGTTCTCAAACACAGGTGATTTTGCCCCTTAGGAACATTTGCCAATGTCTGAAGACATTTTTGGTTGACAGAACTTGGAAAATGCAGTGGGTAGAGGCCAGATATGTTGCTAAACATCCTAGAATGCACAGGATGTTCGCCCTCCACAAAGAATTACCCACCCTGCCTTGGCCACTGTGGTCCAGTTGATTGGACGTCATCCAGTGCAAGGAAAGGTTGCTGGTTTGATTCTGGTCATTGCGGGCTCCATCCCTGGTAGCAGGAGGCAGCAGATCGATGTCCTACTCTCACATCAATGTTTCTCTCTCAAAATTAATTTTTTAAAAAATCTTAAAAAGATCAAGAATTATCTAGCCCAAAGTGTCAATAATGCTGAGATTCAAAAACTGCTTTAAACCAGTAACAAAAATAATAAATGTTTGTTGCAAAATATAGTGGGAAACTGAATTCAAATTCCATCACTCAGGGCTACCCATTTTTAATATAGGAGGCCCCTGAATACCACCAGAGTGGTGAGTGTTTTATGTAGTCTAGCCTTTTTTCTAAACATACTTATTTATGTGTATACATTTTTCAAAAATCACGTCATTTTGAACATTGCGATAGCCTGCTTTTTTCACTTATAAAATACATTCCAATCATTTATCTTTGCCAAGCAATATTCTTTAGCAGCATGGATTTATTTTCGGTGTATATTTTTTATTAAGTATTTTTAATGGATAAAAACAACAAATGCGCTAGGGTAAATAATACACCTAAGATAGAAAAAGGTAAATATCTTTCCACTTCCTGGTCCTCAGCCTCCCTGTTCTCCTTAGGGACAGTCAGTGGTGCCTTGTCAGGGCAACTTTGAGAATGTCTGTTACTACCTGATTTTCTTTGCTTGGATGCTCTGTAATTTAACTGCTTTGAGTATTTGCCGGGCAGTGGACAAACTTTGTGTAAGAGACTCCCTCCGGTTTTTTCCATGTTGGCCTCAATTGTGAAGGCCAGAACAACTTCTGTTTTCTAGGAAATGCACTTACAAGGCACATATAGTAAAACTGAAATGATATAGAGAAGGGCCCTTCTGCAAGGGTGGCACCCAGACTTGTGAAGCATTCAATATTTAAGAGAAAAATAAAGTGCACAGTGCATCTTTAATTTCTCCTGGACAATAGTGTAAATATAAAACCTAAAGATGAGTTTAGATGGTTTCAATCGTGTAAGTTCTTCTAATTCTAGATTAGTCTTTTTCAAGTGTCACTTATCAGGCATAGTTCTGAAATGCTGATAACATAAGTAAGAGGTATCTGGATTTCTTAATATTCATAATTGCATTACCCAAGGATGGGAGTGAGTGTTGAAGTTTAAATTCTAGCCCTGAATCTACCTAATCCTATATAATAAAAGGCTAATATGCAAATCGACTGAACGGTGGACCCACCAGTTAGGGGGCAGCTCCTGCATTGAGTGTCTGCCCCCTGGTGGTCAGTATGCATTATAGCAACCGGTTGTCATCCCCTGAGGGGTCTCAAACTGGGAGAAGGCAGAGGCCGGGCTGAGGCACCCCCCTCCCTCCAGTGCTCAAATGCCATACACCAGGCTTCTAGTCTACCTAATAAAAGAGTAACATGCTAATTGACCGTACCTTTGCTGTGCTCACAGGCCAATTAGGAGTGAGTATGCAAATCAACCCAACAAAGATGGTCAGTTAATTTGCATACACGGGTGCTTGAGCTGCTGGGGGTGTGGTGGGATGCAGGTGTTCCGCCCCACCCCTGACATCTCCGGGCCTCTGCGCAGTGCGGGAAGGTGGGAAGGCGGAAAAGTCAGGGAAAGGAAGGCCAATTCTGGCAGGAATCTCTGTGCATCAGGCTTCTAGTTTTAGAATAAAATCTCTTCAGGTACTTGATTGAAATACCAAAAAACATTTCCAAAAAGTGATAGTTTTAAGTTATCCCAAAAATGTCTTAGACTAGGCTAAGGTTCTAAGTGACATGAGAATTCAGTACAAAAGTATTTACTATGAAGTATACTTCTCACAGATATATTTTCAGTTTCAGCCCAACAGTTAAAACATCTTTTTTTTTTTTTAAATAACTATAAATACATTAAAAAATGTGAGAGTGGTCCATTTTGTAATCTTAATTCAAATGAGATTTGTACAGTTGGATTTTGCATCTGATATCTGGTCGGACTTCAGAGCCATTGTGTTAATTTTTTTTTAAATTAAAAAATATATATATTTTATTGATTTTTTACAGAGAGGAAGAGAGAGGGATAGAGAGTTAGAACATCGATGAGAGAGAATCATTCATCAGCTGCCTCCTGCACCCCCCCCACTGGGGATGTGCCTGCAACCAACGTACGTGCCCTTGACTGGAATCGAACCCTGGACCTCTCAGTCCGCAGGCCAACGCTCTATCCACTGAACCAAACCGGCTTTGGCTCGAGCCATTGTGTTAAAAAAAAAAAAAAATACTATATGTAACAAGGAAAAGGTGCTTTTTCCTTTTAATTCCTTTGATCCATATGGATTTTTTCCCCCAAATTGACTAAAGGATCAAAATGAAAGCTTGTTAATGTGAATCAGTTACTAAACTTGTTTTTGTTAGAAATGTTAATGTAATAAATATCAATGTGGGAGATAATAGTAAAATAAGTAAAGTGTACAGTTCGGTGGCAGTATTTGGGAGCTGCACATCCCTCTCCACAATCCATCTTAGAACATTTTAATTACTCTCAACAGAAACCTGTCCTCCTTAACTGTCTCCCCCACATCCCCACACCCCTATTGCTTTAGGCATTGTTTAATCTGGACATTTTATATAAGTGTAATCACACAACATGTGACTCTTTGCGAATGACTTTTCCTTTAGCATGTTTTCAAGGTGCATCATGTTGTAGCATGACCAGTGCTTCATTTCTTTTTATTACTGAGTGATATTCCATGGTATGGATATGCTGCATTTTATCTACCCAGTTATCAGTTGATGGACTTTTGGGGTTCTTTCCCCTTTTTGACTATTGCGAATAATGTTCCTGTGCACATTGATGTGCAAGTCTTTGTGTGGACATGTTTTCGTTTCCCTTGGGTAGCTATCTTGGGAGTGGAATTACTGAGTCATCGGCTAACTCTACATTTAACGTTTTGAGGAACCACCAGATTTTTCCAAAGTGACTGCACCATTTTACATTCCCACCATCCGTGCATGAGGGTTAGTCAGTCTCTCCACATCTTCACCAGCACTTGTTACTGTCTTTTTTATTCTAGCCCTCGGAGCAGGCGCGATGTGGTGTCCCATTGTGGTTTGATTTGTATTTCCCTCATGACTAAGACATGGGGCGTCTTTCGTGTTCCTGTTGGCCCTTCGTACATCCTCTTTGGGCTTCTAACGCTTTAGGCCCCGGAGACACCAGAATTGCTTAAAGTCCTAATCGGCTTTTCATTGTGGTTTAGAATATAATCCAAACTCGTCACTAGACCTGCCCCGTCTGACACAATCTGACCCCACTG